CTATCACAGTGCCATCCGTTTTGTCACCAAAGCCCCATATACTACCCACCACTGTGACCTGTACGCTCTTGTTGGCTGGTCCTCACTACATATTCGCCGCCAAACCCACTGGCTCCAGGCCATCTATAAATCACTGCTAGGCAAATCCCTGCCTTATCTTAGCTCATTGGTCACCATAGCAACACCCACCCGTAGTATGCACTCCAGCAGGTATATCTCACTGGTCATCCCCAAAGCCAACACCTCCTTTGGCCGCCATTCCTTCCAGTTCTCTGCTGCCAATGACTGGAACGAATTGCAAAAATCTCTGAAGCTGGAGACTCTTATCTCCCTCACTAACTTTAAGCATCAGTTGTCAAAGCACCTTACCGATCACTGCACCTGTACACAGCCCATCTGAAATTAGCCCACCCAACTACCTCATCCCCATATTGTTATTTATTTTGCTCATTTGCACCCCAGTATCTCTATTTGCACATCATATCTTGCACATCTATCATTCCAGTGTTAATACTAATTGTAATTATTTTGCACTATGGCCTATTTATTGCCTTACCTCCATAACTTGCTACATTTGAACACACTGTATATATATTTTCTGTTGTATTTTTGACTTTATGTTTTATTAAACTCTGTGTTGTTGTTTTTATCGCACTGCTTTGCATTATCTTGGCCAGGTCGCAGTTGTAAATGAGAACCTGTTCTCAACTGGCTTACCTGGTTAAATAAAGGTGAAATAAAATAAAATAAAATAAAAAAAAATATTTTTCTGTAGCCTGGTTTTCCCCAATCATTGTGACCATCATGTCATTGATTTCTGTTCTGCTCTGAATCTAAATATAGTTCTTCATCATGCCTTTTATTGGTCATTCCAAAATAAAAAAATTCTTAAACCCATTTGGTCTTTTTCCCAGCACACTGTACAAGGAAAGATGTAGCCTATCATGATTTATTGAAAATAGATTTATCTTCAATAAAGTTGTATTTTCCGTTGCATTTATCTTATTTCATTGTAGCGTCCTTCTGAACGTGCCCCAGACTCAAGTAGGGGGAGGTTCCTTTTGATGAAGTTGCAACGTCACATGATACAATGTAGCCGAGAGGCAGCGCGAGATCACACTGCGGAGTGCACAGACAGGCTGGAAACAAACGTAACAAGCGAGCACCCCAACGTCAACACCAACGGCTGTCTCTTTCCCACCAAATGAATTGTCATCAAACGTCGTAGAAAGGTTTGTGTCTTCAACTTGAAATGTAGTTATCTGGTTAGCTGGAGTGGCAGGAAAGGTCGCCATGAGAAGGTTAGCATAGTAGCTAATTTGCTCATTTAATTGTTTTCACCTCCTTGAAAAAAGCTTCAACTTCGAAGTTGTCTTTTTCTCTGTATAGTCAGTTATCACCCATATGGTTTTCTTTTATTGTGGTCTACAGCTAGTTATTGCCTATGATACGTTTAGGTATAAACACCACCTGCAACTTAGGCTAGTCATCTTATTTTCACACAATGTTTTCATATGGGAAGAGAGGAGCGAGCAGAGGATGCGCACTCTGCCTCTAAAGACCAACACATACGGGTCTTTTAATGTCGCTGGACATTCTATTCTTTCCAAGGTATCCTATGTATTCTTTCCTAGTATTTTATGACTATGTATCTGCAGTCAGGCTGTGAAATGATATCCATAGACCACTGAGTGCCTGCCTCTGTTTATCCACTTAAACACTCTTGGTCCATGATAAACCATATTCTAGTATTTTATTAAATAATCTATTACCATGAAATGTTCTCAGCTAACATTCATTATCATCATGACTGGTTCTTGGCATTGCCAGGGCAACACTGCAAGTACAAATCTATGACGACTGTGTTTTGTGTTGGCTGATCTTGAATGGTGGAGTAAGGGGGTTCTAGCTACTGAAAGTGGCAGTGGTGGGTTATATAAGCCTGTTGGGAGAGTGGTGGTGCGGTTGACAGCCCTTTCCTAGGAGCCTCAGTTAGTTCCACATGGCTAAAATGACAACAAGCTGTGCCATGTGTCAGCTATACAGGCCAGATGGGTGGATTATTTAACATTCTGTCTATCTCAGCCTCATCATCACCACCAGTGTAGTCTTCTACCAACGCTTTAACTGGAACTCTGTTTTCTTTTAGCTCTGTTTTCTTGTAAGATTACTATTGTGTTTATTTTATGCATTTGTCCTGTGTGTGTGTGTGTGATCAGTATCAACACAGCCACTGTAATTGTATTGTAAATCATCCCGTTGTGACACAGGCTGAACTGGACAGGGAGTGTCCAGAAGAGTTAATTATGAACCAGTGAAACCTCATCAAAATTATTTATCACTATTCATCCTCAGCAGTTTTGTCTCTGACCTGGAACTGAGAGTGTAAATGGTGTATATGCAGGGCTCCCTTGTAAAAGAGACCTTGGTCTCAATGGGACTCCCTGCTAAAATAAAGGTGAAATAAAAAAGCACAACACTGGCCTCAGCAACAGGCTTACCCACACAGGCTCTTATCACACAGCTTGTTGAAATTGGGGAGGACGGGCTCATAGTAATGGCTGGAACGGAATGAATGGAATGGTATCAAATTCATCAAACACATGGTTGCCATGTATTTGATACCATTCCATTCACTTTAGCCATTATTATGAGCTGTCCTCCCTTCAGTAGCCTCCTGTGCTGAGAACCCAGTGTCTCTGTCCCATCACAGCACTCAACTATACCCTAGTATGTTTTGCACTACTTTTGACCAGGGCCCATAGTACACTATATAAGGAATAGGGTGCGTTTCGGTTCACTAGGGAGTAGGGTGCCGTTTCGGACACAGCCTTTGTACTGCTGGATTAGCTCAGTCTCACATGGACCAAAGTGGAGATACTGTATGTTTGTGGAGATATGAAAGGAAGAATTCATGACCAAGAACATGACCAAGTTGTTAGGGTTGGCAGTGAAAAATGACATCTGTTTGAGAGGCATACTTCAGTGCATGGCCAGAGGTGTTGGTCCTTAGCTGCTTTTGCTGTGTGCTAGTTTGCATAAAGAATGACATTAGCATGATTTAATAATAATTTATTCAACTTTTATAGTGCTATTCATTACATAACAAATCTCAAAGTGCTTTAAAGCCCAAAAAAACAAAAGACAAGCAATTTAGAAAAACGACACCATTCATGAGATGGACAGTCATAGCTTGAGTGAGTGGTTATCTGAGTTGATGACTACTACAAACCACTATCTGAGGTCGTAAAGGCAGACTCAGTCAGTAGTTTCCTGGTAGGAGCCATCAGAGCCAAGGTCAAGGGGAGGGGACATGCTCATTGATTGAGAGGAAGCTTACGCGTTACGACCAGGCATGTGGAAGATCTGGAAAGACCAGGAACCGTTTCTGAGACTACTCCCAGTTGGCTTGACTAGGCTATTGCTCACAAGATTCTAGTGATTTGGAAACAACTACAGTACTAGATTGTACTAAGTATGGCACTGTAGTTTTGAGATTCAATATAGTAGCTAGCTACCTCTCTCTCGCATGCACACATGCGAGTGCACAGGCAGACCCTGAGGCCACAGTGTATGTATGGGGGAGTGCTGTGACTCAGCAATGGGATTTTTCTCCCACTGGGCTCAGAGGGCAACCAGGAGCCTGTTGATTCATCCTACTCTCTCTATCTCTCTCTGTTTCTCTGTCTATCTCTCTCTCAACGCTCAACAAACAACACTCACTCTGTAAACAAGCTCAGAGAAGACACTCTTATTAACATTCATATCAGTATTAAACACAGTGAACCTGACACACACACAGCCAGTTGAATGCTCTGCCTACTCTGTTGCTCTTACAAGCCAATAATAGCTTCCCACAGAAACACACATTCAATCAGGCCCATGCATGTTGCATCATACGATGCTCCTGGAACACGCTACACTAAACTCCTCTGCACTCTCATGTTATCATTCACTCTTCTCCAACACAGGTACACACACACATTGACACACCGTTTCTATGTTTGCTATCTTACTAATTACACTGCTATAATAATCATGTTTTTTTTTTTCCTCCGGAGCCTTTGTCATAAAAGTCTGATAGTAAAAGTCTCCTTTCGCTTTCATTAATTTACTTATGAGTGACATTGTAAATCTTGCTCCTTGGTGGATAGCCGGTGCCTCAGACAGCAATAGCTACTCTGCCTCGATGCGTTACCTTGCCTGTCTTTGCTGTTTTACACTGAAATCTATTAGACCTGTACCAAAGTTGTTGTTTTGGGGATCTGTGCTGACAGGTCTACAGTCAAGTAGTGGCGGGTGCTTCCCCGAGTCGACTGTCTCTGCCCGTGTCTCAAATGACACCCTATACCCTATGAGGTGCACTACTTTTGACCAGTGCCCATAACGCTCTGGTCAAAAGTAGTACACTTTATAGGGAATAGGGTGCCATTTGGGACATAAACCTGTGACGCGTTTCCCTCTTATGCAACAGCCTGAATTATTGATGATAGCATGTGCAGAAAAGTGAAACCTGTCGTCGGTCGATCGGTCAGGCCCTACACTAAACGATACTAAGGATAGGACCCCTGGAGAGAGGGAGAGCATGACTGCAAACGTGACACAGAGCAGGGAGCAGGGAAATGTTCTCTAGCCACCACAGTTGATTATTTATTGGTCTGGGAATCCACAACATGTATGACAGGCCTACAGTATACTGTAATGTAAAGCTCTTTCACAGTTTCTTCCTGGAAGTTTCCAAAATCACTGAGGTGTTCTGGAGCAGGGTTTTGGATGGGAACAGTGACACCTCTCCCCTTCATCCCCTTCCTCGTCTGGACAAAGCCCGTCTGGGTCCTGTCAGCCCAGTTTGTCACAAAGCATCCACAGTCCCATCTCACCCTGTTCCTCTCTGTCCCTTCCTGTCTCTCTCCCTGTCTCTGTGTATTACTGCTGGAGAACAGTGTCAGCCAGAGAGAAGACAGGACCTTATCAGTCTGCTTCTCTTAGCTACTGCAGGAATACGAGAGGGAGAGAGAGGAGGGAGAGGGACAGATGGGGAGGGGGAGAGGGAGGACGAAGGAGGAGGGCAGAAAATACTAGAGCGAGGGAGGGAGGGAGGAAGAGAGCGGGAGGCAGAGAAAGAGAGAGAGATGGGGAGAGTGTAAGCAGTGATGATGATGCTGCCTGCTGCTGCGTGTGGGTTTGTTTACCTGCTGCTCTGCTGTGAGGAGACAGAATCCACCGCCAGGCCCATCACTCGCTACGCAGACTGTCATCTTACCCTATAGACGAGGAACAGAGCTGAGCTGTTAGGATCAGAGATGTACTAGTCTGTCTGTACATCAGTAGCATGCGGCCGGATGTGGATTAGCCCTTCTACAGGCATCCGCTGTGCTGTGTCACTCGCCACCATGCTGCTTCATTTAGTAGCGGCTATGCTAATGCTACTATCTACAGGTTGCCTGTAGCATTCACTGGATAAAGGTAGGGAAATGTTCTGGGATTTTAAGCCTAGTCTATGTATTGTATCTGACTTATGTGCTGACTGGACTGTAGCCATTTTGCGAAGGCTACTACTTAGCATCCCTTCTTATACTCTGTCTGTAGAATTAGGCACTGCTCTAACCCCCTATGGTGGTTTTGGCTGGGGTGAGGAGCTCAGATGGGCCGTTGACAGGGAATAAATAATACCCAGCGTCCTCTGCATGCTGTTCTAAACGGCCGCCCTCGTCAGCCATAATGAGTGAGTCCTCTTCAGACTGCCTATGAAGGAGGAATCTAATGGTAGAAACATGCATTTATCATAGCGTGGGTTTATCTATTGATTTTAAATAGGAAAACAGCTCCTTGCTGCTCTGTGGCAATGTTTATCTAGTCTTTGTTGCAGTGTTCAGTGTTTGTGTGTTAACTCCCACTAGTGAGATTATAGGCCTGGCTTCTCGGCTACGCCAACATTGGGTTGAATCGGATTGGTTAGCGCTGAACAGTAACAAAAGCCTACACTCACTGGGTCCCCACGAACAGGCTTGAAGAACACTGGTCAATGCCAACATTCGATAACGTGACTAATGTCAGCTATCTGAAGACATTTTTGGACTGTCAGTTAAATTGGGGATGTGTTTCTTCCTTAAAGTAGACTCAGTGAAATGACGTTGCAACAAGCAGCACCGGAGATATTGAGTTGGGCGAGATGTAACACCTTTGCTGTCACACACAGTATCACACACAGCGTGGTAGCCAGGGGATCAAAACAGTGGAGAAGTTGAGCCTCGCACTTCAACACTCTTAGTTGTTGCGGAAATAATATAACGGTTATTGTGTTTTCACTTTGTAAATGTTTGTCACGTCCCGCTCATCCCATTGAGTTAGGTATTCAGGATAAAGTCAAAAGTGACACGGACGTTTAATCATAACGGTTCAGAGTATTTCCATGGTAATGGAATTATGCTGAAACTCCGATTTATCACTTTTAGAAAAATGTATACCAAACAAAAAAACATTGATTTCAACATTTAATAAACCATAGAATGTTATGCACAAAGACTACTTTAAAACATTTTTACTGAACATTTTACAAAAACACATTAACAGGATGAACTGTGCAGGTACAAAGTTTGGTAACAGAATAAAACTGAGGGAGATTTTACCGTAATTACCAAACCTTGCATCTGCTGTTTTTCATTTTACATTTACATTTTAGTCATTTAGCAGACGCTCTTATCCAGAGCGACTTACAGTTAGTGAGTGCATACATTATTTTTCATACTGGCCCCCCGTGGGAATCGAACCCACAACCCTGGCGTTTACCAACTGAGCTACATCCCTGCCGGCCATTCCCTCCCCTACCCTGGACGACGCTGGGCCAATTGTGCGCCGCCCCATGGGTCTCCCGGTCGCGGCCGGCAACGACAGAGCCTGGATACGAACCAGGATCTCTAGTAGCACAGCTAGCGCTTTAGTATTTTATTTATTTATTTACTGTGTAAATTGTTCAAAGTAGTCATTGTGCATAGATTTGTATGGTTTGTTAAACTTTGAAATCAGTGGTTGTTGTTTGGCATTAATTTTAAAGTCTCACCGTGGAATTACCCTTCACTGACTTTGAGTCTCTCTCTGAAGTTCTTCTTTGGGTTCCTATGAAATGATGTAATATTGAAGTCCTCTTAATCTGAACCAAGGAACATGTCTGACCACTTCCCTCAATGTGAACATTTCCTGATTGCAGTTCAGGAAGTGAGGTAAACCGAAGGAAATATGCAAGACTGTACATTTTGCCCAGCTGTGAGACACTGAACGTGAATAAGCTGTTGATGTTCAAAGCTCAGTCAAACATCGTCACACAATAGGCACGTCATTTATCTCATAGGGACTTCCTGGTTTAAATCAATTAGACAAATAATGGCAAAATAAAGCATAAGATAGAATAAGATCATTCTGTCCAACTCAGGGCCTCTTCCTCAGTTGTGTATTGATGTGTGAGAACAGTAACAGCACTGACAAGCATGCATCACGTGCCTCAAACACTGAGGACAAACAGTAATCTCAGTCCTCTTTGCCAGCCTAGAATAGTAATGATATTAGGTCAACAGCTTAATTTGGGGAAAGCATGGCTGAGTCGTACGCTTACCTGACTTGACTGATGTGGAGGCTAGATGTGTGGGTAGACTACAGTACTGTAGATGGCAAGTGTTGCTCTCCTCTCACTGGTTATGTCATCATGATAGTTAACCAATCAGCCTGCTAGCTGGTCGTGGCTCCACATGGTTGCAGCCAGTGCTGACTCTCTCACTGGCATACTAATGATGCTACTGCATATTGTAGGCCTATATCATCACATGTTCTAGATTGATTTGTCAAAGCACAGTAGCTGCTTTCAGTGAGTTGTCTCTACACTTTGAAGGTCTGCACCAAAATAATGGTGTCAGTCTCCGAGTGTACAGTGTATGATGGAAGATGACAAGCAGTTATTTTGAAATGTTACTAGCATGTTTTAGGCTTGTGGCACTGTTAGTTACACGTATAGAATGAGTCACATGGACCATGGTTTAGTTTTCCCCTTGGGCTGGGCTGAGTGTGGCTGTGTGAGCTTGTGAGAGAGAGCGAGACTCACACAAACAGAAGAAGGAACAGGTGATTCAGATTAGAGCGTGAATCATTTCTTTAGAAGTTCAGAGCAGCTGTAACCCTTTCATATGAAAATTAGCATCTCCCGACCCCCTACATGTTTTATCTGACACACACGCATACACACACACTAGGGCTGACCCCAATTAGTCGACTGGTTGATTGTTTGGTTGTTAGGCTGTTGGTCGACCAAGATTGTTTTAGTCGAGCAGTAACAAATATATATATATATATGCGCCCATCTCAGTGAGCCATTGTGGAGGCCTAGACTAAAAGCCAATTTATGCTTGATCTGAAAATTTGGTTGGAGGCTCCATATGGAGGGTGTGACGCAATTGCGGAGCCTCCAGAGGCATGCAGAGGCCAAATCGAGCTCCATACCGCATTGCCATGCGCCTCCCAAATGTTGTAACAATGCGGAGGGCTCTGTGTAGCTCCGCATTGACATGATTGGTTGACGGTAGGTGGGGGCGGTACATCCTGTAGAAAACACAAACTCACTTCCTTGACAACAGCTCTGCACTGCTCCCCAAAGTGCAAGAAGTATGAATGCCCTGACTTCTGCTGAGGCCATATCACCGTAAATGCTGCATGGCCAATGCAGACGTGGGATTGACCATGCGCCCAGATGCACAATGCACTTCACTCTCCAGAATGCACTCTCTCCCGCCAATTTGTGCACATTCATTGTTTCATAACTTAATTGTGTAAATTGTTTGCATATGATTGGTAGTGTATATCAATTCCCCATTACATATATCACCAGTAGTACATTTACCGTTAATTCCAATCGTTTCTAATCTACAATGTTTGTTGCTTTGGTTATGGTAATTTCTGTTAATGCATTCAATATTATTATTCCAGCCTTCTCGTTGTCATTGTTGGAGTGGACACATTGTTTGCAGAGTGCGCATCCTATGCTACACTTGTGAGAAACAAGTTTTGGTTTATTTCATTCCATTTATGAGTTTTGTCAAAATAGTCATTGTCTTTTGTTTGGAGCGCTCCTGTCAATGTAGATTATTTAATATTTTTAACCTTTATTTAACCAGGTAAGCCAGTTGAGAACAAGTTCTCATTTACAACTGCGACCTGGCCAAGATAAAGCAAAGCAGTGCGATTAAAAACAACAACATAGAGTTACATATGGGGTAAAACAAAACATAAAATATATATACAGTGTGTGCAAATGTAGCAAGTTATGGATGTAAGGCAATAAATAGGCCATAGTACAAAATAATTACAATTAGTATTAACACTGGAATGATAGATGTGCAAGAGATGATGTGCAAATAGAGATACTGGGGTGCAAATGAGCAAAATAAATAACAATATGGGGATGAGGTAGTTGGGTGGGCTAATTTCAGATGGGCTGTGTACAGGTGCAGTGATCGGTAAGGTGCTCTGACAACTGATGCTTAAAGTTAGTGAGGGAGATAAGAGTCTCCAGCTTCAGAGATTTTTGCAGTTCGTTCCAGTCATTGGCAGCATAGAACTGGAAGGAATGGCGGGCAAAGGAGGTGTTGGCTTTGGGGATGACCAGTGAGATATACCTGCTGGAGCGCATACTACGGGTGGGTGTTGCTATGGTGACCAATGAGCTAAGATAAGGCGGGGATTTGCCTAGCCGTGATTTATTTGTTGGCCTGGAGCCAATGGGTTTGGCGACGAATATGTAGTGAGGACAAGCCAACAAGAGCGTACAGGTCACAGTGGTGGGTAGTATATGGGGCTTTGGTGACAAAACGGATGGCACTGTGATAGACTACATCCAATTTGCTGAGTAGAGTGTTGGAGGCTATTTTGTAAATGACATCGCCCATTCCTCAGCTACTCGCTTAAGTTCAGTGGCCATTCGCACCATGGTTGCTAAGCGACCAAGCGTTAGTCCTTCCTCCTCATCTCTCGTGTCCTCTTCTCCCTCTTCTCTTTCATCGTCGCTTTGTGGCTTTGTCATTTACCTTCCCTTAGCATGTCCAGAAGTTTAACTTTATCTGAGATAGGTAGCATCTTCCGCCGTTTGGGCCCATCCGCAGGTGCTTTTGTCGGTCCAGGCCGTTTCGTCGACATTATGGGTTTAGGAGATGTTCGAAATTACAAGATAATTTGGCCAACTTAATGTAAATTTGCCAAGCTGTTTTATGTACGTACACATAACTGCACGAGACGACAAAATGATAGCACAATTCGTAGCATGTTTTGATACAAGAAGCGGGAGTGAGTTTTTAGCGAATCAGAATGCAGAGCACAATGCACCAAAAAAAAAAAAATGCATTATGAAAATCCGCGAAATAGCGAATCCGCGATAAGTGAACCGCGAATAGTCAAGGATCGGTAGGATACTCAGTTTTACGAGGGCATGTTTGGCAGCATGAGTGAAGGAGGCTTTGTTGCGAAATAGGAAGCTGATTCTAGATTTAACTTTGGATTGTAGATTCTTAATGTGAGTCTGGAAGGAGAGTTTACAGTCTAACCAGACACCTAGGTATTTGTAGTTGTCCACATACTCTAGGTCAGACCCGTCGAGAGTAGTGATTCTAGTCGGGTGGGCGGGTGCCAGCAGTGTTCGATTGAAGAGCATGCATTTAGTTTTACTAGTGTTTAAGAGCAGTTGGAGGCTACTGAAGGAGTGTTGTATGGCATTGAAGCTCGTTTGGAGGTTTGTTAACACAGTGTCCAATGAAGGGCCAGATGTATACAAAATGGTGTCGTCTGCATAGAGGTGGATCTGAGAGTCACCAGCAGCAAGAGCGACATCATTGATATACACGGAGAAAAGAGTCGGCCCAAGAATTGAACCCTGTGGCACCCCCATAGAGAATGCCATAGGTCCAGACAACAGGCCCTCCGATTTGACACATTGAACTCTATCTGAGAAGTAGTTGGTGAACCAGGCAAGGCAGTCATTTGAGAAACCAAGACTATTTAGTCTGCCAATAAGAATGCGGTGGTTGACAGAGTCGAAAGCCTTGGCCAGGTCGATGAAGACGGCTGCACAGTACTGTCTATTATCGATTGCGGTTATAATATCGTTTAGGACCTTGAGCGTGGCTGAGGTGCACCCATGACCAGCTCGGAAACCGGATTGCATAGCGGAGAAGGTACGGTGGGATTCGAATTGGTCGGTGATCTGTTTGTTAACTTGGCTTTCAAAAACTTTCGAAAGGCAGGGCAGGATGGATATAGGTCTGTAACAGTTTGGATCTAGAGTGTCACCCCCTTTGAAGAGGGGGATGACCGCGGCAGCTTTCCAATCTCTGGGGATCTCAGACGTTACGAAAGAGAGGTTGAGCAGGCTAGTAATAGGGGTTGCGAAAATGTCGGCGGCTAGTTTTAGAAAGAAAGGGTCCAGATTGTCTAGCCCAGATGATTTGTAGGGGTCCAGATTTTGCAGCTCTTTCAGAACATCAGCTGTCTGAATTTGTGTGAAGGAGAAGCGGGTGGGGGGCCATGGGCAAGTTGCAGCGGAGGGTGCAGAGCTGGTGGCCTGGGTAGTGGTAGCCAGGTGGAAAACATGGCCAGCCGTAGCAAAATGCTTGTTGAAATTCTCGATTATTGTAGATTTATCGGTGGTGATAGTGTTTCCTAGCCTCAGTGCAGTGGGCAGCTGGGAGGAGGTGCTCTTATTCTCCATGGACTTTACAGTGTCCCTAAACTTTTTGGAGTTAGTGCTACAGGATGCACATTTCTGTTTGAAAAAGTTAGCCTTTGCTTTCCTAACTGCTTGTGTATATTGGTTCCTAACTTCCCTGAAAAGTTGCATATCGCGGGGGCTATTTGATGCTAATGCAGTACACCACAGGATGTTTTTGTGCTGGTCAAGGGCAGTCAAGTCTGAGGAGAACCAGGGGCTATATCTGTTCTTAGTTCTGTATTTTTTGAATGGGGCATGTTTATTTAAGATTGAGAGGAAATTACTTTTAAAGAACAACCAGGCATCCTCTACTGACGGAATGAGATCGATATCCATCCAGGATACCTGGGCCAGGTCAATTAGGAAGGCCTGCTCGCTAAAGTGTTTTAGGGAGCGTTTGACAGTGATGAGGGGTGGTCGTTTGACCACGGACCCGTTACGGACGCAGGCAATAAGGCAGTGATCGCTGAGATCCTGGTTGAAGACAGCAGAGGTGTATTTAGAGGGTAAGTTAGTCAGGATGATATCTATGAGGGTACCCATGTTTACGGATTTAGGGTTGTACCTGGTAGGTTTGTTGATCATTTGTGTGAGATTGAGGGCATCTATTTTGGATTTTAGGATGGCCGAGGTGTTAAGCATATCCCAATTTAGGTCACCAAGCAGTACAAACTCTGAGGATAAATGGGGGGCAATCAATTCACATATGGTGTCCAGGGCACAGCTGGGGGCTGAGGGGGGTCTGTAGCAAGCGGCAACAGTGAGATACTTATTTCTGGAAAGGTGTATTTTTAGAAGTAGAAGCTCAAACTGTTTGGGCACAGACCTGGATAGTATGATAGAGCTCTGCAGGCTATCTCTACAGTAGATTGCAACTCCACCCCCTTTTGCAGTTCTATCTAGACGGAAAATGTTGTAGTTGGGGATGGAAATTTCAGAATTTTTGGTGGCCTTCCTAAGCCAGGTTTCAGACAGGGTTGGCGGAGTGTGCTAACGCAGTGAATAACTCAAACTTAGGAAGGAGGCTTCTGATGTTAACGTGCAGAAAACCAAGGCTTTTACGGTTACAGAAGTCAACAAATGATAGCTCCTGGGGAGTAGGAGTGATACTGGGGGCTGCAGGGCCTGGGTTAGCCTCTACATCACCAGAGGAACAGAGGAGGACTAGAATAAAGATACGGCTAAATGCTTTAAGAACTGGTCTTCTAGTGCGTTGGGTACAGAGAATAAAGGGGCCAGATTTCCAGGCGTTGTAGAAAAGATTCAGGGCATTATGTACAGACAAGGATATGGAAGGATATGAGTACAGTGGAGGTAAACCTAAGCGTTGGGTAACAATGAAAGAGAGAGCATCACTGGAGGCACCGATTGAGCCGGTCTCGGCGTGTATGGGGGGTGGAACAAAGGAACTATTTGAGGCAGTTTGAGAGGGACTTGGGGTTCTACAGTGAAATTGTATAATAAGAACTAACTGGAACAGCAATAGGCAAGGCATATTGACATGGGAGAGAGGCATAAAGCAATCACAGGTGTTATTAGAGAGAGCTAGGACAACAACTTTTAATGGCGATAAAGTTTGGGCTGAGGCTAAACAGATAAACAGGACAGGGTACCGTGTAAAGGAACAGTCCAGCAGGCATCAGCTGTGCAGCTGAGTGATCATAAGGTCCAGTGAACAGCAATATGTGAGTCTGAGAGCAGTTCGAATTGGTGCTTCAGCACAGCGAGCAGGAAGCACGGCTGTTTGCGTGTGCTAGCGGGCCGGGGCTAGCAGACAGATCTTCGTGGTCGTCGCAACGGGAAGCCTGTTGAAACCACAGACGATTACGTCAGCAGACCAGTCGTGATGGATCGGCAGGGCTCCGTGTCGACTCTAGGAGGTCCCGTCCGGTTGACAGAGAGATAGATAGCCGGGAGATGTGCCTGCCTCAAGGCTAGCTCAAGGCTGATTAGCCAACAACAACGTTCATTTGGTTGCAGCTAGCTAGTTGCGATTATCCAGTGTTAAAGGTCCAGTGATTCAGTGATTCCGGCAGAAAATCCGATGTTCTGGGTGAAAACCGCTAACGGTGGCTAATAGCAAGTAGCTAGTTAGCCGGCTGGCTAGTTTCAACTGGAGATTCTAGATAAAGGTGAGTAAATAATAGAATCCGTTCCACATTGAGTGAGGCGGGTTGCAGGAAAGTATATTTAGTAGAAGGATGAAAAGTGTGATAGGGAAATATATACATAAAATACAAAAAAATACAAAAAACAGGCTATTTACATGGACACACAAGAGAACACGACCGCTCTGCTACGCATTCTTGGATCTGAGTAAGGACGCGCACGCATAGAAGTAGGCCTATAGGCTACCTGGCCTGCGCACAAATGTAGGCATATAAATGTGCCCATTTTGGGGATCTGATAGTATTTCTGATTGGCTTAACGCACAACAACTAATGACCTGTGGAGCTTCTCAAAGTAATGTTTTCTTCTCCTAAAACAGTAAGCAAACAAAGTCTGTTTTTACATCCATTGAGAATTACAATTGTTCCTCAATGCATTAGAAAAATCTTTCCAGCGCTCTCCCTTTTGATAACCACTCAGCGTGAAAGGGAAAAATGTAATGCTCTGATCAAGTGGAAACGTCATAAAATAGGCCTTCTTAGATAGATTACTTCTTATCAGTGCTTGACTTGGACAGAAATAGGTTCCGGTATTCATTTCGGGTGCTGGTACTGTTTATATTTAGGTGCAGGAGCTCCACAATACTTTTTAGCTAATATCCTATAAGAGGAACAGGAGCTCAAGCAGTAGAAAATTTGAGGTGCCGATACTCGGCTCCGGTGAGCTTTTGCCCAAGTCAAGCACTGCTTCTTATCCCTTGCGCAAGTAGCCTACAGCTGTGTCTGTCCCGAGCTCCCTGGCGCGGGAAACTCTGAGGGCCCGGAATATTTAATACAATGTTGCTAGCAGCGCAATCTTCGGGCAGGACCCAAGTTGGGTCTCATGGGTCCTCTGTAGCTCAGCTGGTAGAGCACGGCGCTAGTAACGCCAAGGTAGTGGGTTCGATCCCCGGGACCACCCATACACAAAAAAAAAATTAAGCACGCATAACTGTAAGTCGCTTTGGATAAAAGCGTCTGCTAAATGGCATATTATTATTATTATTATTATTATTATTATTATTAAGTTAATAGTTGATACAATGTTTCAAGTTTGTTGCAGACAGGCCATGTGTAGCCAATGTGATATATAGGATATTTCTTTTTATCAGGACATTTTCTACCTGCAGGCTGCAATGTTTTTATTTGTTGGCTTTATGTAGGCTATTTTTACATAGTTGGCAATAGCAATAGAAGTTACTTTTTCGGTTTATCATTTTCATTTAGCTTTGGATAGAATTTTGATTAACCACATAAATGATTTTGCGATATGAAGACTGTTTCACGAAAATGTGCATATGAAAACCATAACTGGCACGCAGATCGTTAGAAATGGTGGAAAGGTTGCCGACTCCTCGTGTAGCCTATTACCGGCAACTTCAGGAGAGTAATGGCAGAATCTGCGAAAGCCAGCAGGAGCGGGAGGAGAATAGTTGGGTCAGGTTTTTTTTATTCTTGTTATCTAGATCTCTGGTGCCCTCTTGAGGCATTTGTCTTATTTCATCAAACCGTGAGCTTAAAGCATCAGACAAGCTCAATGCATATAGTTGATTTTATAAAAACGCATAGGGTGTGTCTATATATGGAAAAATACACCATTTAAAATGTTGACCAATCGACTTTCGGTCAACCAAGATTTTTTTTTGTCGGGGACAGCCCTAACACACACACACACCGTGACACAAAAACACACACACACTCCTGGTGTGTGTGTGTGTGTGTGTGTGTGTGTGTGTGTGTGTGTGGAGAGGGTGGTCCGGTGGCTCCAGTTGATGGTGGCCCCTGGATTGAGTATATGCAGGACTGCTTCTTAAATAGAATGATGCACAGACACTGCACTGCCTCAGTAGAGCCTCAAACCACACCAGACACACACACACCTTCAAAAGTGAGTTATCACTGAGAGAAGGCTGGTGACTGGAGAGAGGGAAAGAAGATGGGGGGGGGGGGGGGGGGGGGAGAGAGAGAGAGGGAGGACCAGGTACACCCTGAGCTGTTGAACAGTCCCCTCCCGTCTGTCCATCCCTCTCCCTGACATGACTACTGTAGGAACTATGCAGCCAGTCTAGTCTGGAGGACAGCTCTAATTACTGTAGGAACTAGGCAGCCAGTCTAGTCTGGAGGGCAGCTCTAACTACTGTAGGAACTAGGCAGCCAGTCTAGTCTGGAGGACAGCTCTAACTACTGTAGGAACTAGGCAGCCAGTCTGGAGGGCAGCTCTAACTACTGTAGGAACTAGGCAGCCAGTCTAGTCTGGAGGACAGCTCTAACTACTGTAGGAACTAGGCAGCCAGTCTAGTCTGGAGGGCAGCTCTAACTACTGTAGGAACTAGGCAGCCAGTCTAGTCTGGAGGGCAGCTCTAACTACTGTATGAACTAGGCAGCCAGTTTAGTCTGGAGGACAGCTCTAACTACTGTAGGAACTAGGCAGCCAGTCTGGAGGGCAGCTCTAACTACTGTAGGAACTAGGCAGCCAGTCTAGTCTGGAGGACAGCTCTAACTACTGTAGGAACTAGGCAGCCAGTCTGGAGGACAGCTCTAACTACTGTAGGAACTAGGCAGCCAGTCTAGTCTGGAGGACAGCTCTAACTACTGTAGGAACTAGGCAGCCAGTCTAGTCTGGAGGACAGCTCTAACTACTGTAGGAACTAGGCAGCCAGTCTAGTCTGGAGGACAGCTCTAACTACTGTAGGAACTAGGCAGCCAGTCTAGTCTGGAGGACAGCTCTAACTACTGTAGGAACTAGGCAGCCAGTCTGGAGGGCAGCTCTAACTACTGTAGGAACTAGGCAGCCAGTCTAGTCTGGAGGACAGCTCTAACTACTGTAGGAACTAGGCAGCCAGTCTAGTCTGGAGGGCAGCTCTAACTACTGTATGAACTAGGCAGCCAGTTTAGTCTGGAGGACAGCTCTAACTACTGTAGGAACTAGGCAGCCAGTCTAGTCTGGAGGACAGCTCTAACTACTGTAGGAACTAGGCAGCCAGTCTAGTCTGGAGGACAGCTCTAACTACTGTAGGAACTAGGCAGCCAGTCTGGAGGGCAGCTCTAACTACTGTAGGAACTAGGCAGCCAGTCTAGTCTGGAGGACAGCTCTAACTACTGTAGGAACTAGGCAGCCAGTCTAGTCTGGAGGGCAGCTCTAACTACTGTATGAACTAGGCAGCCAGTTTAGTCTGGAGGACAGCTCTAACTACTGTAGGAACTAGGCAGCCAGTCTAGTCTGGAGGGCAGCTCTAACTACTGTATGAACTAGGCAGCCAGTTTAGTCTGGAGGACAGCTCTAACTACTGTAGGAACTAGGCAGCCAGTCTGGAGGGCAGCTCTAACTACTGTAGGAACTAGGCAGCCAGTCTAGTCTGGAGGACAGCTCTAACTACTGTAGGAACTAGGCAGCCAGTCTAGTCTGGAGGACAGCTCTAACTACTGTAGGAACTAGGCAGCCAGTCTAGTCTGGAGGACAGCTCTAACTACTGTAGGAACTAGGCAGCCAGTCTAGTCTGGAGGACAGCTCTAACTACTGTAGGAACTAGGCAGCCAGTCTGGAGGGCAGCTCTAACTACTGTAGGAACTAGGCAGCCAGTCTAGTCTGGAGGACAGCTCTAACTACTGTAGGAACTAGGCAGCCAGTCTAGTCTGGAGGGCAGCTCTAACTACTGTATGAACTAGGCAGCCAGTTTAGTCTGGAGGACAGCTCTAACTACTGTAGGAACTAGGCAGCCAGTCTAGTCTGGAGGACAGCTCTAACTACTGTAGGAACTAGGCAGCCAGTCTAGTCTGGAGGACAGCTCTAACTACTGTAGGAACTAGGCAGCCAGTCTGGAGGGCAGCTCTAACTACTGTAGGAACTAGGCAGCCAGTCTAGTCTGGAGGACAGCTCTAACTACTGTAGGAACTAGGCAGCCAGTCTAGTCTGGAGGGCAGCTCTAACTACTGTATGAACTAGGCAGCCAGTTTAGTCTGGAGGACAGCTCTAACTACTGTAGGAACTAGGCAGCCAGTCTAGTCTGGAGGACAGCTCTAACTACTGTAGGAACTAGGCAGCCAGTCTAGTCTGGAGGACAGCTCTAACTACTGTAGGAACTAGGCAGCCAGTCTAGTCTGGAGGACAGCTCTAACTACTGTAGGAACTAGGCAGCCAGTCTAGTCTGGAGGACAGCTCTAACTACTGTAGGAACTAGGCAGCCAGTCTGGAGGGCAGCTCTAACTACTGTAGGAACTAGGCAGCCAGTCTAGTCTGGAGGACAGCTCTAACTACTGTAGGAACTAGGCAGCCAGTCTGGAGGACAGCTCTAACTACTGTAGGAACTAGGCAGCCAGTCTAGTCTGGAGGACAGCTCTAACTACTGTAGGAACTAGGCAGCCAGTCTAGTCTGGAGGACAGCTCTAACTACTGTAGGAACTAGGCAGCCAGTCTAGTCTGGAGGACAGCTCTAACTACTGTAGGAACTAGGCAGCCAGTCTGGAGGGCAGCTCTAACTACTGTAGGAACTAGGCAGCCAGTCTAGTCTGGAGGACAGCTCTAACTACTGTAGGAACTAGGCAGCCAGTCTGGAGGGCAGCTCTAACTACTGTAGGAACTAGGCAGCCAGTCTAGTCTGGAGGACAGCTCTAACTACTGTAGGAACTAGGCAGCCAGTTTAGTCTGGAGGACAGCTCTAACTACTGTAGGAACTAGGCAGCCAGTCTAGTCTGGAGGGCAGCTCTAACTACTGTAGGAACTAGGCAGCCAGTCTAGTCTGGAGGGCAGCTCTAACTACTGTATGAACTAGGCAGCCAGTTTAGTCTGGAGGACAGCTCTAACTACTGTAGGAACTAGGCAGCCAGTCTAGTCTGGAGGACAGCTCTAACTACTGTAGGAACTAGGCAGCCAGTCTAGTCTGGAGGACAGCTCTAACTACTGTAGGAACTAGGCAGCCAGTCTAGTCTGGAGGACAGCTCTAACTACTGTAGGAACTAGGCAGCCAGTCTAGTCTGGAGGGCAGCTCTAACTACTGTAGGAACTAGGCAGCCAGTCTAGTCTGGAGAGCAGCTCTAACTACTCTACATCAAACAAATGAAAGTGAAGAATATGTAAGACTTGCTGCACCTACAAATTCATCTGGATATTTATTCAGGAAATGAAAATGGCAGTCTGAGATTTTAGAGTCTCTATGATTAATTATTTTTACATTTAATTTTTTTGTCATTTAGCAGACGCTCTTATCCAGAGCGACTTACAGTTAGTGAGTGCATACATGTTATTATTCTTCTTTTTTTTTTTTGTACTGGCCCCCCTTGGGAATCGAACCCACAACCCTGGCGTTACAAGGGCCATGCTCTACCAACTGAGCTACACGGGGCCCAGTGCTATTTGACCCTGATACAGGGCTTACTCATAGCACCTCATTTAGACAGATAAAATAAGCGCCTTTAGCGTCAAAAGAGATCAGATTTTTCTAATGAATGTCCTGTTGGTGCTCTCCAACAGTGTTTACCTTCTCCATAGTCATTATGACACAGATACTGGTGTGGTGCAGAGTTGAAGTCTGTTTAGACAAGGCTGGGGCTATAAATATAAATCATGTGGGCTGGGAGTGCAGGAGGAGGACAGTAAGATGGGAACTAGTAACATGAAGGGAGAGCCGTTATCCTGTCTTCTGTATAGGTGTGTTTGAGATGGGAAGTCAAGATCTGAGGGAACTCTGAGACTGTATGCTTTTAGCTCGTTGTGTGTGTGAACCTTGGCAGCCAGTCAACACAGAAACAGTTTTTTGCCTTTTAAGGGCAACAGGACTGAGCTCTCCTCCACACTGCCCTTCTCAGGCTTCGAGACTGAGACTGAGACTGAGAGCAGAGCAGAGAAACCCTTGATACAAACACATCCTCATTTCCAGGTATGGTTGGACAAGACCCCTGTGTGTGATAGTGTTAATCCCACTCAGAGGAGCTCCAGAGGGGCCTGAAACCAGCACGGAGGGGGAAGAAACAGGGAGCCTTGAGGTGCTTTCAGAACCAAGGCAAGCTGAGGGTTTTCGATTCAAGACAAATTAAAGAATGATCTTGTCGCTTGGCTGGTAGTCCTGACTGAGTCACACAGCAGAATTAGACTCACTAAGGATGGAATTAGCCGGAGTGTAGTCTGCTGGGAGGGAGGAAGGAAAGGAGAAAGAGTAAAGAGGGAGAGAAATCTGTGTTTTCAGTCAGTAGTGTGGACGCCGCACAGGGTCCTCATTGCTCAATGTCTCAAACACACGCACGGACACACACACTCTCCCGGTTCCTCCATAGAGACAGCTTGCCGGTTGCGTGCAGCATTAGACTTAACATAACAGCAGAAGTGAAAGCCACTAAACCCTGCCAGTCAGGTGGACGCCAGTAAGACTAAGACTAGCTGTCACCATTGGTGTCGGATAATGGGGATCCTAATAAAATCTAAATCTCACTTCCCCTTTTAGGTTAAATCAAGTCAAACATATGCATCCCATTGTAAGTCCTTAGATTCTCTGGTGAGGACAATGTCACAAGTGTCAGTGTCTCTGTTTACTCAACTGGTTAACCTACAGTACCAGGTGCCCAGGGTAAAACGAAGACACTGAGAATTCATCGAAACACGTATTTGCAAACCTAGAAACTGGTTTGAACATAGTTGGGTCCCGGCCCACTCTGTGCTGTATTCTCCAGTTGTTACTGGGTGTGAGAAACTATGTCAGAAACCCAGCAGGTATTTCTTAACCTAGCCGTGGAAACTCCAAAAGCCCATGTGTCCCAGTTCATGTGATTTACTAATCATCAGGGTCTCCTCACTCTCGCGCTATAAATCAAATCAGATTGTATTTGTCACATGCTTCGTAAACAACAGGTGTAGACTAACAGTGAAATGCTTACTTACAGGCTCTTCCCAACAATGCAGAGAGAAAAATATAGAACAAATAGTAACACAAGGAATAACTACACAATGAGTAACAATAACGAGGCTATATACATGGGGTACCAGTACCGAGTCGATCAAATCACATGTTATTTCTCACATGCGCCGAATACAACAGGTGTAGACCTTACCGTGAAATGCTTACTTACAAGCCCTTAACTTTATTTATTGAACTGCATTGTTGGTTAAGAAAATATTTACTAAATACAAATTTAACACAATAAAATAATAATAACGAGGCTATATACAGGGGGTACCGGTACCGAGTCAATGTACGGGGGTACAGGTTAGTCGAGGTAATTTGTACATGTAAGTAGGGGTAAAGTGACTATGCATAGATAATAAACAGCGAGTAGCAGCAGTGTAAAAACAAAGGGAGGGGTAGGTGTCAACAGGGACGGCTTGTTCAATAGGGCGATATGGGCGACGCACTGCCAAACGGGAAAAGGAAGGGATTTTTTTTCTAATCAATTATTTAAAAAAATAAATAAAATAAAAAATATATTTTTTTTTTATAAATTTATAAAAAATTATATCACGGCAACAGCAGTTATCAGTGTTCACGTCTGATCTGCCAGCCACTAAATGTCAAATCAGGCTAAAGTCGTGCTTCAAATGGCCCCGCCCGTTTTTTGGGCGATTTCAGTCAGGTTGAAAATCGCCCAGAAGTCTGTCATAGACTCCCATGTAAAATCTACTTTTTTCACATTTCAAAGCTTTCAATACATTCTCTATGGGTGTCTGTGGGCATGCACTTACGCGCTTTCGTCATACATAACGTAACCACGAATGAACGTAACTAAGAAAAGACCAGGTAGCAGCCTCAATCAATTCACTACTACTATCAAAATGGCTAGGCTTCAGTCCAACTCGATTGTGTCTTTGAAAGAAGTTCCTTTTTGTCGGCGAACAAATGAAGATAAATTGGCAACGAAACAATTAGGACCTCCCAGACCAAATTTAATAATTCAACAGGTGTCTACTAAAGGGGGGAAGTCCTACACCCGAGGATTTTCCAAAAATTGGTATGAACGGAAAACCTGGCTAGCAGGCTGCGATGTAGCTAATGCAGTTTTTTGCTACCCCTGCTTACTCTTCCACCCTGAAGGCGGCACAGCAGACAGCACCGCTTGGACAGCGACTGGTGTAACCGACATGCACCATCTTTCAGAAAAGATAAAGAAACATGAGCTGTCAAAGACCCACATGGATAGCTGTTTGAGATTGTCATCTTTGGGAAGAGTGAATATTGCCACTCAACTGGATGAGGGATACAGGCTAGCTGTCCGCCGCCACAACGATGAGGTTAGCAAGAACCGCCATATCCTCAGCCGGCTAATCCAGTGTGTTAAGTTTTGCGGAGTGTTTGAGTTAGCTTTGCGAGGCAAAGATGAAACTGAGGGCTCCACCAACCCTGGTATTTTTCTTGGACTTGTCAACTTTGTGGCACAATTAGATGAGGTGTTTGATGACCATCTTAAAAATGCTAAAGTTTTCAAGGGCACATCAAAGACCATTCAAAACGAGCTACTGGAGTGTATGCTAGCGGTCACGAGGGAACATATTGTGGAGGAGGTGAAGTCTGCGAACTTCGTAGCTATCCAAGCTGACGAGACCACGGATGTTTCTACGCAGACACAGTTGGTGCTTGTGCTGAGGTACATAGATAGCAAGCACAAAGTGCAGGAGCGCTTTTTTGAGTTCCTTCCCATCTCGGAATCAACCTCAGCCTCAATCGCCAGTGTACTTTTGGAGAGACTGAACGGTCTTTTTGCCGATGACGAGAAAGTCAAACTCATTGCGCAAGCTTACGATGGAGCCAGTGTGATGAGGGGAGAGAAGGCAGGTGTGCAGCAGAAGGTGCGTGAGCATTTCAAGAATGCCCATTACGTGCATTGCTATGCGCATCAGCTGAATTTGATCATGCATCAAGCTACTTCTCGCATCAAAAAAGTGAACATTTTCTTTTCCGATCTGAGCGGGATTACAACGTTTTTTTCCCGGTCACCCAAACGCACCAGCATTCTTGACCAGACTGTTGCACGAAGACTGCCCAGACCTTCATCCACACGGTGGAACTTCAACAGCAGAGTCGTGAACACTGTCTACGAGAATCGAGACGACCTCATAGAATGTTTTGAAGCCATCCGGACGGGTTCATTGGGTTCATTTGACCAGCTTACTGTGAGAGAGGCATCTGGTTACGTGAGGATGCTACATGATGAAGATTTTATTTTTTTCCTGCGGCTTTTTCACAAAATCATGCCCCACGTCGACATTCTGTACCAGAAGCTACAGAAGAAGGACATCGATGCTGTCTTTATCAAACGTGCCCTCGACAGCTTCACAAGCAGTGTGCAGGCCATAAGGTAAGATTAAACAATATCATTCGATCTTTCTCAAAGCAGAGCTTTATTTGAAAATGTATGCATGAAAGGAGACTGCATTTGTGTTTGAAATCACATTATTCTCATTATATATGGCCAGTGGTGTAATCTATCTTATTTTATATACTATGTGTACTGTGCAGTGGTGCTCATAAGCTTATGATCCCATGCTAAAGTTGACTAAAAAGAGGAATAAAAAAATAAAAAAATCATCTTTTGGAAATTGATCTTAATGACTTAATTAAAAAAGTTGGAAAATCCAACCTTTAAGGACACCAATTTTCTTTTCTTTTTTATTCCTCTTTTTAGTCAACTTTAGCATGGGATCATAAGCTTATGAGCACCACTGTATACTGTGCTGAACATCCAGGCTATGTGAGACACAAAGGCTAACTTAAACACTAAAGACTTTATGCATCCCTGCCCATTTTAAGTGGAACTTAAGTATTTGTACTATACATGGATACATTGCATATACCTGTGCATCACATAGACAACAATACTGTACAAAGCCAACAAACACATTGGTCTGTTTGCCTTCAGGGACTCCTCTCAACAGCAGCTGCAAGAAGCAACAGGAGCCAAAAGACCCAGAACAGCTTTGAGAGAAGAGGAGAAGCAGAGGCTGTCTGAAGAGGTCTGCAACACCATCCTGGATCACACCAAAGAAAGGTTATCTTTCTCTGGCCACCTTGTGAGTGCTACCTTACTGCAAGCAGACATGTTTGAAAGGTACTGCCATTCATTTCCTGATGAGGCTCTGAATGCCACTGTGAATGCATACCCCATGCTGAGCAAGGCAAAGCTCAAGACAGAACTATCTCTGATCTATGAGAATCCTGAATTCAAGGGAGGCTGTGGTGCACTGGCACTGTACCAGGTTCTCATGAGCTACAACCTCCAGGAGACGTTCTCTGAGACTGTGACTCTGTTGAACATCCTCATAACTACTCCCATGACAACAGCTGAAGCTGAGAGATGTTTCTCAACTTTGACACGAGTTAAGACATTCCTGCGAAATTCAATGGGCCAGGAACGTCTGAATGCACTGGCCATGCTTTCCATGGAGAGGGAACTAGTCCTCAGCATGCCTGATTTCAATGAGAAAGTCATTGAACGCTTTGCTGTATTGAAACAGAGAAGAGAACAGTTTCAGTACAAGTAATGTAGCCTCTCTCTCTCTTTGTCCCTCCCTGTCTGTCTCTTTAACACACACACGCCCAAATCAGTTCACAGTTGATGTTGTTTAAAATAGTTTTTTTTTCATTTTAAAAAAAGTAATAAAAATAAAAATCTGTTCATGTTCATTTTTACAAATCTATACAATTGGCCAGAATATGGTTGTTCATATTTACAAATCTATACAATTGGCCAGAATATGGTTGTTCATTTTTACAAAGCCATACAGATAGCTGTGTTTACCTTTTCTAGAAATTACTTTCAAATTCTGTTTTCATTCTTATTTCATTTGTTTATGGAAATGCATATTGTTTATGCAGTGTTGAGGAATGTGAAAGAACACCCTTGATTATTTTTACTGTGATAACTTATTTTGATTTTGTAAGCCAACACTTTTGAGATCAGTCAATAAATGCTTCTGGTATTGACTTATATGCTGCCCCTGTCTTCATGTTGTTGCTGGACATATCTTTTTTAAAATGTGTGTAGGTCACCTAAATCATCAGAAAAATTGCCCCTCCTGAGAATTTTTTCAGGAGCCGCCACTGGGTGTCAATGTAAATAGTCTGGGTGGCCATTTGATTAATTGTTCAGCAGTCTTATGGCTTGGGGGTAGAAGCTGTTAAGGAGCCTTTTGGTTCTAGACTTGGCGCTCCGGTACCGCTTGCCTGTGGGTGTGCAGGGGTACGAGGTAATTGAGGTAGATATGTACATATAAGTAGGGGTAACGTGACTAGGCAACAGGATAGATAATAAACAGTAGCAGCAGCGTATGTGATGAGTCAAAAGAGTTTGTGCAAAGAGGGTCAATGCAGATAGTCCGGGTAGCTATTTGGTTAACTATGTAGGAGTCTTGGGGGTACAAGTTGTTCAGGGTCCTGTTGGTTCCAGACTTGGTGCATCAGTACCGCTTGCCGTGCGATGGCAGAGAGAACAGTCTATGACTTGGGTGGCTGGAGTCTGACAATTTCCAGGGCCTTCCTCTGACACCGCCTGCTATAGAGGTCCTGGATGGCAGGGAGCTCGGCCCCAGTGATGTACTGGGCCATACGCACTACCCTCTGAAGCGCCTTGCGGTCGGATGCCAAGCAGTTGCCATAGCAAGCGGTGATGCAGCCAGTCAAGGTGCTCTCTGGTGCAGCTGTATAACTTTTTGAGGATCTTCGAGCCCATGCCAAATCTTTTCAGCCTCCTGATGGGGAAGAGGCGTTGTCGTGCCTTCTTCACGACTGTGTTAGTGTGTGAGTACCATGTTAATTCCTTAGTGATGTGGACACAGAGGAACTCTCAACCTGCTCCACTACAGCCCCGTCGATGTGGATGGATGCGTGCTCGGCCCTCCATTTAATGTAGTCCACGATCAGCTCCTTTGTCTTGCTGACGTTGAGGGAGAGGTTGTTGTCCTGGCACCATTGTCGTCGGTGATCAGGCCTGCCACCGTCTGCTACCATTTGGCTCTTACCAATGTGGCCCATATTTCCAGGCAATTACAGAACAGTTGTAGATATTAGCCAAAGAATCTGACAATTCATTCAATCAATGTTAATCCTTCATTGTACAGAGAACACATACAATACATTTGGATTCATTCCCTGAAGTGCACCCTATTGCCTGTGTAGTGCACTTTATTTGACCAGAGCCACATGTGCACTGGCAGGGAAGAAGAGGATCTGTGATGATAGTGCTAACCAGATCTGTATCTGCTGAGCTTTTCACCACCACCAGCAGCATCAGCTAGCTATCGATGGGCTCTCCTCCAGCATTTCTGCCTGATTACACAAGACAGGCCTCCAGCACCCTGTACTCCTGCCAGGAAAGCCCCCAGCCCAGCCTCTGTGGAACGATGCCCAGCTGACTGCACTCTCAGAGGATATGTGTCTCTACAACAGGGTTTCCCCTATGAATGCTTAGGCGGGACGCCCACCACCTTCCCTAGCTCTGTTGCACACCCCTGCCTAAACATAGTCCAAAAATATTTTGGTCTCAGCAGTTCAGGCATTTACTTCCCTTCCTTTGATACAATCTAGGAGAAACACCCCAGTTGATCAGAGCAGATATCATTAAGCTAGCAGGATGTCCTCATCCTCATGCTCCTACTCATCAGAACACACAGTAATGTGCCTTCCAGTCAAGCTGAGGACTAACCTCTCTGCCATGTCTATGTCCTTACAGTCCAACTAAATAAGGAAACCATTTTCTTTAGGAAACCTGGTTAGTGTGTTTGATTGAGCAAGACCCAGAGTGATACTTTGAATAGCTCACTGTTGTTACCATGGAGACAATCGGGGGCAGATGAAGGGGAGATTGGTTCCATCAGAATCCCTAGAAAAGCATCCTGCTGTTTGCATTATCTCGCCACAGCTGAATCTCTGGGATAGTCCACATGAATGCTTGAAAGGCTCTCTGCATAAAGGATGCCCAACATATCAGCCCAACACTTGTCATTAAACTCAGCAGTGGACTGGTGGTATCACAGGGAAACAAAGCGTTCAACGGAACCTTGATGATAAGTGGTTTTGTTTATACGGTACATCCGGTCAGTGTTGATCATTTTGACTAAGCTGGGGTATTGTCAATAGACGTATGTAAAAGCATGCCGCTCTGAGTTTCTCCTCCTGGCCTGCCCTAGTCTCTCTGAGGTATTCTAGCCTTGGGGCTGTGGGCTGTTGCTAGTTACTGTACTCCAGCTGTTAGCAGTGACAGAAATAGAGTGTGGATCTCTATTGAAGCTCTTAAGTAGACCAGGGCTGGTCTATTACCCACAGCCTCCAGCCTCAGTGGAAATGGGCTAATTGTTCCTGTTCGATGAGGAGAGGAGAGGCCTGGTTCCTGGGCTAACTGGCAACTGGCTGAGGACGTGCCCTGGAGGAACCATGTCCCCTGAGGGGGAGGTGGGGGAAGAGGATGAGGAGTGGGAGGGGCATTGGATGGTTTTGTGATGAAGAGCGCATTTCTGCGCTCACTCTATCTTTGGAATACGCATCGATGATGGGAAAAAGTGTCAGTTCAACATTAATAGAGAAAAACATCTGATTATCACCACTCATTGTTATTTTGTTGTGTGAAGGGCACCTGTTGCTCCATTTATGTCTATTCAGACCCTTCTTCAGTTGATGCCAGCATATATGCTGCCATTATTTAAGATGATACGTTTATAACTCTCAGTTCCTCTATGCTATCAATTATCTGATGACACAAGGGTTGAAATATGTGCGATCTCCATTGTTTCTTCTCTCAGAATTAATGTGATAAAGTGCTCCTTGAAGTAATGTGAGAAATTGTAAGCGACAGTTTTGAAACAACAGGAGACCATTGTGTAGACAGAACCGAATGACATTGTCGTATTCAGAGCTTGTTGTTCCTGTCTGCCGGCAGGCTAAAGAACAGTCTGTGTTTACTTCATGTTGTACACTTCCTGCCCAAACAAAGACAAACGCATGCATCCACTGTATCAAAACTCTTATATCTATGAATAATTTAGGGCTCCATGGACAAAAGCCTTACTACACAGTCAGACTCCAGTACACATAGACAGACACACACTGAGGGACAGACGGACGCGTGTGCACACACACACAAAAATATATAAATACACACACACACACAAATAAGCAAATTTGTCAGATGCGGTTGAGAGCACATTGAGCATCAGAGGGATAGAGGCAGTGCCCTCAGGGGATGCTGCTGGAGCAGAGTAATGATATCTAACTGCATGTTCACAGACACGTGCCCCTCTCTCTCTCTCTCTCTCTCTCTCTCTCTCTCTCTCTCTCTCTCTCTCTCTCCATCTACCTCCCTTCTGCCTCTCTCTCTCTATCTGCCTCTCTCTCTCTCGCGCTCTCTCTCTCTCGCGCTCTCTCTCTCGCTCTCGCTCTGCCTCTCTCTCTCTCTCTCTTCTTCCCTCTGCCTCTCTCCCTGTCACTCCATCCGTGTCTCTCTCTATATATTTCTGTCCATCCCTGTCTCTCCTTGCATGTGGACCAGCCTCTCCTCTGGGAGTCCAGCCACCTCCACAGCCCACAGCGCTCCTGCACCAAAAGCGAAATGTGAGCGGAGAAGGGTGAGGGAGAGGGTGAAGGGGAGGTGCGGAGAGGGTGAAGGGGAGGTGCGGAGAGGGTGAAGGGGAGGTGCGGAGAGGGTGAGAAGGGGAGGTGCGGAGAGGGTGAGAAGGGGAGGTGCGGAGAGGGTGAAGGGGAGGTGCGGAGAGGGTGAGAAGGGGAGGTGCGGAGAGGGTGAGAAGGGGAGGTGCGGAGAGGGTGAGAAGGGGAGGTGCGAAGAAGGGGAGGTGCGGAGAGGGTGAGAAGGGGAGGTGCGGAGAGGGTGAGAAGGGGAGGTGCGGAGAGGGTGAAGGGGAGGTGCTGAGAGGGTGAAGGGGAGGTGCGGAGAGGGTGAAGGGGAGGTGCGGAGAGGGTGAAGGGGAGGTGCGGAGAGGGAAAAGAGAGAGATAAACAATGGTCAGAGTGGGGATGTGAAAGGACGTATAATTGGTGTGGTCCCTTATGTTTATCATTGTCTCTCTCTCCCTCTCTCTTTCTCCCTCCCTCTCTCCCTCCTTCTCTCTCAGCTCGTAGAGGAAGGCCCAGGCGGGGCCGTGGAGTGGCTCAGTACAAGGGTGTGTGTGTGTGTGAGGGTGTGTGTTCTCACCACCACCACCCCGTGCCTCTCCTCCCCCCTGGAGAAGGCTAGCAGAATCAGGATGTCGGAGGCTAGAGAGCGTAGCCCCCGTCACCAGAGGCCCTGGTCAGTGTACCGGGCCAACACCTTTGACCTCTCCTCTGAGATGATCGGCCTGGCGCTCGCAGGTGAGAATGGGAAAGGGTTGCTTGTAGTGGGTTGGTCACAGACAATATCAAGGAAACAAACAATATGAGAGACCATGTGATGAACAATTGGTAATGGAATTACATCCTGTCTTGTACACATCCTGTCTATCCAGTCTGTATATCATGGTACACCGACACATGTTTTTATCACTTTTGTCCTTTCATTTCCGCCAACTGAATTAGTGGAAAATGACTTGTATGAGTTAATGCTACTTTTCTGTTTTGTAGGGAACAGCCAGGATCCAGATGAGCCTGTTCTAGAGTTCAGTGTGGGTGAGTACAGTAAATTAACTTCAATTAACTTCTATAGGAATTTGTCTTGCATTTATTGTTCCACGCGTTCCAACGTGCTGTGTGTCCCTCCCTCCCTCCCTCCCTCCCTCCCTCCCTCCTCAGCCTGTAATGAGTTGGTGACCCCAGCTCTGGAGCGGAAACCCAACAGCTTTGTGGCAGTGAGCTGCACCACCCCTCCCCAGGCCTTCTGGACCAAACACGCCCAGACTGAGATCATCGAGGTGAGACAGAACATTTTTTTACATTTTACATTTTAGTCATTTAGCAGACGCTCTTATCCAGAGCGACTTACAGGAGCAATTAGGGTTAAGTGCCTTGCTCAAGGGCACATTTACGTCATTTAGCAGACGCTCTTATCCAGAGCGACTCACAAATTGGTGCATTCACCCTATAGCCAGTGGGATAACCACTTTACAAATTATTTTTTTGGGGGGGGGGGGGGGGTAGAAGGATTACTTTATCCTATCCCAGGATCATCCCACTGTCCCCCTACTGCCGTCATCCCACTGTTCCCTACTGCCGTCATCCCTCTGTTCCCTACTGCCGTCATCCCTCTGTTCCCTACTGCCGTCATCCCACTGTCCCCTACTGCCATCATCCCAATGTTCCCTACTGCCGTCATCCCACTGTCCCCTACTGCCATCATCCCACTGTTCCCTACTGCCGTCATCCCTCTGTTCCCTACTGCCGTCATCCCTCTGTTCCCTACAGCCATCATCCCACTGTGCCCTACTGCTGTCATCCCACTGTTCCCTACAGCCATCATCCCACTGTGCCCTACTGCCGTCATCCCACTGTTCCCTACTGCCGTCATCCCTCTGTTCCCTACTGCCGTCATCCCACTGTGCCCTACTGCCGTCATCCCTCTGTTCCCTACTGCTGTCATCCCTCTGTTCCCTACAGCCATCATCCCACTGTGCCCTTCTGCCGTCATCCCACTGTTCCCTACTGCCGTCATCCCTCTGTTCCCTACTGCCGTCATCCCACTGTGCCCTACTGCCGTCATCCCACTGTTCCCTACTGCCATCATCCCAATGTTCCCTACTGCCGTCATCCCACTGTCCCCTACTGCCATCATCCCACTGTTCCCTACTGCAGTCATCCCTCTGTTCCCTACTGCCGTCATCCCTCTGTTCCCTACAGCCGTCATCCCACTGTTCCCTACTGCCGTCATCCCTCTGTTCCCTACAGCCATCATCCCACTGTGCCCTACTGCCGTCATCCCACTGTTCCCTACTGCCGTCATCCCTCTGTTCCCTACTGCCGTCATCCCACTGTTCCCTACTGCCTGTCATCCCTCTGTTCCCTACTGCCGTCATCCCACTGTTCCCTACTGCCGTCATCCCACTGTTCCCTACTGCCGTCATCCCTCTGTTCCCTACTGCCTGTCATCCCTCTGTACCCTACTGCCGTCATCCCTCTGTTCCCTACTGCCGTCATCCCACTGTTCCCTACTGCGTCATCCCTCTGTACCCTACTGCCGTCATCCCTCTGTTCCCTACTGCCGGTCATCCCTCTGTTCCCTACTGCCGTCATCCCACTGTTCCCTACTGCCGTCATCCCACTGTTCCCTACTGCCGTCATCCCTCTGTTCCCTACTGCCGTCATCCCTCTGTTCCCTACTGCCGTCATCCCACTGTTCCCTACTGCGTCATCCCTCTGTACCCTACTGCCGTCATCCCTCTGTTCCCTACTGCCGTCTGCTACACTGCACTGTTGTGTTCCTATATGATTGTAGAATGTTGTTATCCAAAATGTTTCTGGATGTGTACAGTATGGATGAAGCAAGATGAGAGAGCACTGCTCCCTGGGCGGCAGGTAGCCTAGCGGTTCGAGGTTTGAGCCAGGAACCGAAAGGTCGTTGGTTCGAATACACGAGCCGACAAGGTGAAAAATCTGTCTGTGCCTTTGAGCAAGGCACTTAACCTTAATTTGCTCCAGGGGCGCCGTACTACTATTGCTGACCGTATAAAACAACAAAATTTTCTGCAGCTATCCGGTGTATGTGACAGTAAAACATTATTTAAGAATGTTGTTATCCAATATCTTTCTGGATGTGTACAGTTTGGATGAAACAACAGTGAGAGCTTTATGGATTGTTTGATTGATTGATTGATTGTTTCCCCCTACAGGGCACCAATAACCCTATATTCCTGAGCAGCATAGCCTTCTTCCAGGACTCTCTGATCAACCAGCAGACGCAGGTCAAGCTGTCTGTGTACGACGTCAAGGACCGCTCTCAGGGCACGGTGAGTAGAATGCTATTAGATAAGATGACATTAAAACACCAAGTAATATGTCAGGGTCCCATCGGATAATAAGCTACTACCACTAGTAGGTCAGTCCCATTCCTCTCATCACCTCCCTTCCCTCACCATCGACCTAGGGAGTGTTGTTATCTTAGATGTCTGTCTCTGTCTCCTTCTCCTTTCTCTCTCTCTCTCTCTCCCTCACTCTTTCCCTCCCTTATTCTCTCCCTCTCTCGTTCTCTCTCTTTCTCCCTGTCCCTGTCTCTCTTGCTTTCTCTCTTTTATTCTCTCGCTTTCTCTCTCTCTCCTGACCTAGATGTATTTATTGGGCTCAGCTCTGTTTCCTGTGAAGGAGCTGCTGCAGGAGAAGAACCACCGGTTACACCTGACCCTGAGGTATGAGCGACAGACAGGTTACACCTGACCCTGAGGTATGAGAGACAGACAGGTTACACCTGACCCTGAGGTATGAGAGACAGGCAGGTTACACCTGACCCTGAGGTATGAGGGACAGACAGGTTACACCTGACCCTGAGGTATGAGAGACAGACAGGTTACACCTGATCCTGAGGTATGAGAGACAGGCAGGTTACACCTGACCCTGAGGTATGAGAGACAGACAGGTTACACCTGACCCTGAGGTATGAGAGACAGACAGGTTACACCTGACCCTGAGGTATGAGAGACAGACAGGTTACACCTGACCCTGAGGTATGAGGGACAGACAGGTTACACCTGACCCTGAGGTATGAGGGACAGACAGGTTACACCTGACCCTGAGGTATGAGAGACAGACAGGTTACACCTGACCCTGAGGTATGAGAGACAGACAGGTTACACCTGACCCTGAGGTATGAGGGACAGACAGGTTACACCTGACCCTGAGGTATGAGAGACATACAGGTTACACCTGACCCTGAGGTATGAGAGACAGACAGGTTACACCTGACCCTGAGGTATGAGAGACAGACAGGTTACACTGACCCTGAGGTATGAGAGACAGACAGGTTACACCTGACCCTGATGTATGAGAGACAGACAGGTTACACCTGACCCTGAGGTATGAGAGACAGACAGGTTACACCTGACCCTGAGGTATGAGGGACAGACAGGTTACACCTGACCCTGAGGTATGAGAGACATACAGGTTACACCTGACCCTGAGGTATGAGAGACAGACAGGTTACACCTGACCCTGAGGTATGAGAGACAGACAGGTTACACCTGACCCTGAGGTATGAGAGACAGACAGGTTACACCTGACCCTGAGGTATGAGAGACAGACAGGTTACACCTGACCCTGAGGTATGAGCGACAGACAGGTTACACCTGACCCTGAGGTATGAGAGACAGACAGGTTACACCTGACCCTGAGGTATGAGAGACAGACAGGTTACACCTGATCCTGAGGTATGAGAGACAGACAGGTTACACCTGATCCTGAGGTATGAGAGACAGACAGGTTACACCTGACCCTGAGGTATGAGAGACAGGCAGGTTACACTGACCCTGAGGTATGAGAGACAGACAGGTTACACCTGATCCTGAGGTATGAGAGACAGACAGGTTACACCTGACCCTGAGGTATGAGAGACATACAGTCACGTCTACCATAAACACCTCTGATCAGTCACAGCAATGGAATTGAATCAGACAGGTTTCGTACGTCAATATGATTATAATTATCTTCATATGCCATGCCTTTGGTAAGGTGGCAGGTAGCCTAGCGGTTAGAGCGCTGTGCCAGTAACCCGAAAGGTCGCTAGTTCGAATCCCCGAGCCGACAAGGTAGAACAAAATCTATGTGCCCTTGAGCAAGGCACTTAACCCTAATTGCTCCAGGGTTGCTGTTGTATCGGGTGTATCCTGCTTGCTGCCAATGTTCACTAATCTTGTTTAATTCTTTAGTTATCAATGGCTGACCCTGGCCGTGACCCCACTCTCTGAGGGTGTCTCAGGGGGAGGTGGGATATGCAACAACAACAAAAACATTTCCAATTCACACATGCGTTTAATACAAACTTGTACATGTGTGAAATAGGACAAATATAAGCACCTAAATTATTATTATAACAGACAAGAGGATGCTTAAATGTATGGATCCATAGTCATGTAAATGTAAGGCCTATAAATTTTTCAGATAGATATTTTGATCTGTCATATAGTTTGATCGTTGCTGCTGTTTGTCCATTGACTGTAGATTGTGATGCTGGGGGATGCAGTTGACAGCCCTATTGATGTGTGTTATTGATGAACAGATCAGCAGAGAACAAGCAGGTGGGGAACATTACCATCATCGCCTGGCAGATAGAGGAGAAGAGGGACCAGAGGACACTGCCTGTTGCCAGGTTACCAGACACCATCAACGGCAGGGTGAGCTTCCGAGACGTCCACCGGATCCCTACCGCAGACACCAAATGTCAGACACCTGTGACCTGTGAGACCGTGGCCAGGGTTAGGGGGGTGTGTGTGTGTGTGTGTGTGTGTGTGTGTGTGTGTGTGTGTGTGTGTGTGTGTGTGTGCATCCTGCGTGTGTGACTCTTCTATTCCCGTGTGCCACAGACCGTGCTTCCGGTGGATGAGAGCCTGACAGAATCCATGGGCGTCAGAGCCAAATATGCATCTTTATGCAAAGATACCCTGCTGAGATCAGGTAGGATGGTACTGCTGGGTCGTTTCCATTATCTCAGCCCACTGACACCACCTCTACCAAAGCCCACTAGAAAAGTCTGTTTCCCCACTGAGCCGCTTTGAAAGCAGGCGCCAATATTTCATAAGTGTCACCTGAGACAAATGCAGTTAGGTATCATTCTCAGTAACATTTCACCTAATGCGATTGTCTGTTCTAAAAATTATTTTGGCGTCTCTAAATGATTTGAGTGGACGTCCATCCGATCCATTCCTCACGGCTGGATGTTAGCAGGTTTTTACTGAGAAATGTCATTAGCTGTGAGAGATCGTTGCTTTTCTTAGACATCTGTATACAATGGAATGGGTTATTGTCCTCTGGGAAGGAAATACTTTTTCACACGCTCCTCTTACACTTTAAATCATCACAGAGACATAATATGACCTTCGAACTATGCAGGTCCTTTATAATGTAATACTCGACTGTGGAGCCAAAGAAATTATTTAGAGATTGTGTTAGATGATGTTGAGCATTTTTCGGGTGTGTGCACGTGTGTATGTGCGTGCATGCATGTGTGTGTATGTGCATGCATGCGTGTGTGTGTGTGTCTCTTGCAGTGTTTGGAGGCACCATGTCCAGGATGTACCGTTTCCCCACCACGGACGGTAACCACCTGCGGGTGCTAGAGCAGATGGCTGAAAGTGTGTTGTCTCTCAACATCCCCAGACAGTATGTCAAACTGCTGCTGGAGGAGGACGCTGTCAGGTACACTACTACACTACACACACACACACACACACACACACACACATGCACATTTATGACCGTGTCCAGAGATGTTTTAATTGAGAGTGCATTAATAAAATATCACTTAATGCCTAAGTTGCCGAAATGTGTGTGTGTGTGCTCAGGGTTTGTGAGCTGGAGGAGCTGGGGGAGTTGTCACCATGCTGGGAGAACCTACGGCGACAGATAGTCACTCAGTACCAGACCATCATCCTCACCTACCAGGAGACTCTCTCTGACCTCACCAACTACAAGGGTTAGTACTGTACACACACACACACACACACACACACCACTACAAGTAACACACTCACTAACTTACTTCAGCCTCAGATAACTATGTCTAAGGGGCTTGGTTTGTTGTGGTTTAACATGATAATCCTACTCTGTCTTTCCCTTTTCTCTGGTCTTTCTTCCAGGTCCGTCGTTCAAAGCCAGTAACCTGAAGGCAGAGAGGAAGCTGGAGTTTATACCCACCAACCTTCATGTCCAGAGGATGAGGGTGCAGGATGAGTCTGGTTTTGGTGAGCTGAGCCCCATTCCCCGTTTTCCCTCCTGGCTGTTCATGCAGCTCCCCACTTTGGCCTTAATAGTTGTATTATGTTCCCCCAGACCACACGTATGACGTGGTGACCATCGGGGCTCCCGCCGCCCACTGCCAGGGCTTCAAGAACAGCGGCCTACGCAAACAAATCACCAAGTTCGAGGAGGCCAAGAAACAGTGAGTACAGAACCTCACAAAGAGGTGGAACCCAGGTGGGACTAGTGTAGAACCTTGGTTAGAATTTTGTATCGGGCATATCCTTCTTGCTGCCAATGCTCACTAATCTTATCACATTTTTCAGCTAACAACCCTACTGACTGACTGATTAGCTGGCTGTGTATAGGCTTGACTTTTTAAGTCTTTGTTTGTTTTTAACTGACACATTTCTAATCAAGTGAATCCTAAGTCTGCTTTTGCTAGAGAAACACCCTTGTACCTCACCCCATCCCTTTTAAAAATGGTATTGGAAAGTTTAACTATATCTAAATATGTTTACAGTGTCTTAACAGGTTTAACCATAAAGCAGAATGGATAACAGCATTAAACACAAACCACTGCTTTCGTCTAAACATTAACGTCATTATATAGTTGAGAATCACATCTTGAGAATGATATTATTTATGTGGTTAATGAATGATAACCCAGAACATACTGTCAAATGCAATGCCTCATTTATCAAATCCGCGTACGTCTCTTTTCCTTTGTTCTTGTGCCTGTGCTACTGCATGGTCTGTATTTTGATGGCCGACTTTCTATCTGTTTGTGTTGTCATTTTCTCATTGTACACTACATGATATGCTGCTTTTAGCCTTGGCATTTCCCTATGATTATATTATATATTTCTAAGATGATTTTCCGTTTTCTGGCTTTTTAATTTTTCCAATTGCATCTTTATTTTCTAATCAGCGTTTATGAGGAAGAATGGTGAGTTCCTGTGTATTCAGATTATTTTCTTTAGTCGTTTTATTCTCCCCACTATTTGTTTGGTTCTTTCTGCATGGAAATAATTGTTTGTTTGCTGTCACTGAGTTTGTTGTTTAGCTGTAAGGCTGTGTCACCTGCCTGTGTTTCACCACTGTTAGTATGCGTCCACAATGGGCGTCTGTGAGTACCATTGTAAGCTACTGTATATTGATAGAGGGTGATCTACAGTAGAGTGCTTGCTATGGGTTTTCAGAGCCATAGAACCACAGAGTTTGACAGATCCATAACAATAGCATTGTACATTCTACATCTTAAACAGAGTCTGCTGTGGTTCTATGGTGTCTAGATAGTGTTGTCTGTGTTCCAGGTGAGGAACAGGCTTGTGCATGCAGATGTGGATGCTCAGCTCAGTCCCCGACCTGCAGAGTAGAATATTCTAACAGAGTTGAATTATTCAGATATGTATATAATGCAGCTACCTGTGTAATCTGTCAAGCAGTGTGAGAGAACGTTGCAGAAGTACAATCTCCTTCAGTTCCCAGAATGCAGTGCCCATTCAGTCTCACTTTCCTGTGTGTGCTCTTACCATCTTTGTCTACACGTGTGTGTCTTTAGTGTGTGTGTGTGTGTGTGTGTGTGTGTGTGTGTGTCTGTATTTACTGTATGTGTGTGTCTATGTCTGTGTGTCTCGGTAAATGCTGTGTTCTCTTAACACCCCACCCTGTCCGTCCCTGCAGCAGTGCCCTGTCCAGCTGCCAGTCCATAGTGTACATCCCCCAGGACATCGTCCGGGCCAAGGAGATCATCTCCCACATCAACACCCTGAAGACCCAGGTCAGCTACTACGCTGAGAGGCTGTCCCGCGCCGCCAAGGACCGCTCTGCCAACGGTCTGGAGAGGACCCTTACCATCCTGGCTGATAAGGTGAGGGAGAGTCTCTAGTCTGGTACCAGGTCTGTTGGTGAGGGAGAGCCTCTAGCCTGGTACCAGGTCTGTTGGTGAGGGAGAGTCTCTAGCCTGGTACCAGGTCTGTTGGTGAGGGAGAGTCCCTAGTCTGGTACCAGGTCTGTTGGTGAGGGAGAGTCTCTAGTCTGGTACCAGGTCTGTTGGTGAGGGAGAGTCTCTAGTCTGGTACCAGGTCTGTTGGTGAGGGAGAGTCTCTAGTCTGGTACCAGGTCTGTTGCTGAGGGAGAGTCTCTAGCCTGGTACCAGGTCTGTTGCTGAGGGAGAGTCCCTAGCCTGGTACCAGGTATGTTGGTGAGGGAGAGTCTCTAGCCTGGTACCAGGTCTGTTGGTGAGGGAGAGTCCCTAGCCTGGTACCAGGTATGTTGGTGAGGGAGAGTCTCTAGTCTGGTACCAGGTCTGTTGGTGAGGGAGAGCCTCTAGCCTGGTACCAGGTATGTTGGTGAGGGAGAGCCTCTAGCCTGGTACCAGGTCTGTTGGTGAGGGAGAGCCTCTAGCCTGGTACCAGGTCTGTTGGTGAGGGAGAGGCTCTAGTCTGGTACCAGGTCTGTTGGTGAGGGAGAGCCTCTAGCCTGGTACCAGGTCTATTGGTGAGGGAGAGTCTCTAGTCTGGTACCAGGTCTGTTGCTGAGGGAGAGTCTCTAGCCTGGTACCAGGTCTGTTGGTGAGGGAGAGCCTCTAGCCTGGTACCAGGTCTGTTGGTGAGGGAGAGTCTCTAGCCTGGTACCAGGTCTGTTGGTGAGGGAGAGTCTCTAGCCTGGTACCAGGTCTGTTGGTGAGGGAGAGTCTCTAGCCTGGTACCAGGTCTGTTGGTGAGGGAGAGTCTCTAGCCTGGTACCAGGTCTGTTGGTGAGGGAGAGTCTCTAGCCTGGTACCAGGTCTGTTGGTGAGGGAGAGTCTCTAGCCTGGTACCAGGTCTGTTGGTGCTATTTTGCCGACGTTTGTGCAGTGTGTATTTTGTCTTCAGTTATCAACACAGAGATCAATAGATTATTTGACCAATTTAATTTGTCATCATGTGGACGGAAGACAATACAGAACGGCCTCTCTTGCTTGGCTCAATTCCCGCTGTGTGGTTCCTATGACCTTTACCCTCAGACTCGCCAGCTGGTGACGGAGTGCGACTGCAAGCTGCTGGCCTCAGCCATCCAGGCACTGAACGCTGCGCGCCCCGAGTACATCGCCTCCAAGGCATCTCCCACCGCCGACGCCGCCGATCAAGTAGTCCTGCGCAACGACCAGGACACGCTGCTGGCCAAGTGGAGCGTATGCAACAGCCGCTCCTCGCTGCACGACGACTGGCACGAGGAGGAGTGGGTAAGGCAAGGGGTCACCAGGGCTCAGGGGTTCACAGGTCAACTCCAGTTTAGCCTTCGTAGTTTAGGAGCACTTAAATACAGTTACAGTATGTAAGGAAGAAAGCAGTGTGTTTACTGAGGGATTTGTTGTGATTGATGTGGGGTGTGGTTTAGTATGTTGGTCCATCAGATGTCTTGACTGAAACGATATCTTTTGTTTATTCTCTTCTCTTCTCTCCTCCCCCCATCTCCTCTCTTCCACTCTTCTATCATTTCTTCACTGTTCTTCTCTTTTCTTGTCCTCCTCCCCTCTGCACTCCCTCTCCCCAGGAGAAGGTGTGGCTAAACGTAGACAAGAGTCTGGAGTGCATCATCCAGCGGGTGGACAAGCTCCTTCAGAAGGACCGTCTGCCTAACGACAGCAGCAAGGGGGACACTACCCCAGGCGACCAGCAGGGCGGCAGCAGTAAGAAAGGTAACCAGAGTACCAGGGCATTCTGGATCAACCCCGACTGCATGACCCAGGAGGAGCCTTCATCACCACCATCACCACCATCCTCACCATCATCATCCTCCCTCCTGCCTGCTCTCACCCTGAGTCTGACTCATGCATGCCCACCCAGCCCTGACAAAAACCCATGTAGGTTTCTTTCCTTCTTTACCTTTCTTTCTTTCACTTCACTTCACTTGCTTTTTTGCTTTGTCATGCACATTGTCCTATCATCCCACTGCTATCATATTCATCATATCTCAACTTATTAGAATGGGCCTAACTTGTTTTTGTGCAATATTTTTTCTTAGACATTCTGAAGATGTATATTTCCTATTTGTGAATGGTTCAGTTTGCTCTGTGTTAGGTAGGTCTGTCAGTGTTCATGTTGTATTCTGGGGGCCAGCCAAAGTCCCATTGCTGTGGCCTTCTATGTGCCAGCTCAGCTCAGCCTATGTACTGTAGCCAGCTAGCTTATTATGTGCTTATTGTACTGTACTGTGTGTGCTATCTGCCATGTTGCTGATGGCATGTGGCACCTCCACCCCTTCCAGATGGCAGCCCCAGTGGCGAGGAGGCTTTCCCAGGTAAGAGCTCTGTCCTCTCCCCTGCTTCTGTCCCCTGTCTCTCTGACTGCTTCTAGCTGCAGCCCAGCTCAGTGCTACGGCTTCTTCTAGCTCTATATATCACAGTCTGTATGACATCTCTGTTTGTTTCTAGTACCTTATCAGAGATGAAGGACATCAAGTCAAATGTGTTGTCACATGTTATTCTCATATTATATGAAGGAGTTACAGCAGCAGTTTAAGGGTCTCTTAGGATGATTTAAATGCAGAAGGGTACATAGTTTATGGTGTGTGTGTGTGACTGTTTTTGTTTGTGTGTGTGTGTGTGTGTGTGTGTGTCTGCCCCAGGGGAGTGGAGCGAGGCGCTGTACCCTCTCCTCACCACGCTGACAGAGTGTGTGGCTATGATGAGTGACAAGGCTAAGAAGTCCATGGTGTTCCTATTGATGCAGGACAGCGCTCCTACCATCGCCATGGACCTCTCCCTGCAGTATAGACGAGACGTGGTCTTCTGCCAGACGGTCAGCACAGTACACATACAGTGGGGAAAAAAAGTATTTAGTCAGCCACCAATTGTGCAAGTTCTCCCACTTAAAAAGATGAGAGGCCTGTAATTTTCATCATAGGTACACGTCAACTATGACAGACAAAATGAGAAAAATAAATCCAGAAAATCACATTGTAGGATTTTTAATGAATTTATTTGCAAATTATGGTGGAAAATAAGTATTTGGTCAATAACAAAAGTTTCTCAATACTTTGTTATATACCCTTTGTTGGCAATGACACAGGTCAAACGTTTTCTGTAAGTCTTCACAAGGTTTTCACACACTGCTGCTGGTATTTTGGCCCATTCCTCCATGCAGATCTCCTCTAGAGCAGTGATGTTTTGGGGCTGTCGCTGGGCAACACGGACTTTCAACTCCCTCCAAAGATTTTCTATGGGGTTGAGATCTGGAGACTGGCTAGGCCACTCCAGGACCTTGAAATGTTTCTTACGAAGCCACTCCTTCGTTGCCCGGGCGGTGTGTTTGGGATCATTGTCATGCTGAAAGACCCAGCCACGTTTCATCTTCAATGCCCTTGCTGATGGAAGGAGGTTTTAACTCAAAATCTCACGATACATGGCCCCATTCATTCTTTCCTTTACATGGATCAGTTGTCCTAGTCCCTTTGCAGAAAAACAGCCCCAATGCATGATGTTTCCACCCCCATGCTTCACAGTAGGTATGGTGTTCTTTGGATGCAACTCAGCATTCTTTGTCCTCCAAACACGACGAGTTGAGTGAGTTTTTACCAAAAAGTTATATTTTGGTTTCATCTGACCATATGACATTCTCCCAATCCTCTTCTGGATCATCCAAATGCACTCTAGCAAACTTCAGACGGGCCTGGACATGTACTAGCTTAAGCAGGGGGACACATCTGGCACTGCAGGATTTGAGTCCCTGGTGGCGTAGTGTGTTACTGATGGTAGGCTTTGTTACTTTGGTCCCAGCTCTCTGCAGGTCATTCACTAGGTCCCCCCGTGTGGTTCTGGGATTTTTGCTCACCGTTCTTGTGATCATTTTGACCCCACGGGGTGAGATCTTGCGTGGAGCCCCAGATCGAGGGAGATTATCAGTGGTCTTGTATGTCTTCCATTTCCTAATAATTGCTCCCACAGTTGATTTATTCAAACCAAGCTGCTTACCAATTGCAGATTCAGTCTTCCCAGCCTGGTGCAGGTCTACAATTTTGTTTCTGGTGTCCTTTGACAGCTCTTTGGTCTTGGCCATAGTGGAGTTTGGAGTGTGACTGTTTGAGGTTGTGGACAGGTGTCTTTTATACTGATAACAAGTTCAAACAGGTGCCATTAATACAGGTAACGAGTGGAGGACAGAGGAGCCTCTTAAAGAATAAGTTACAGGTCTGTGAGAGCCAGAAATCTTGCTTGTTTGTAGGTGACCAAATATTTATTTTCCACCATAATTTGCAAATAAATTCATTAAAAATCCTACAATGTGATTTTCTGGATTTTTTTTTCTCCATTTGTCTGTCATAGTTGACGTGTACCTATGATGAAAATTACAGGCCTCTCTCATCTTTTTAAGTGGGAGAACTTGCACAATTGGTGGCTGACTAAATACTTTTTTCCCCCACTGTACTGACCTGTGTACACACACACACACACACACACACACATACAAGTAGTGAGGTAGAATAATGTGTGTAAATAAAAATGTATGTGACGTTAAAGTGAATGTTGAGTGTTAATATACACGGAGTATACCAAAATTAGGAACTTCCTAATATTGAAGGGTACATAGTTTATGCATGGACTCTACATGGTGTCAAAAGTGTTCCACAGGGATGCTGGCCCATGTTGACTCCAATGCTTCCCACAGTTCTCAAGTTGGCTGGATGTCCTTTGGGCGGTGGACCATTCTTGATACACACGGGAAACTGTTGAGCGTGAAAACCCAGCAGCGTTGCAGTTCTTGACACAAACCAGTGCGCCTGGCACCTACTAGCTTACCCCGTTCAAAGGCACTGGAATATTTTGTCTTGCCCATTCACTCTCTGAATGGCACACATACACAATCCATGTCTGAATTGTCTCAAGGCTTAAAAATCCTTCTTTAACCTGTCTCCTCCCCTTCATCTACACTGATTTGAAGTGGATTTAACAAGTGACATCAATAAGGGATCATAGCTTTCACCTGGATTCACCTGGTCAGTGTCATGGAAAGAGCAGGTGTTCCTAATGTTTTGTATACTCAGTGTTAATGTTAATATCTGTCTCCAGCTCACTGCTCTCATCTGTGGCTTCATCATCAAGCTGAGGAACTGTCTCCGTGACGATGGCTTCCTAAGGCAGCTCTACACCATCGGCCTGCTGGCCCAGTTTGAGTCTCTGCTCAGCACCTATGGTAAAGTACACATACTCTCCTCTCTCTCGCTCTCTCACTCACTCACTCACTCACTCACTCACTCACACAATTTGACGTTGTGTATCCAGTAGAGCTTCATGTTGAGACTGTCGGTTGCATCATGCTACGGAACTTCCTTCAGGTGACCCATGGCCCTCCGCTCTCCCCACATGCTGCCTGTCATCACCGGCAACCGGGACGGCTTCAACGTCCGCATCCCGTTGCCGGGGACCATGTTTGACGCGTCTGCTCGCACCTATGGTAACAGAACAGCATACTGCTGCTGCGTCCGCCTGTCATCATATCACTCGACTACATCAACGAATTGATGAGTGGAGATGCAGTGAGAGGGGAGAGTGTTATGGAGAAGTGAGAGGGTGAAGGAATGTTGACATGCGCCTGTATACCGGAAGGAGGTCAACGTCTGCGGGCATGTGAGGTGCGGGAGATCGAAGGATGTGTGCGGTCACGTGAAGGGGAAAGAGAAGCAGAGTGGAGAGAGGATGTGAGAGGGGTGAAGTGATGGAGAAGTGAGAGGGGTGAAGGATGATGAGAAGTGAGAGGGGTGAAGGATGATGGAGAAGTGAGAGGGGTGAAGGATGATGAGATAGAGGTGAAGGAGTGATGTGGAGAGGGGTGAAGGAGTGATGGAGAAGTGAGAGGGGTGAAGGAGTGATAGAGAAGTGAGAGGGGTGAAGGAGTGATGGAGAAGTGAGAGGGGTGAAGGAGTGATGGAGAAGTGAGAGGGGTGAAGGAGTGATGGAGAAGTGAGAGGGGTGAAGGAGTGATGAGAAGTGAGAGGGGTGAGGGGTAGAGTGAGGGTGGTAGTGATGAGATGAGAGGGGTTGAAGGAGTGATGACAAGTGAGAGGGGTGAAGGAGTGATGAGAAGTGGAGGGTGCGGTGTGATTGAGTGTAGCGTGCATGTGAGCTTGGGTGCTCTGTGCGGGGTGAAGGTGTGTGAGCTGTGCATTGTGCGTGCTTGTCGCCTGGGTGCCGAGTTGTCGCCGTTCGAGTTTGCTTCGGCTCGTGCGGCTCTTTTGACGTAGGCTCTGGCTCCTGTTGTGCCTGACTGAACCGTTCGAGTCGGGTGTAGCCCTGAGCTGGTCTGGTGCCTGCCTAGCCGAGTCTTTGGTTCCGTTTTCTTCCTTCGTTAGCCTCTAGTTCTAGTCTGCACTGTATCCTATATGAAAGTAGAGAGAGGGTGACAGGATGTAAGTCACCATAGAATTCCTGTCCCTTATTGTCTGACCATGGATTAATGTCTCCTGTTTGTCACAGGTTTGGAGACACGTCTCTGCAGGAGGTCATTAACCTAGAGAGTCTGGCCAGACTCAACTCCTACTATGAACAGTTTAAGGAGGTCCTACCTGAGGACTGTAAGTCACCATAAAGTAAATGTCCCTATATGGTCCTACCTGAGGACTGTAAGTCACCATAAAGTAAATGTCCCTATATGGTCCTACCTGAGGACTGTAAGTCACCATAAAGTAAATGTCCCTATATGGTCCTACCTGAGGACTCTAAGTCACCATAAAGTAAATGTCCCTATATGGTCCTACCTGAGGACTGTAAGTCACCATAAAGTAAATGTCCCTATATGGTCCTACCTGAGGACTGTAAGTCACCATAAAGTAAATGTCCCTATATGGTCCTACCTGAGGACTGTAAGTCACCATAAAGTAAATGTCCCTATATGGTCCTACCTGAGGACTGTAAGTCACCATCAAGTAAATGTCCCTATATGGAGGATATTGTTAAGATGTAGCCTATAACATCTCCCCCTCCTGGTCTCAGGCCTGCCCAGGTCCCGTTCCCAGACGTGTCTACCAGAGCTGCTGAGGTTCCTGGGACAGAACGTCCACGCCAGGAAGAACAAGAACGTAGACATCCTGTGGCAGGCAGCAGAGGTAGGCAATTTTTTCGATGCAGGGCCATGAATGAATTATTGAAGATGATCCTTTTGGGTCTAGTCCATTTCATTCTGTATGGATGTTACTAATGGGGATCCAGACCAGGCCTAACCACATTTGAAGAAGAATTTTGTAGTGGCAGCATGCTGTCTATTATTTCCTGGTATCTCTCCTCCCCAGATCTGTCGTCGTCTGAACGGCGTGCGTTTCACCAGCTGTAAGAGTGCTAAGGACCGCACAGCCATGTCCGTCACCCTGGAGCAGTGTCTGATCCTACAGCACGAACACGGCATGGCCCCACAGGTCTTCTCCCAGGCCCTCGACTGCATGCGCAGGTAGGTGTCCATCCCACTGCCTGAACTAAAAATGAAACACGCACACACACACTGCTCGCTCCATATGCTGGGACAGTGCCAACTACAGGGTCTCCTGTCCCCCGTAAAAAAATTATAAAGAATAAAAGTTATATTTGAATTCTCTGTAATTAGCACTGGTTCCTCATGCATCATCTTTTTTCCTGTTCTCCAGCAGTAACACCTGCTTGTCAGTCTGTCCAGCCAGTTTGCGGAGAATGCTCCCCCATGATGACTGAGCTCGCTTTCCATACCCCCACATCATCCCCCTCTCCTCCAACCCCATCCCCCTGTTCTCTGACACTGCTTGCTGAGAGGACAAAAGGGTTAGATGAAGTGAAGGAGGGTAGAAGGAACAGAAACCTTGTGTAAGGATGGGATGACTCCCAGAACAGAACAGAAGCTCCTTGTTGTCATAAACAGGACCCTGTAAAGTACAGTAGGTTATGTGAAAGATCTGTTGGGTAGTAATGCAATGCTGTCCTGCAGCTTCCTGCATGGTCTCTCGCTCCTCTCTTCACCTGCCACCTTCCCACTTTTTAAGTGCAAGGCATGCTGGGAAGAGGCACGCTTGTGCTGCATGACTTGAGGCTGGCAGACCTCCCCCTTCTCCTCCTCATCCCGCTATTCAGGAAGTGAATCCAAATTCAATGAATTGACTGAAATGAAATGGATTTGAGCACAAAATCCAGCCCCCCACCCCTCATCAACCCCCCCATATCTGTGGTATGAACATGGACAATCATCACTGTCTTCTCTTCTTACCTCTAGATCTTTTCTTTCCTAAAGATGCAGAACATTTCTCTTAATTTTCCTCTCCTCTCTCTCTTTGTCTTCCTCTGTTATGACAATGTATTTGTCTCTGATTTCTCATGTTTTGGTTGGAATTATTTCATTTTTCCGTTTTTCATTTTGGGTGTTTCTTATCCTCGTTTGGGATTCGTTTCTGGCTGAATGGGTCTTATTTTCACATTCCATTCCACTGGCTGTGGCCCTAACCCTAATATTATCACACCCCACCTGCACCATCACTGGTATCTCTCTTTGTTATCCATGGCTGATCATGGCCACCACATATCATTCATATCGTGTATTACCTTCTCCTCCACTCTTATTGGCCACTTCATCCCTGTCCCAATGCACGCGTCCATCCATCCATCCATCCATCCATCTATGCCACCTGTACTTTTTGGCCCTGGCTTCTCCTCCCTCCCTCCCCCTCTTCGCAGCATTGGGACCAGGGAGGGGGTCACCCAGAAGAACCTGAGTGGCCTGTTGCCTGTGCGTGACTTCAGGCTGGACCCCAGCCTCCTGTACTCCCTGCCCCTGCTGGCCCTCAGCCCCAACCTGCTGGTCGTCTGGCTGTTCCTCAGCGTCGCCTACTTCCTGGCCAAGCTCCGCTGCAGCTGAACGCACAGCCCCTCTACCCAACTCTGCCCCACAGACCCACCTATTCTCAAACTCCACTCCCCTCTTCTCTCTGCCCGTTCCCCCCAGTGTGTCCAACAGTCAGGAAGAAAGGCAAAACGTTATTCTGTCAGTCAAGGAGGAAGACAGGGAGTCAGTCAGTCTCTCTCTCTGTCAGTCTGTCTGGAGCTCAGCCGGGAGAACCCTCTGATAGGTCGAGGGCAGACCATGTGTACATGACTGGACTGTATGTGTGTCACTCGGCTAAACTGACAGCTGTTCCACCCAATGGGCAGCCACGTCTCCAGCACTCCTCCCGCCTTGCTCTCTGTCCTAACCAATCCAGTCAGAGCAGGAGGCTGGTCTAAAGGTCTATGTGCAGTACTGTATGAGACTGTTACTGTCAGTGTTCTGACATATTTCTCATTTTAACACCCATTGTTTTACAACAATCAAATACAAACTGAGAGTATGGAGAGAAACTTTGTGAAATATAGCCGCTAAGAAGTTTTAACTGAATTTAAGTTTTGTCACAGTTGTCCTTGAGTATTTATAATGCTGCTTCCCAACTCATGACATGATTATAACCATGCTAATATGATAATATGACATCATGGATCCTTTGGTTTTGCACAGAGCTTATTTTCAGTCATACAAATGTTCTGGCTTGCTTGATGTTTATGTCTTCCATAAGGTTTGCATACAGCATAAGCCAAGGGAAGGCTTGGCTGTGCAATATCAAGCTGCTAATGTTTTGATATGGCAGCCATTTTGTTGTTCTTCCTCAGGTCTTCCTACTCTTACAGCAGGAGAGACTCGTGTCGCTTTCACTTAAACCAATGCACTTTTTATCAACGTTGTCGTCGTCTTAATGAAGATTATTATCTTGTCTTGCCAATTGACACTGTTTAATCTTGCGTCGGAGCAATTTGAATTGGCTAAATCTGGGAATGTATGATATTTCAGGGGAGCTTTGTTGGCTTGTTTGATTATGCAGTGTAGATATATATCACTTGCTGGATAGCATTTATTATTGGACAGTATTTTGAGGATTTTTCGCAAGTGTTTATTTTTCAGTTTATCAGATTTCGTGTCGGTACATAGTTCCCTATTTACTACAGAGTTTGTATATATGAATTAGTTATTTGTTTGAGAACCTATAAGGGTTGCAGTTATAGGGAAATGACAGAGAAGATGAAGAGATTGTACATGGGCAAACCTCAAATGGCACCCTACGACCAAATGATGCACTACCTCTGACCAGTAGTGCACTAAATATAGGGGATAGGGGATGATTTGAGACACAGCCCATGCTTGTTGTGCCAAATGCTTTAGCCAGGTCTCAGATAGTAGATACAGGTCTTGGATCTTTATCCAGGTCAAAGTGGGACTTCCAGAGCTCCCAGCAGCCCAAATCCAACCCGCTTCCACAGAGAAGTGCCCTAGAAAGGGAGATTTGATTGCAAACACTTTGGGTTACTTCCAAGCCTTGCACTTTGGGCTTCCTGGTCTCTGCCGAGAGTCCATCCACCATTATCATATACAGTCGCTGCTATCTACTCCCATAAAAATATGATTAGCCATCTAATTGTATATGCACTCATTAATACAGTGGGGAGAACAAGTATTTGATACACTGCCGATTTTGCAGGTTTTCCTACTTACAAAGCATGTAGAGGTCTGTAATTTTTATCATAGGTACACTTCAACTGTGAGAGACGGAATCTAAAACAAAAATCCAGAAAATCACATTGTATGATTTTTAAGTAATGAATTTGCATTTTATTGCAAGACATAAGTATTTGATACATCAGAAAAGCAGAACTTTAATATTTGGTACAGAAACCTTTGTTTGCAATTACAGAGATCATACGTTTCCTTTAGGTCTTGACCAGGTTTGCACACACTGTAGCAGGGATTTTGGCCCACTCCTCTATACAGACCTTCTCCAGATCCTTCAGGTTTCGGGGCTGTCACTGGGCAATACGGACTTTCAGCTCCCTCCAAAGATTTTCTATTGGGTTCAGGTCTGGAGACTGGCTAGGCCACTCCAGGACCTTGAGATGCTTCTTACGGAGCCACTCCTTAGTTGCCCTGGCTGTGTGTTTCGGGTCGTTGTCATGCTGGAAGACCCAGCCACGACCCATCTTCAATGCTCTTACTGAGGGAAGGAGGTTGTTGGCCAAGATCTCGCGATACATGGCCCCATCCATCCTCCCCTCAATACGGTGCAGTCGTCCTGTCCCCTTTGCAGAAAAGCATCCCCAAAGAATGATGTTTCCACCTCCATGCTTCACGGTTAGGATGGTGTTCTTGGGGTTGTACTCATCCTTCTTCTTCCTCCAAACACGGCGAGTGGAGTTTAGACCAAAAAGCTCTATTTTTGTCTCATCAGACCGCATGACCTTCTCCCATTCCTCCTCTGGATCATCCAGATGGTCATTGGCAAACTTCAGACGGGCCTGGACATGCGCTGGCTTGAGCAGGGGGACCTTGCGTGCGCTGCAGGATTTTAATCCATGACGGCGTAGTGTGTTACTAATGGTTTTCTTTGAGACTGTGGTCCCAGCTCTCTTCAGGTCATTGACCAGGTCCTGCCGTGTAGTTCTGGGCTGATCCCTCACCTTCCTCATGATCATTGATGCCCCACGAGGTGATATCTTGCATGGAGCCCCAGACCGAGGGTGATTGACCATCATCTTGAACTTCTTCCATTTTCTAATAATTGCGCCAACAGTTGTTGCCTTCTCACCAAGCTGCTTGCCTATTGTCCTGTAGCCCATCCCAGCCTTGTGCAGGTCTACAATTTTATCCCTGATGTCCTTACACAGCTCTCTGGTCTTGGCCATTGTGGAGAGGTTGGAGTCTGTTTGATTGAGTGTGTGGACAGGTGTCTTTTATACAGGTAACGAGTTCAAACAGGTGCAGTTAATACAGGTAATGAGTGGAGAACAGGAGGGCTTCTTAAAGAAAAACTAACAGGTCTGTGAGAGCCGGAATTCTTACTGGTTGGTAGGTGATCAAATACTTATGTCATGCAATAAAATGCAAATTAATTACTTAAAAATCATACAATGTGATTTTCTGGATTTTTGTTTTAGATTCCGTCTCTCACAGTTGAAGTGTACCTATGATTAAAAAGTACAGACCTCTACATGCTTTGTAAGTAGGAAAACCTGCAAAATCGGCAGTGTATCAAATACTTGTTCTCCCCACTGTATGTAGACTAGTGGTGTTATCATTTTCCAGCCCCGTAGTCTCTCTCTCCATTTTAATCAGTATAATACCTGTCTTCAGTGCTGTGTTACATCCCAAGACGGCCACACTCAATCCAATCTAAAGTGACCTACTAAAGAAATGGACCATCCGTCCCAAAATAGCCTCCTCTGGGAGATTGTCACGCTTGTCTTACTTCCCCTCCACCCCCCATTTCCAACATCTAGACCCCCACAATGTAAAACTGGAGGCATTCTCTAGTCTCTGTTGGTTCTGTTGGTTGAGCTATATGCAAGCTGGTTAGGCCTCTCACTGGTATGAGCGCTAGGCTGGGTTTGATAGCTAGGTTAGTTCAATGGTTTGGTTTTGAAATTCAAATATTCTTTTTTTTTTAAACTGATTTTGTGCAATGTTACTGTTTACATTATCGACAAATACTTAAGTATATGCAGTATTTCTTTGTCAGTATTCTACATGATTTACATTTTGAATCTTGTATATCCATATTGTAAATAATAGAAATGTATAAAATCAGATCATCTATTGATAAGTATGCTGTTGTAGAACTACCTCTATTGTCCCATGAAAACACCATCTAAGTGACAGCCAGGGGAGAGAGCTGAGAGGGACCAGAGGAGAGCTGAGAGGGACCAGAGGAAAATGTGTTCCATGAGAGCAGCACCCAGGTTCTATCCCAAATGGCACCCTATTCCCTACATAGTGTACAACTTTTGACCAGAGCCCTATAGACCCTGGTCAAAAGTAGTGCACTATATAGGGAATAGGGCGCCATTTAGGATGTAACCCCAGTATGTACAATATTAGGATGGTGTTTGCCTCAGCCAAATGTGAAATAGCGCCTCCTGCTGGTTGGTAATGACACTACAGACACTTGTCCCCCAGTAGCTCCAGTAGGTCCTATGAAAAGAGTTGGATTGCTCCATTCTGGGGATACATGCAATTAGGAGACCATTCTGAAGTTGAAGAGATTTGCAGAATGTGCTGGTGGCAGTTTGTTCTGTTGGTGTATTTAATTCCGATGAAGAAACACACTGTGTTAAACATGTAACCATAGTGACGCTAAATCCAGGAATATTCCAACTAAAACCATGTTCCTGACTCAAGTTTTATTTTTCTGTTTCTCTTGAATTCCTTAGAGCTTTTGACTATAGAGAATATATTTATATTGTGTTGCATTATATTTGAATGCTTGTATGTCTAAATGCTTACATGTTTGCTAAATATATGTATTCTTATAGAGAGTTTATGATGTGATTATGATTATTACATCATCGTCATGCAGGTGTCACTTTATAATGAGAGGGAAAAATTCTAGTTGCTGTTCCAGATATCTTTGTATTAACCCTTGGTCTGGTACTTTGCCCAGTTCCAACCCAATATCAGGATTGCTTAGATGACCATTTATGAATATGCTCTGAAATAGTATACGTTTCTCCCTCTCTCTCTCTAATGCTTCTCTCTGGACAGTGCAATAACAGTCAGTTAGTCAGCAGCCCAAAGAATCAGCTTTAATGTTGTCATGTAATAAATGTCATGCCAAATGTATCACAGAGGCGAAGGTGTATACTTCACTATAGAGTATTTGAATAGTGCAGTTCTCTGTTTGCCCGGGAATGAAACTGTTGCATTGAAATTAGAATGTATAACTTTTTTAGTCTGTGTGTTTGCTATTGCTCTTGTTTCGCTTTATCTGTGATGCTCGTAACTCTATCTAGGAAGCACGTCTTCTGTACACAGTATTAGTGGTCTGTACCCCTCCCTCCAACCCCATCCCGATATTCCCCATTTCCCCCGACCATCCGTCCAACCGTTGGCTTTAGCTGTTGCCCCTATGTTTCTTTGACAGTGGCGTCAGTGTGTTGGTTGGGTTTTTGGGTTTCTCATTGTCTTTTAACACAAGCCCTTTTTTTGTTTTGTTTTCTTCACTTTGCTGTCATCCTCTCTATCTGTGCTTGCCCTCCCTCCCTCCCTCCATCCCTCCCTCCCTCCTCCTTTTTCCCAGTGAGGGCTGCAGACGGGAGAATACCATGAAGAACGTGGGATGTCGCAAGTATGCTTTTAACAGTCTGCAGCTCAAGGCCTTCCCCAAACATTACAGGCCACCCGACGGAACGTTTGGGAAGGTCGAGACTTGATTTGGATCATAATCTATTCTACTGTATCTAATAGGGACAGCAACAACAACAACAGTATTTAAAAAATGATGCCTTTCTGCCAAATCAATGTTTAGATGGTCTTCAACCTACGGTAGTTGCGGAAGTCCTGTGGTAAATACCTGTGCACTGAATCTAGGCATATTTTCAATTTCAAACTGCCAAACCATTACTGGTTGAGAAACTATATACAATGTATTCAGACCTCACATACCTTCTAGATTGTTCTGAAGTTGTAGAAAAGTCTGGTGGGACAAGTAACAACACTGTCTGGTTACATCACGTTTTTAGGGTAGTCAAGATAAAGCGAGGAGGTCGTTTTCCTGAAGAGACGGTCACTGATTCTTTACCTCTATACACAGTGATGACTTTTAGTTATTTTCAGAGGTTCAGGCAATCTATAGGTCACCTAAACGTTCATACTGGGACGATGCTGCTTCATGTTGACTATGTTAACAGTTGTGTGTCTCAACCCATAGTTGACATGTAAACTGTGATTCATACATTTGGTTGGCGTCATTGGCCAGAGTCTATGCATTTCAGAGTTCTTATTTAGTGAGTGTTTTACGTATGGACTACACATTAATGTGGAACTGGGCCCAAGTCACGCTAGTCTGATGGACTTGATGAATGAATCCTTCCCCACGTGGATTTAGCAGTACGCTAATCCTGTAGAGCAGGGGTTCTTAAACATTTTCAGCTTGAGAACTGACTAAGAAATTGACCGTCCTCCTGTGACCCAAATGGTCCACCAGATGACCCAAATGAAGAAGAAATAGTGCGTGATTATAGATGTATTCTCATAACTCGCGACCCACCTCTCGCATGCCCAGGGCCCACTTTGAAACCCAACTCATAGTTTAAGAAACCCTGTAGAGGGACGTCCCACAGACTGCAATGGCAACCCAAGACCAACTAGAGCTTTCAGTGTCTGATGCGTACCTCACCTATGTACTGTTTCCATATCTGTAAAGCCTGCTTTTAACTTGTGAATGCATTTAGCTGTGTGGCATTGTCTGGCAGCTCACTGTGAAGTCTTAGCACTGTCTTAAAGGGATAGTTCGAGATTTTGGCAAATGAGGCCCTTTATCTACTTCCTGCGAGTCGGGTGAACTCGTGGATACCATTTTTATGTATCTGCGTCCAGTATGAAGGAAGTTAGAGGTAATTTCGCGAGCCAATGCTAACTAGCTTAGCACAAAGACTAGAGGGCCTCATTGCCAAAATCCTGAACTATTCCTTTAAGACTTAAAGAGGAATATGAAAAAGCTATGAATGTTCTAGAACGATCCACTTCACTCTTTTACCAAGTTCATTTCTGGAAAAAGTTGGGTTTGAGGGTAGCAAATGAAACATAATACATTATATGTAAATGTAAATGTATATAACATTGGCCAGTAAAGGAAATCGAGTCGAGTAGATTATTTTATGTTCTAATTTTGAACCAAGTAAAGGCCAGTAGTAAACCATTTAAACACCCAAGAAGCACATTTCTTTATCAACTATTTAGGAAAATGTTGTGCATTTGTTGCACTGTTATTTTAGGATTGTCTTGTTGGCAGGAGTTGTTGACCAGGGTAAAAAATAAATAATCAGTAAAATTGTTATCGGTATGGGAGTTACATTGTATGTTAATTTGGAAACTGTACTGCTCAACAACAACATATTTGTAATGTCTATGTTCACCATGAAGCAGCAATGTCAACTTTCTTTTTTACAACATTTAATGAGATTGCAATTGGATACACAATTGAGCCAGAGGAGACTTGTCCCTACAAATGAGTCATATGTTTGTGCATGTATCAAAGTTTCACATATGTTTGTTTTTCAACAGGCACCTCTGTACTGCACACGACAGAATTTACCCATAAGCTCAACTGTGAGATACAGTTTGTGCACATTTATTGTGTTGTGCACTGTAGTGTCTTTCATGCTAATAAATATTTTATTTAGAATTATTGGAAACATATTTTGCTATCTGCAGACTTTATTTTGCATTTATGTACTATACTAAAGGGTATAATTCAATAAGCATTGGGATTGGATTTGTATTTCTTTCTATTGTAATGAGTGCATATCTTGTATCCTACACACAGAGATGGGATATCTGTATAGGCCAGACTATTGCTATAAATGAAGCTTTCATCAATATCTGATGCTAATAAAAAAAGAATGTTCAACATCTTTCTTTTGTCTTTGTAATGGAAGACTTGAAAGTTTACATCAAGATGTTGGAATAGTGGAAAGGGTGTTGGAATGTTCCGTTCTCTCATTGCAATTCATTCTATTCCAGAATCTTATCTGGGTGACTCTAGCTAGAGTGAAATGTCATCCAGCCAGGCCACAGCCACAGCAAAACAAAAGACCTTGTGTCTGGCTACTAGGATTTTTTGTTCTCTGCAAGATGCCACTTGTTATACAGTAGCAAAGGTGTAGAGATATGATGCCAGTGATAATGTCTGTGGAGCGATCCAAAGACATAGTCATAGTCACAACTAGAAAGAAACAAGGTTCAAGACGTTTTGATTCCTAAAATACAGTGCTACTTGAAGACAATGGCAGCACTATTGGCATACTGCACGCTATGGAGATCAGTGTCTCATTTCCAGAGGTGGAGGTAATTGGGTTTATTTTTCACTTCTCTTTATACAAAGGAGTGCCGGGTAGAATTCCTTGGACAACTGTGTCAGGCCCATAGTGGTCACACACAGTGAATGCAAATCTACTCAGACTTTAGCCCCAGTTGTAACCCTGTATTATTTGTATTTGATAATTAATATTGGACTCATTTAATTTTGACTAAAACATCTCCGGAATAAATATTTTCTTCCACTGTTCAGGATACGTTCAAAGATTGGTATTTTAATACATTCACGGCATTAGGAAAAGGTTTTGGAGAACTACGGTCTGCTAAGAATACGACCTTGGCAGACATCAGCAGTCCAGATTTATTCATGTGGTCTAGTACGCTTGATCACACTCCAGTCCAGACGGTGGCAGTAATGCACTCAACATCTGTTTTGCACACTAAAGAAACAACAAAAACGGGGAAGAAGAACTCGATTGTAGTGGCTGCGGTTCCGTGAAAGGACGTCTTTGTTTCTCGAAGAGGAATGGCTTCTCTTGATGTTGGGTCGACATACTCAAATTATACAGACTTTAATAATGCGGTTATCGCATTCGAAAATGATAATTTTGTACAGTTTTACCGCCGTGACGCAAGAACAATTGAAAAAGTCAAACGACTAAATCCAAGGCACTATTACAATCCTGAGTTAAAGTATGTGAACATACATCTGACTTGTATACACGGTGGCAGAAATTTCTTATCACATTCTAAAGGATTGCGTCCGAAAACGAGGTAGCTAACTTCCATTTCTAGATTACTTTTTTTGCTTGTATCCATGGTCATGTAGCCTACATATCTGCTAGATCTGCTGACAGGGGGCGCTGTTTTGCAGCCACTGTCCGTCATAATAAGAGTATTTCAATGTAATGTTTCAAGGACAAGATAGCATATTTTTTTGTAGTGGGGGCGGTAAGAGTTTTTTTTCTCTAAAAAAAGTTTTTATGTAGAATGTATTTCATTTTACATTGTTCGAACCTATGTTAAAGTAGGCTCATTGTCTCTACAGTACCTGCAGGGTTGGATGCCCAGCGTTAATCAAAGTCAAAACTACAGAGGATGGAGAGAGATTAGTTGTGAAGGAAATGGTCAAAATACACAACCATGAAGTCAGTGAGGTGAGTGGTCAACAAAATGGGTTCAATTCTAGATGGCAATACCATGATGCATTTTATAGTGTTACTGTTATGATAAACTACAGTAGGACTGTCACATAATAACAATTACTGGTTGATGGTTGTTCACACATTTATTTAAATGAATATGTTCTTGCACAGGCTGTATTCAAGCACTACCCCAAGAGGAGACAACTATGTCCGGCTGAACGTGCCAAGTGTTCAGAATTGCTGGCAAAGTACGATGGCAACAAAAGATTGGTGATAGAAGAGCTCACCAAAGTAACTGGAAAGGTCATCCTACCGAAGGACATTCACAACATTGCAGCAACATTGAACTGTCCTCCAAAATGTGAGAGAAAGAAACACGAGGTGATCAAAGGGATTCGAATGGTGATGGACACTGATACAAAGCTAAGAGAACAGGCAAGAAAAAGGCGGCCTGGATCTGGTTAGTATTTCTGACATAATACGTGCTATTAAGTTAAGGAGGGAGCATTGCCATTACGTTGCCACAACATTGGGGACGTTACACCCTCACATACAGCGGTGTAGTGGTGATGTTTTTTTATTTATTAATTATTATTATTTTTATTTTTATTTTTTTTTATAACTTTACCTAACCTCATACAACTATCCGGAAGTCTCGCGAGCTTACACATGAATTCCAGCGGTAATCAGCGTGGTAATAACAGGTTACAGTTGACAGTTTACCAACCTTTTGACCTATGACAGGCCGGCAAACTCTGGTTACCACCTACATGCGCAGGACATTTATCCATGGGTTTCGTGTAACACAACCACAGAACTTTAGCCTGGTCAATTAAAAAAACGCAAATGCAAACCTGGCATGATCGGCAATCTAGTTCCAAAATAACAGCCTGCAGGGTTACAAATGGGGCTTCCATATAGCCAATATCAGATATTCTTTACGGCAGCTATACTCAGCCCGATTTATGATTAAATTCATATACTGTGTGTCTTCTCCATGCATTCCGATATAAAGGTGCATGACAAGGTGTAGCACCCGTGCTTTAGTCTTTCAAAGAAGACACCTCAGCAACGACAGTCAGACTATCGTCAAGCACAATCTTCCGGGTAAAGAAATGTTGAAAAACTTTGATTTTGGAGTGTAATGTCCAGATAATGTTACTGCTAATATGTCATTGAATGCACCTCTAAGCTTTCAAGGATCCAAGGAGGTCGGAGAAGAAGCTGGTGCTTGACGTGGACACGGGGCTGGATGATGCTCAGGCCATCATGATGGCTCTCGCAGCCCCCAACGTGGAGGTCCTGGGGATCACCTGCGTAAGCGGCAACACGTCCCTGGAAAACTCCTGCAGGAATACACTGCGCGTTCTCAAGGTCTGCCAGCGACTTGAGGTAGGCCTGGTGGAAAGAATGCTCCCTTCTTGTTACTTAATTAAAATAACGATTGATTTGTAACAATCATACCATTTTGGTGGTAAGCTTATGCTCTATTATAGGCTAATTTCAGTGTGTATTATATCTGCTGTGTTGTGTTAGATCCCAGTGTTCGGTGGAGCTGCGGAGCCTCTGATGGGCCACCTCCTGTCTTCAGGCACCTTCCACGGGCAGGATGGGCTGGGGGACGCCCCTGACCCAGACGCCCCGGGCTTGGAGCTGCTGCAGACAGAAGGAGCTGTGGAAGCCATCATCAGGCTGGTCAATGAGAACCCTGGAGAGGTCGGTAACAAAAGGGTTAGGTTCCTAGGCTAAAACCAACCCCTAGCACCCCTAGATCTATGAGCAATGTGTTTGCATTGGGGCTTCGAATCCAAACAAGGTCTACCGCCTTGCGGACAAGGCGTTAAGGGTATTTTTTCCAAGCCCCAAGGGTATTTTTCCTTCTTTGTAGTTGTCTGGATTGACTCAGTGTTGTTTCTCTGTCTAGGTGTGCCTGGTAGCCACAGCCCCGTTGACCAACCTGGCCCTTGCAGTGAAGATTGACCCCACCCTCCCTCAGAAACTCAAAGGCCTCTTCATCATGGGAGGCAACACTGACTGTAAGGGCTTTATGTATATAATGCAATTTACATAGGCCTAGTGACTTGTTATCAACATACTTTGTCATACAGTCAATTAACACTTTTTTTTATTGTACTTTTTTCTTTAAAAAAACAACTGCATTGTTGGTTAAGGGCTAGTAAGTAAGCATTTCACTGTAATGTCTACACCTGTTGTATTTGGCGCATGTGGCAAAACATTTTTTTATTTGATTTGAACCTGGTAGGATATTTAAAGAGAAATGGCATGGTAGGATGTTATGTATGATAATGACCTAATAATAACATGTTTGTTTCTTGGGTATTGTTATGTGTTTGCAGCTAGGGGGAACACCACCGTGTGTGCAGAGTTCAACTTTGCTGCCGATCCGGAGGCTGCTTACATTGTCCTGAACCGCTTCTTCTGTCCAACCTACATCGCTACCTGGGAGTTCTGCTGTGAGAACAAGCTACCATGGGTAAGACCACAGGTTCTGGTCATCTACCTACAGTGCCTTATGAAATTATTCAGACCCCTTGACTTTTTCCACATTATGTTACGTTAGTGTTATTCTAAAATGAATTAAATAAATAAAAATCCTCACCAATCTGCACACAATACCCCATAATGACAAAGCGAAAACAGGTTTTTAGAAATGTTAGCAAATGTATTATTCTTATTACTTATCTACATAAGTATTCAGACCCTTTGCTATGAGACTCGAAATTGATCTCAGCTGCATCCTGTTTCCATTGATCATCCTTGAGATGTTTCTACAACTTGATTGCTTTCCACCTGTAGTAAATTCAATTGATTGGACAGGATTTGGAAAGGCACACACCTGTCTATATAAGGTCCCACAGTTGACAGTGCATGTCAGAGTAAAAACCAAGCCATAAGGTCGTAGGAATTGTCTGTAGAGCTCCGAGACAGGATTGTGTCGAGGCACAGATCTGGGGAAGGGTACCCAAAAATGTCTACAGCATTGAAGGTCCCCAAGAACACATTCTTAAATGGAAGAAGTTTGGAACCACCAAGACTCTTCCTAGAGCTGGCCAAACTGAGCAATCGGGGGAGAAGGGCCTTAGTCAGGGAGGTGACCAAGAACCCGATGGTCACTCTGACGGAGCTCTAGAGTTCCTCTGTGGAGATGGGAGAACCTTCCAGAAGGACAACCATCTCTGCAGCACTCCACCAATCAGGCATTGATGGTAGAGTGGCCAGACGGAAGCCACTCCTCAGTAAAAGGCACATGACAGCTCGCTTGGAGTTTGCCAAAAGGCACCTAAAGACTCTCAGACCATGAGAAACAAGATTATCTGGTCTGATTAAACCAAGATTGAACTCTTTGGCCTGAATGCCAAGCGTCACTTCTGGAGGAAACCTGGCACCATCCCTACAGTGAAGCATGGTGGTGGCAGCATCATGCTGTGGGGATGTTTTTCAGCAGCAGGGACTGGGAAACTAGTCAGGATCGAGACAAAGATGAACAGAGCAAAGTACAGAGAGATCCTTGATGAAAAGCTGCTCCAGAGCGCTCAGGACCTCACACTGGGACGACAACAACCCTAAGCACACAGCCAAGACAACGCAGGAGTGGCTTCAGGACAAGTCTCTGAATGTCCTTCAGTGGCCCAGCCAGAGCCCGGACTTGAACCCAATCTAACATCTCTGGAGAGACCTGAAATGCTCCCCCATCTAACCTGACAGAGCTTGAGAGGATCTGCAGAGAAGAATGGGAGAAACTCCCCAAATACAGGTGTGCCAAGCTTGTATTGTCATACCCAAGAAGACTCATGGCTATAATTTCTGCCAAAGGTGCTTCAACAAAGTACTGAGTAAAGGGTCTGAATACCTATGTAAGTGTAATATTTCAGGTTCTTATTTTTAATAGATTAGCAAAAGTTTCTAAAAACCTGTTTTTGCTTTGTCATTATGGGGTATTGTGTGTAGATTGATGGGGGATGAAAAAACTATTATCAATTTTAGAATAAGGCTGTAACGTAACAATATGTGGAAAAGGTCAAGGTGTCTGAATGCTTTCTGAATACAATGTATACAGACTACATAAAGGCACACACACTACCAGGCTTTATTGTAAGCACTGGTCCAGTTCTCTCACATCAGAGCAGATGGAGGAAATGAGACAAGGAGAGGAGGCCTCTTTCAATTATTGAGATGCAACCACTGGCTCACTTAGACAATTCATTATTATCGAAATATCTCTTGCAGTCTTTTTACAAAGATTTTACATACATTTTGTCAGAGCAAATTGATTAGTATTTTCTCCAAACCCACTTGTCCCATCCGTCTCTAATCACCACCCTGCAGTCGTTCTGTGACAAGTGGCTGGCCCAGGACACAGACAAGGCCCGCTTCATGAAGAGCGTCTTCAAACACACCATGGACACCGTGGCCTCCTGCGCTCGCTTCCAGAGGGAGATGACGGCCGGACCGGGCTTTGTGTCGTGCGACTCGTACGCCATGGCAGCGGCCATCGATGACGGTTTCGTGTGGGTGTCTGAGCCGGTGGCGGTTACCGTGGAGCTTCAGGGGACCTACACCCGGGGCATGATGGTCCTGGACAAGCTGGGAGTCCTGGAGAAGGAGCACCAGGTCGTCATCATGAGGACGGTGGACCTGGAGAGCTTCAAGGGGCTGTTGATGGACTCCTTGAAGTAACAAGCACTGGGTTGGGAACCCCACCTAGGCCACTGTCCCATATTGCTTTCAATTGTTTTTTTATCATTATTGGGGTGGGGCTACAGAATTCCACTCCTCTTTCGTAATTTGTTTTTTGTACAGAGAGATCCTGATAAGAGGGAGACAGTTTGAGGTGGTGGATATGTCTCCAGTGTCTGTTTTGACTTGCCATTATGTTCTGAATCACCAATCATTTTACTTTAACAGGAAATATATATTCTACAATGTTTCTTTTCTGATATTGTCTTACTATATTACATGAGGTCAGCAGAAAATGTCCATGAGTAATGTTACCAGGCTATCAGTAACTTTTTTTAGATTGCATTTCTTTCCTGTTAATGACAAAGGGATAAAGTAAAACTTATTTATTGAAAGTGCTCGGCCATGTACACTCAGATACGTCCCTTAGTCCGATTGAAATACAAATTCACCACTTTCCATTACTTCTATTTCTCTTCAATAAACATGATTTTCATTATGTCATATTTAAAAAAAGAAAACAAACCGAGATATAATCTTAGAAACAATCCACGATTTGTGTATCTCACAACCAAAGTATTATTTACATAGTATACAAAAGTGCAACACCCCCATCCAATCACATTCCAAAATGAAAGCATTGTCCACGAGTCCTCAGAGCCACCACTGACTCTGTCAGTCTGTCTGTGGGCTCTGGTCCTGACTCCAGGGTGTCTACTGGACGCGGTACTTGTAGAACCAGCAGAGGCCCTTGGTGAAGTTCCATCCCAGAGAGAGAGAGAGGATGTAGAGGAGACCTAGCAGGGCGAAGGGGTAGAGCAGAACCACTGTGTTCTGCAGGTGGGGCAGTGCTGAGGAGAGACAGAGAGGGAGAGGAACTGGAGTAAATATGGAGTTGGTAGATGTAACCATTGTTAGAGGGTCTGATGGTTTCATCCCCCAGTGAACTATCCATTTAAAGGTGAATAAAACTTAATGGGGGCCTCACCATTGTATCCCAGGAATGTAATGTATAGATAGTAGCCGATGGCTATCAGCCACAGACTGTTCCCTACAAAGTACCCCAGGAACCAGTCGGAGTTTATCACTACGATATCTGAAACAAACAGAGCAGAGATCAGACACTGTTACAACATGTGACAAATAACACCTCTTATAACATGTTATAAATGTGTAATACGTTTGCACTCACGGTTCATAAAGAAGAGCTGGAGGAAGTGCAGGATGACAAGCAGGGGGTAGAAGGCATTGAGATGCACATCGAATGCGTAGCCCCACTCCACATCATAGTCCTTACTGGGGGGCTTCAGCAGGTACTTATTGGTGATGAACCTGGGGATACAGGACAGACAGGAAAGGCCCTTTAGAAGAGCATGGGGAAGGACTAGCGTTTCAAAACTGATAGAAGTTAAACATTTGCACGTCCCGAAGACAACCTCTAGCCTCTATCTGAAGGGACCAGATAGACACACACACAATATGATGCTGTGGCTCCTTCTTATAGGCTTCCAGCTATTCCATATATCGTACACCCATCTAGTTCTTTCAGATCTGTACATCTCTACTCACCACATGAGTGTGGAGATGAGCAGGCCCACTCCGATGCAGTCTATGAACACCACCCACAGCAGCAGCTTCAGAGTCTCCACGAAGCCCATGTCCAGCACCAACCCAAAGCCCACCGTGGACACTACACCGAGGACGAGAGACAGGTGTCAACCGCAGCCACAGGGAAACAGTTTTGACGATTGTAGTTTAAATTCAAAAAGCAGAAAGATTATAATATTGCAATTTGTAATATATTTGGTATTTATTAGGATCCCCGTTAGCCGCTGCATACGCAGCAGCTACTCTTCCTGGGATCCACATGAAACATGATATAATACATGGTACAGAACATTATTAGTCAAGGACTGAAATACATACATTTAAAACGTCACACATAGCCCACATATCAGTACATACACACAATATCTAGGTCTGAAAAGATAGAACAAATATTATGGCTGAACTCAAATGTGCTGGTTGATAAAATACCTGTATTTATGGGAAATATGTTTGAAAAGGGTATTTTGTTTTGAAATGATATTGTACATTTGAATGGTAGAGTTCTGTCTTTCATGGAGTTATCAGAATTGTATGGGAAGGTCTGCTCAATCCAAGATTACAACCAATTGATTACAGCATTACCCCAAAACTGGAGGAGGCAGGAGGCAGTGGGAGGAGGTAGGGAACTGGTCTGTCTGCCCAATATAAAGGATCAAAACTGGCAGAGGAATAAACATAGCATAAATAGGAAAGTATACTAGTTTCATTTGAGGACCAGGATGTTGACAGCTGTGCCATGTAGATTGCAAAATAGTTGGGAAGAGATTTTTGATGTACCGATTCCATGGTATGAGTTGATATATAAAACGACGCAAGATTCAAGACTTTGTGCTTTTCAGCTAAAATTATTATATAGAATTCTTGCCACCAACAAAATGTTGAATATTTTGGGCATACAATCATCGAAGCTCTGCAGATTTTGTTGTGAGGATACAGAATCAATAGACCATTTATTCTGGTATTGCCCTCAGGTAGCCTGGTCTCAGGTTCAGGAATTGCTGAAAATGCATAACATTGATGTAAAATTAACCCTAGAAATAGATCTGGAGAGACCGGGTCAGTCAATTACTAATACTAATACTCTTAGTAAAAGTATTTATCTTGAACTCGCAATCTGTGGATTATATTCGATTAGATAGATTGAAATTGTATGTTAAACATCACAGCATAGTTGAAAGATATATGGGGCGTAGGGTGACCAGCAGAGATAGATGGGATGGGCTGAGGGAAGCTGAGGGGTGGGATGTGGAATTGGAGACAAGTGGGAGTGGAGTTGCTGGGCGGGGGATAGAAAGACGTTCAAAGATCAAAGTAAAAATAAAAACATAACAAAAAGTATGTTTGAATGACACTGAGGGGCAGTGTTGTTACAGCTAATGCCTGTTTGCCTGAGGCTGATGCCGTGCAGGTGTTTGCACACATGCATATACACACACTCTCATTCAAATGCACACGTGCACATACATGGACACACACACACGTAAATAGTTCCATACATGCACTCAAACATATTCAGTTGGCCTTGCTGTCATGATTCTTGTTGTCCTTGATGTCTTTTGTTTTTTGCATTGTTGTTTTCCTTTGTCTTTTGTTCATTTTGTTGGTTGTTGGTGCATTGGGGACGGGGGGCGTGGGGACGGGGGGCTTGGGGGTGGGGAATGGAATTATTTTATTTATCTCTGGGGGGGAACTGTGGGGGGGATCATGGATCGCTGGTTCGAGTCCCTGTTTTTGACCTTGTGGGAGATCTGTCGACCGATGACTGTCCAAACTGTGTGACAACTGCTTGAACAGACAGTTCGGTACCTTCAACACATCAATACCTCGCACAAAGACCAATAGTGATGCAGTTAACTTTGAGCCAGGAGAGATTGACATGCATGTTGCTGACACTTTCCCTCCGTGTACATCTAAGTGGATACGTGCTGCTTTGTTCTGGACCAACTGAAATGTACCTATGTCCTTCTTTGCCGTACATGACCACACAGCTGGGCAGTCCAGGTGTGGCAAAACTAGGGCCTGTAGGACCTGTCTGGTCGACTGAGACGTCAAGAAGGCAGAGCAACGCCCTATCATGGACAGACCTCTTCCCATTTTAGCAACCATTGAGTCTATATGTTTTGACCATGACAGCTTGCTATCTAGGGTTACACCCATCCGTTTAGTCTCCTCAACTTGCTCAATAGTCCACATTATTTAATAATAGATCTAAATTAGGTTTAGCGTTGAGCTTTTAGTTTGAGATATTTTGCACCAGCCTATTGCTAGTTACCCATTCTAAAACTGACTGGAGCTCCATGTTAAGTGTCTCAGTTATTTATTTTACTGTTGCAGCCGACGTGTATACTGTTGAGTCGTCAGCGTACATAGACACAGAGGCTTTATTCAAGGCTGCCCTGCAGTTCACCACACTCAACTGAGGCTTCCATTAACGAAAACCCTCTGTTCTATTAGATAGGTAACTCTCAATCCATAATAAGGCAGAGGATGCAAATCCATAACACCCACGTTTTATCAGCAATACGTTATGAACAACGACATCAAAAGCTTCACTGAAGTCTAACAAAACAGCTCCCACAATCTTCTTACTATCAATGTCTTACAGCCAATCATCAGTCATTTGTGTCAGTGCCGAGCATGTGGAGTGCCTGATCATCAAATAATTTCCTTGAGACTGCACAGGCTCATCACAAACTCTATTTATGTCTCTGATCTGTTTTAATCACGTGAGATGAGCCCAAGTCAGTGGAAAGAGGGCCCCATAACCAGACATGAATACTCCAAATGATACATTCATTCCTACTTGATTGCTGGTTATATCCGATACAAAAAAGCCTTATTGCATCCAATTTTGAGTTGGCTTATGATTTCTGTTGCTGCTTTATCATTTTTAATCAAAGCTTTAATATGATGCTTTAAATGTGCTTTGCTTTTTGTTGGGGTTGTGCATATTTATACTTTCTCTAAATTGCAAAAAGTGATTATAGTGGTCAAACTATTGCTACACAGTTCCCGCATACCACACTTGTTCAGAAAGGACAGGTGATTGTTATAGATCGACTGCTGTGAAAAAGACCCAAGATACTGACCACAGAGCCAGATGCTGAGTAACACCAGGAAGGCAGGGTCGTCTCTGGCCCACTGGTCCTTGGTCTGCTTCCTGTAGTGGAAGTTGCGGTAGACTCTCTGTGGGGAGGTGAACAGGTAGAGCATCTGCCACACTGCAAACTCAAAATCCATGGCTTTGAAGTGCAACAGCCTCCTCAGGTATTTGTAGCGCTTGGCGCCCGCTGTGTGGCGTGCCGCATCGCGGGCGCTCAGGCTTCCGTTCTGCGGCGAGGTGGTCGGCAACATAGTGCTGGAAAACACAGGAAGCATCATGATGACCAAATCAGAGCCATTTATATATACAGAGTTTGATTTACAGTGGAGGTCCAGTCTCCCCGCATAGGCCTCCCCTGGTGACACAGTACTGTCAGCTTATGTCAACATCCAACAACCTGTACAATATTAACTTTTACCATGCAATTACATCAAGTCACTGCAACAGTCACATCGATTGTTTACTAAATTACCTCCTTGTCCATCCTGTCTGTGGTAGTTATGTTTAGACATCTTGCTACCTATCGGATATGTCTCTCCAGCAGTCACGACAGATAGTGTGATATACAATGCTCAGATCTTTGTTGACAAGTCAGGATAACAGACTAGTAGTAGCTAGCTAGATGACTCTTGAAAGCTAACGTCAGCTGGCAAACTAGTTTGTGGTTTTCCCAGCCAAAAATATTGTTTAAACTAAAGTAATTTGTGCCAGCGAGTGTCAATAGACAAACGTTAGACTAAACAAAGTAGCTAGCTAGCTTATGGCTAGCTAACGTCGTTAGGTCTGTGGCATAGACCCCTTGATGGACATGGAATTGGCTGGCCTTAGTAGCACGTTAGCCAAGACTACAACTGAATGTATGGTTTAGTTGCAAACTGAGATAAGAATGTTGTTATAAACGTACCTGCTCAACCTCCTATTTTTAGAAGAAAGTTCCTCTTCCTCAGTGAAAATAGCTCTTCCGGACAACTGAACACGTAGAAACTTCCGGTATGTGACTAAGACGCGCTTCGACATTGAACCTTGGGAATTGTAGTCAAAAAGGAATAAACGATCTTTGTTGTAGTAAAATCTATCATAAAATATCACCACTCCCTCTGACATAGCTAAAAGTATGGATATGGATTTTTGCATGTGTTGTAAATTAAACTGACAGTTTGTAAGATAATTAATATGCGCGTAAAAGCAGTGAATGCATAGGTCATTCAGATTCAGAGTGTTTAGGTGTCCTGTATGGCAGGCAGTGTGCACCCAATGGTGCGTTCGGTTGCACGTATCACCTCTGAACAGCTTTGCGGTCCACGGCGGTAGAGTTGCTGTACCAGGCTGTGATGTAGCCTGACAGTATGATCTCGATGGTGCTCCTGTAGAACACTCTGAGGGCCCTCGGGGACAGGACACATTTCTTCAGCATCCTGAAGTTGAAGAGTCACTGTCGTGCCTTCTTCACTACGGTGTCCATGTGGTTAGACCATTTCAGCTTCTCTGAGATGTGTAGGCCAAGAAATGTGAAGTTATTGACCGTTTCCACGGCGGCCCAATTGATGAGGCGGCCCCATTGTGGTTGATAATAGCTTGTTGATGGTTAATTGAGCCCACACAATTAAAACTAATCAGAATACAATTGACAATATTTTATTCCAGACAACACTTTGAGACAGTAGATATAAAACTAGAAGGGATCTAGCATGGAGTGATATGTCAAAAGTAGTGAAAAAACTGAAGCAGAGTTTGAACCAGTAACCAACAAGTTACAGGAGTATTCCCTCCTGTGCCATAAAGGTCCAGACCTCTTGGTTGAGGATGTAGTGTTGTTATATGCAGGAGTATAGCATCAGTCTGGCCAACGTGAAATATAATTAGTTTTTTTATTTCATGATTGGAAGAGTAAGGCACAGAAATGGGAAAGAGGTTTTCAACTCATACTCTGAATCTAGTAGGTTCAAATTATACAGTCAGCACCAAATCATTATTTTATCTTATTCTTACTCTCTTTAGCAACCCCCTTACCTCCCTCACACACACACAGACACGCACGAGCGCACACACACACACAAGTGCATTTCTCTTAGTCCATAGTCTTGTCACTCCAGGCCAGAGATTTCCTCTTGGCAAGTTCCATCCAGGTTGGCTGGCCCCGGTGTGACAATGATGATGACGATGTAGGGGGTGATAAAGAAGATATCTCAGGCTTTGCGATTTGAATCTCAATTTGACCATTGCCAGATTCCCCCTAAGATAAAATACAGAGTTGACATATTACTAACTAAACTGGCCACATTACATCTTAGTTACAAAATGAAGACTTACTCTGATTGAGTCAGTCGTTTTTCCTCACCACGTGAGCTGACCAGGAAAAACATCTGTCCCTAGTGGGGGCACAAAGCACTGACAAGTCAAATATTTACCATAGTCCCAGTCGAGAGTGCTCTGTCTGTCCATTTCTCCACAGGCATCTTCTCGGCTCTCTTTAGAGACGTGGCGGATCTCTCAGACGCTCCTCGTAGAGTTGGTCTGGTTGGCATGTGAGGCTGGGAGGACGGTTGTGTCAGCTGTTGAGCTGTTCCTTGTGGTGTTAGTTTTGATGCTGTTTGTGTGTTAGGCTGTTCTGAAGGTAATGTTTTGAGTTTAGCTGTCAGTTGCAATCCCCGTAGGATTGGTCTAGTCCTTGGTATTGGTTGAGAGGGTAGTTGTACCACTGGGGGTGATGTTTGTTTTTGTGAGGCTGTTTTTGTGCTTGGCTGTGATTGTAATGGAGGTTGTGTTGATGGCTGAGCTGTTGGTTGTAATCTAGGCTGTGGGGCTGGGGTTGGAGCTGGCCGTGGTGATGGGGTGTACTGGGGCGTTGTTGTCCCCCCTGTCCCATGCTCTGTCTCTGGAGTGAGATGCTGTTGGAGACTCCTGGTCTTCTCCCGGGCCATGGACATCCAGACAGGCTCTGATCCAGCTGACCCATTAGACCCAGGGGTCTCAGCCCCTCTCAGAGCAGGTCTGGATGATGGGCCTTTGTCTGAGGAACAATGGGTGACATTATTTAAATCAAATCCAACTTTATTTAAAGTGTATTTAAAAGATACTGTGGTGTTTGAGGACTGGAGTTGTGAATCCATGATTTCATCAGATCATCCTTATTTATATTGTGGTTAATTTGGTTTGGTCGATATTGGCAATATTATGATTGAGGTGAAACAGAGATCTTTTTAGAAGCAGTGTTATACAGTGCCCCTGTATGTGTTGGGACAGTAAAGCATTTTCTTTATTCTTCTTTTGGCTCTATACTTCAAAAGTTTGGATTTAAAATCAAACAATGACTATGAAGTGCAGACTATCAGCATTGACTACATCAAGCTTGTGGTTACAAAATTGTACATTTTCGGTTTGTTTTGGTTGTGTTTCAGATTATTTGTGCCCAATAGAATTGAATGGTAAATATTGTGTCATTTTGGAGTCACTTTTATTGAAAATAAGAATAGAATGTTTCTAAACACTTATACATTCATGTGGATGCTACCATGATTATGGATAATCCTGAATGAATCGTGAATAATGATGAGTGAGAAACGTACAAAAATTGTAATGTTGAGAGGTTGGCATGTCTTGGGGCTATTATATTTGTGCATCTGTAACTTTCTCACTCATCATTATTCACGATTCATTCAGGATTATCCGTAATCCTGGTAGCATCCACATTAATGTAGAAGTTTAGAAACATATTATTTTCTTATTTACAATAAAACTGACTCCAAAATGACACAGTACATTATTTACCATTCATTTCTATTGGGCACAAAATAATCTGAAATACAACCAAAACAAACAGCAAATGCATCCAACAAGTTTGTAGTCACAAGCTTGATGTAGTCATTGCGTGCTAGAAATATGGTACCAAATACTTAACTTTTTACTACTTTAATAAACATATAAGGGAATTAGTCCCAATACTTATGCGCCCCTAAAATGGAGGGGCAATGTACAAAAAGTGCTGTAAGTTTTAAACGTTTCACCTGATATGGATGAAAATACCCTCAAATGAAAGCTGAAAGTCTGCACTTTAACCTCATAGTCATTGTATCATTTCAAATCCAAACTTTTGGATTATAGAGCCAAAGGAAGTAAAAAATACTTCACTGTCCCAGTAATTACAGAGGGCACATATAATTATACACATCTGGATCCAGTTTTGATTGGAGTGGAAATTGCCCACTCTGATTCAGAAGTGCTCATTATACTGTAACTACCGGTGGATTATCATTAGAGAAGTGTTAAGTGGTTTTGTAGATATGTTACCTGGGCTTAAAAAGGCATCTACTACCAGGTCAGTATCATCACCATCTAAGGATAGAACCAAGACAGTGCCTAGAGGTGAGTACATGCTATTGAAGAGGGCCTTCAGTAGACTGACATAGCTGAACCCTTGTGAGCTAGAACACCTTGTTAGTGCAAAGTTAGTTAGTGCATAGTCCAAGGTAATAGTTATTAAATATAGACTCAGCGATATGACGTAGATGCAGAAAGTAAACAGCATAGTGGGTCAATTTCCTCAACAACTCAGAGCGTTGAAGCGCGAGGCTCAACTTCTCAGCTGAACCATCTACGACGTTTTGGAGGACATACGTACCTTGGTTCTCTTTGAGTCTGTTTCTGTCAGGGGTGTATGGGGGGGTGGCAGTGGACGAGGGGGGGCAGTCTGACACTTGTGAGGGGCCCTTCCTCAAAGCCTTATTTGCAAAGTCACCCCTGATCTTTGAACTTGTGTCAATTTCACCTTTGACTGGTTCTGCAGTTGTCGTGGCGATGACCTCCACACTATGACTCTCAACCCTGAATTCTTGGTCCCTTTGCAAGCGATACTTCAGAGACTGAGAAGTTGTGCGCAGCTTCACTCCGAAAGCACTCCTCCTCCCCAGCTCCTGATCATTCTCCTCCTTTCTCTCGCTCTGTCCATCCCTTTTCTCTCCTCCCTTCAGTCCTGTCTCCTCCACTACTTCTACCTCTGTTTTTACTTTTCTCTCCTGAGGCGAGGGTTGTGATTGGTTTTCCTCCAGGCCTTTAAATGTGGCCTGCTCTGGTTTTACCCCTTGCCTACGGACAGAGCCCTGATCAGGGTTCTTGGCCACCAAACCCTCCCCTCCCTTTCCTTCTCCATTCATCTCCTCGTCTCTCGTCCCTGTGTGGGCACTGCCAGCGACGCTCTTGGAACGCTGTCTCAAGGAGGAGGTGGAGAAACTGTTTGCTCCAGGCAGTGTGTCTTCTTGGCCAGTAGGTGGCCCTGTAATCCTCTGCACCAGGTCCAATTTGGAGGTTTCTTCATTAACGCCCGACGGTGGGACTGCTGTAGTTTCTCTGACAGACTCTCTCTCAGAAGCAGGTCTCTGTGTTTGTTTTATAACGCGAGGGGCAGGGGTAGGTAGAGCAGAGCGGTGTGTAGAGCTGCTGGTGTCTGCTAGGCTCAGACCCTGTGTGTTTCTGCTCAACCTGTCTCTTTTGTTAGAGGTGGCTGGGGTCATATTCTCTTCTGGCTTCTCTTTTGAGGGCAGTTGATTTGTGGTGGAAGTGACATTATCTGATCCATACACAGGACTGAGAGGCCTGGAGAGGGTATTTTCAGATGTAGACCCAGGCCGACTTCCCTGGTCTGAATTATCCTGGATGTCTCTCTTGTCTTGACTTGGGTGTGTATGGATGACTGTACTGGGTTGTTTGATCCGGATAGGTTCCTGGGGCTTCTGTGGCTCCTCCACTGCTGCTGAAGGGGAAGAGGACTGGCTAGGGGTCTCCAGGATGTAGTTCTTGGTCATGGGCTCTGGAACAGAGGAGAGGTCTACCACTAAGGACATATCCTGGCAGTAGAGAGGGTTGGTGGTGACGCGTCCCTCTGGTTCGGAGGACTTTTGTCTCTGTAATACCGCTTTCTGACCACCAGGGGGTACTGACTGCCAGGGCTTCTCCTCAGAGTCTTCTGGAGATGAAGAGAACGGTCGCTCCCTCTCCTCCTCTTCCTCTCTGTCCTCGTCCTCCGTTCCGTCCTGCTCTTCCTCCCTCCCAGACAGGGGCTGATCTGGGTCCAGATCACTCAGGCTCTCTGAGCAAGGTCTGCTTGCTCTCTAGTAATGACACAGACAAGATAAACAGCCCCTTAAACCGTGGTCTTATATTTTACATTTACATTTTAGTCATTTAGCAGACGCTCTTATCCAGAGCGACTTACAGTTAGTGAATACATATTTTTTTTATACTGGCCCCCCGTGGGAATCGAACCCACAACCCTGGCGTTGCAAACGCCATGCTCTATCAACTGAGCTACATCCCTGCCGGCCATTCCCTCCCCTACCCTGGACGACGCTGGGCCAATTGTGCGCCGCCCATGAGTCTCCCGGTCGCGGCCGGCTGCGACAGAGCCTGGATTCGAACCAGGATCTAGTGGCACAGTTGGCACTGCGATGCAGTGCCTTAGACCACTGCGCCACTCAGGAGTTGACTGTAATTGAAGTATTAGAGATTGAAATGCTGCCCAGTGCCCACTATGTGGTGTTTTGGTGTTACATTATACAGTGAAATCTTACCGGGGGACCTTTCCTTCCCTTGGCGCTGGCCCTCTGGTTCCTGGGTTTGACAGACATGCGGTGACGGGCAGCAGAGCTGTCCAGACTGGGAGTGTACTGGGCTGGGCTGGTGAAGTCCACTGCAGGGGAGGGCTCCGGATCACAGAGGGAAGCAGGATTCGGGGAGAGAGGACGGGACGAGGGCTGGGAGAGGCACTGAGGAGAAAGTAGAAAAGCACATTAACAACTGTAATGGACCCAACAAACATGTTTTCGGTGAAGGTTGTTAGGATGATCAGTATGTGAATGTGGGATGTGGTGTAATACAGACAGGAAGTTGCATCACCTGCTCCTCTTCCTCACTTCCTGTCCCTGCTAAACTCAGAGAGCTATGGTGCCTGTGAGTGTCAGGGAACTGGGGATGGAATGGAGGGAACAGTGTCAATCAGTCAGTCACACTGATGGTGGAAGAGTAATGAAGAAGGATGATGATGATGATGATAATGATGATTACATTGTGTTTTGTTTGTAAATGTACCAATAGACACTCCTGACTACAACAAGGTTTGTTCTCTAAAAAATAGATGTTATCTCAATGAGACTGTCCTGGTTAAATACAAGTTAGATAAATTGTATCTATGTGTGTGCAGTGCATGTGATCAGCCCCAATCACCTTGTAGGAAGGCCCCTGTGCTGTTCTGTCATGGAACACAATATCTGGAGGGCTCTGGGGCAAACCATCATCCTCAGAGGTGGCTCCGGAATCTTCCAGTCTCTTCCCAGGGATCAGCAAGGGGGGAGGGCCCAGACGCATGTTCTGCTGCTGCAGCTTCAGCTGCCCAATCAGAAACAGTCCATGTGTGATGAGCACACTCCAGGACCAATCACAACAGTAGTTTAGACTACAAGGACCCTCCCACCTACAGACTCACCTGCAGTTCTCGTATCCTGCCATGTACGTTCTCCTGAGACAGAATCCTTGTCGGCTCAGAGGAGCTCTGTGATTGGTCAGCCAGGAAGATGCTGTCATGTGACAGAGCTCTGGACCCCAGTGTCTTCGGACCGCCCCTGTAAGTGACACAGGTCACAAACATGTTTACTACATATTTCCCAGTGAGCATGCTACTTATAAACTTGATATGGTACTATTTCCAGTGAGTGAAAGAGGTCAGACGCTTACAGACAGTCATCCTCTGAGTCGTCGACCCCCGGAGCTATGACATCAGCAGTGACATCACTTGCGGACTGGCTCTGCTTTATCAGTCCTTCGGTCTCCTTCCACTTCAGACGGCCAAACAGACGACTCTTCAGCTGCTTGAACCGAGACTTCTTCCTCCCTGAAACCACCACAAAGTTACTGTCCTACACTTGGTTTTGTTTGCAGAGTCAGACAAGAGACTTGCTGTGAAGTTCATTCCTGTTTGCATTGCATAATGCAATGTGTATGTATGAATGGTGTATTGTTAATGAATGATTTGCTAGCTACGTATGTCTGTTTACATTGGTTTATGCATGTCAATCCTTTAAAAAGTAAGAAAACAGGTGTGTTCTACCTGTAAGCTCTTCTCCTGATCCCTCCCCTTCCCCAGCGTTAGTATCCATGGCAGAGACTGGATTTAGCTGCTCTTACCTAGGAAGAGAGACAGGGCAAGACAAAAATCATTCAACGACATCGTATTTAGCAACGCCAGAGGGTTCTGTTTGAACAATGGCTATTCTTGTGAGCCATTCAGGAGCCAGTAGACTGCAGGTTACAGCTCACCTCTATCACACCACTCCCTCCCAGGACAAAGTGTGCTTTCAGGACTAGCCTCAGTCTTAATGCCTGAGTACTGTACACACACTGTCAGATATACCTCTATATGCCCCCCTGGTGATGTGGGTTGGAGCCCTGTCTCGGCCACCCTCTGTCTATGCCCCTTCTAGCTGTCTCCCTCTACATTTCCTGCTCTACTGTCAAAAATACAAAACAATCAAACAAATAAATAAATAACAATATATGTTTTAAACATTGTCTGTCAACACAGATTTTGGAGTTGTCCTATTTTAATAACATATTTATTATCCTATTTAATAATATCACATTTTATTATCCAGCCAACTTTGTCTTTCCAGAGACAAAGACTCTTCATTGATAATAAATAGTTTCACACACCCTTTTCCTTGAACCAGCTGATAACACCTCTAAACTAAGAGCATGTTGGCAACGTTTATGAAACCTAACAAACCTGATAAATGGTTTACTTTATATCAGGCGTTAGATATTAGCTTTGCTATTGTCATTGTTCTAGCTATTTATAGTTAATAAATAAGCTCTTTTAATTTGATGTAACATTTTCTCAAGTCAAGTTTGCCAGTTCAGTGATATTGTGTCAGCAGCTCCAATTAGTTTCAACAGCATTTCTCTTTCGGCAGATATTATGGAGCGTTTGATTAGAACAAGCCGACCAGACAAGAGGCTTTCAGCTCCTATGTTGACTTTGCGCCTGGAACTGAATAGGAGTTGCCTAGCAGTCCACTGATGACGTGATGTGACATTAAATAACAAGGAGACAAATTAAACATGACCTGAGTTCAACCTTTCCCAGACTCATCATCCACACACACACACACACACACACACACACACACACACACACACACACACACACACACACACACACACACACACACACACACACACACAATGTCTGAAAGAAGACAACAAAAACCAGTGGTTCACCAAGGTTCTAAGCACTCCCAAACTCCTCCAATCCATCTTTCTCCAAGACGTATACAAGCAGGGAGAACTCAGGGAGAAGAGGGATACAAAGGTTAGTGCACTGAACCCAGCCACCAAACCCCATACAGCAACCCAGTCTAATACAGCAACCCTGCTCTGTATCTAGTTGCCAACTGGAAAATAATCGCTCTGCAGAGTAGAAGACTAAAGGTCGGTGCAGCCCACTGAGCAACCCAACTACTGAACCACACATGGCAACCAGGCCTTGTACCCTGGTGCCCAGCAGAATGGATATCTGCAGAGAACAAGCCCAACAATAGAGAACAGCAGGGGTGCTGTCTCTGGTGAAATCCTATCCTGCAGCTACAGGATATTACTGAAGCTGGCTGGCCAGTCCTGATCCAGCTGGCTACAAACAGCACAGTACAGATGCCGTATATTAATCTGTTGTTGCAGGAATTGTAATTTCCACTTAAAAACTTCAGACTTGATTTGCCCTAATGATAAATGTATTAACCCCTACAAAACATGTCCATTAATTATAATCCAAATAACAATTCACATGTCCTGTTGCTGTAGGATTATATTCATGCTGTTTTAACTGGCTCAAATTAAGACACGGCATCTGTATACTATGTAGGAGCTCTGTGGTAGAGTTCAGCTAACTATCCTCCTTGTTGGCACCAAATGTTCCATGATTAAAACATTCTAATTTGCATTGTAACTAGAAGTATCAATGTCTCAGGTGTAACTTTTAGTGTCAACATGGTGTCCACTGAGATTCTAAATCAAGCCAGGACACTGTATAGGATGGCTGGCTATCCATGGCTCTGTTGATCTATGGATCTGGCGAGGATAAGCCTGTGTATTACTGTTTAATGAGACGATGAACTTGTGTAACCTTTTAGACCTCACACACAGCTACGGATGCGACACATCAGGTGCTCTAGTGCCTGTAGTGACGTCAGCATGGCAGGCTGGTCCCCCAAGGCTATAATGGAACCCCACAGCTGAGCTACTGTGTAGATAAGAGGAAACCATTAACTTTTTACAGCACCACGCATTCAATAAAATAATCTCATTAAATGGTTCGGGAGCATAAATGAATTCGGGCCATTTGAATCTAAATAGATTTCGCCCGTAGGCAATGAGTGAATCATTCACTGGAATTGGCTGTGAAAATAGACTTGAATTTCTAAAGAACAATAAACAAAGAAATATATAAATTAATATAAATTATTGTAAAAAGTTCAAATTATAGAATATCTTAACATCTTATTATTACCTGCTTACCACAGGAGGTTGGTGTCACCTTAATTGGGGAGGACGGGCTCGTGGTAATGGCTGGAGCGGAATCAGTGGAATGGTATCAAATACATCAAACACATGGTTTCTATGCGTTCTATGCCATTCCATTTGCTCCGTTCCACTCAGCAGCCTCCACTGCTGCTTACTTACCATGTAAGTAAATAGAAACCAGGTACCAACATGGTCCCTCCCTGGAAAAATCCTCTATAAAAAGGAAGTGTGACTGATAAGACCTACGTAACACCACTGCACAATGAGAGCCAAGGGACTCCTCAGTGAGCCAAATAACACAAGCCCAGGGGACCTGACACTTCAGCAGCCATGCTCCCCACACCACAGCAGTGCAGTGAACACATGGAATAGTACCTGTTGATAATGGAGGGACTAAGGTGGAGAGGTACCCCCTATAATCTATCTCTGTGTACTAGTCAAAAGCAATATGAACCAGAGCTCATTGATTTTGTGCTATCCCTTTGATAAAGGTATTTTAACCAAACAGCCGTTATGAAACCTGATTGTCCTGTGAATGATCAGCGATTACACTGATCATATTCACAACCAGCATTATGCTTTATATACAGAGTAGTGTTGTTTACCAAAGGCAGTTTTATTAGATGATAATGAAGGATAACTTATGAAAGGCAAACACTGTAATGGCAATCATCCCTCTTTCTAGATGAGTGCACAGTGGGTTTTTACAGAAACAGTTTGAAGTTTATCTGTAAGCTTTTGTTTTGGCAGTGGAATAATCACACAGGATCTGTTTATTTAGGTCGTCAGACACGATTTGATTGTTATCAGTTAATCCCCTTTAGGAATGCAGAACTCGTGCTGAACACACTGTAGTTCAAAGTTCAAAGGTTATGGAACAAGAAACAGTTGAAATACTGTACAACAGCAGGTCAAAAAAATACCCCAATAATGAAAGATTACGTTGCAAATTATCGTATCAATTAGCATCTTTATCAACAGATACAACTGTTTGGGGGGTGGTTTCTAGGTCAGTTACAGTAAGAGTCAGCTCAAGTTCAGTCGGGTGGAATTGTCTTACCCTGTTACTGGAGAGCAGCTGCTTCTTCCTTTCTCTCTTTCTCTGTTTTCTCTTTCTCTCCAAGGGGAGGATGTGTCCTTCCACCCGCACGCACTCACACACATACAAGTCCTCAGCCACCTTACTCCACAGCCATCTGCAAACGGACGGAACGAGAGAATGAGAGGTGATAGGAGAGAGGTGATAGGACAGAAAGGGAGAGAGGGAGTGGAGAGAGAGATCAGAGAGAGAGAAAAGAGAGAGAGAGAGAGAGTGCAGCTGCAAGGATAATGTTCATAGGATTAGTGACAATAGTGTCAGTCAGTGGAAAGCTGTCTTAAATGAACCGTGTACAGAGAACAAAGAGTTTGTGTTGTTCTGCATCATTCATCCCTCCTATACCTTTTAGGGTATTAGGAAACGTCTTTAAAGTTAGAAATGTGCTGAAGTACTCCCATTCAAAAGCATTTGAATGTCTGAATGCAGTTACGTATCTCAGTATGTGTTCATAAAGAGTTAATAATTGGAGTGAATAAGTTCTCAAGTACAGTTCATAAGTTGTAATTAGTGACCAGTTCTAGGCATTGGGTCTACCTTATAGCCTCCTGGGTTTACCAGGTTTCTATAGGATGTGATGTTTTCACCCCTCTGTGTACTTTACTGTTCAATCATGTGACCTGTGTGTTATCTAACATGATTCGGACTACTCCAATTCAAGTACATTGTTACCTGAGTGAAACATTAGCCCTGGGCCTTACAAAAGCAGCCAAGGCAGTCCCACCCACCCAATCAACGATTAGGAGTCAGACAGCCCACCTCTCTGACACCACTACCTCCACTCCCTCCCTCACTGGACAAAGTGTGCTTAATAATAATATCTCTAAGAGCGTTGCCTTATGTTGCCTGTACGGGCAAAGGAGGAACCTGCACACCTCAGCCCAGCAAACATTGGCTACCAGAGTTAGATATGTCCATTATCCTGGGCTTTACTTGGTACAGTGATGCTCCCCTACAAAGAAGGCTAGTGTAAACATTAACCTCACTGTCATGGTTTCTAGGTGAGTGGTGTGGCAAGGGAGAGACTAGCTAGCATCTGTTCGATTATTAACTATTTATACTGAGACCCACTTATTTATTTCATATTCATGAAGAATACCAGATCCAGGTGTTGCAAGGTACAGTATCTTCCCAATGTAATGCTTTTCACATCCACCTCTCAGAGTTCAGTGCATTTCTCAGTGTTCTTCACATACATGGAACAATCAATGGCAATGTCTGTTGATCCGCTATAATGGGATCACCATGTTATGTTTTAGTTATTTATCAGACGCTCTTATCTAGAGCGACTTCCAGTTAGTGTATTCATCTTCAGATAGCTAGGTGGGACAACCACACATCAGTCATAGTAAGTACATGTTTCCTCAATAAAGTAGCTATCAGCAAAGTTAGAGCTAGTAAAGGGGGGGTAGTAAGAGGGGGGGGGGGGGGGGGGGGGGGGGTTGTTCCTCTTGCTGCTCGGTAGGCAAGTACCAGGGTCTTGTAGTTGATATCCATTCTACAACTTCTATTTCTATGTAGATGTCACGGATTCTGCCGAGGCTGCTCCTCCTCCTTGCTCGGGCAGGCTTCGGCGTTCGCTGTCCCCGGAGTACTAGCTGCCACCGTTAGATGTTTCGTTGGTTGATTGCTTTTGTCTGTCTATTGCACCTGTGTCCGTTTGTGTCTGATTATGTGTCCTATAAGTTGCCTGTCTTGTGTTGGTTAGTTTGTGTGTTGTTATTCACCTGTCTGTTAGTGCTGCGTGTTTGCTCTGTTTGTTGTTTTGATGTTTACGCACAGTTTGCGTAATCGCTCACCTCTGTTTTTGTTGAGGCCGTCTATTGTATTTTTGCCTTGTGTTGCACAAGTAAACTTTGTTGGACTAAGCTTCGGTGTCCTGCGCCTGACTCCCACACCACACTTACCTCAGCCCTTGACAGAACAACACACAACATGGAGTCAGCAGGAGCAGCGGCGGCACCCAAGTCGCTGGAGGATCGGATCAGCGACCAAGACACCATGATCCGGCAACTTGGGGCCGCCATGAACGAGGTGTCCAACACTCTGCGCCGGTTGGTTACGGGAGAGGTGCCCACGCCTTCGCACACCTTACCATCACCATCGGCTAGTCCTCCTCTCCCAGCACCGGAACACAGTGGCATTCGGCTCTCGCTCCCGAGGGCATATGATGGTTCTGCAGCCGGGTGTCAGGGGTTCCTCCTGCAGGTGGAACTCTACCTGGCCACCATACACCCGGCGCCCTCGGGATACGAGAGCGTCTCCGCCCTCATCTCCTGTCTATCCGGCAAGGCATTGGAGTGGGCCAACGCCGAATGGAGGGGAATAGACGCTGCCACCATCACCTACGCGGAGTTCTCCCGCCGCTTCAGGGCTGTGTTCGATCATCCACCTGAGGGGAAGGCGGCGGGGGAGCGTCTGTTCCACCTCCGACAGGGGAAGAGGAGTGCACAGGAGTTCGCCCTGGAGTTCCGGACTCTCGCGGCGGATGCGGGGTGGAATGAGAGGGCCCTCATCGACCATTACCGGTGTAGCCTACGAGAGGACGTTCGTCGTGAGCTGGCCTGCAGGGACACCAACCTATCCTTCGACCAGTTGGTGGACATTTCCATCCGTCTCGACACCCTGCTGGCTACCCGCGGACGTCCCGAGTGGGGGTCGTCCATTCCACCCTCCAGCACCTCCGAGCCGATTCCCATGGAGTTTGGGGGCGCTAGGGAGAGGAGGAGAGAGAACCCGAGGGGGGCCGTCCCCTGCACCAACTGTGGCCGTGGAGGACACACTGCGGCTAGGTGCTGGGGAGGGTCTCCTAGGAGAGGGGACAACAGGTCACGCACTGGGGAGTCATTTCAGGTGAGTAGGCACCCCACTTACCCAGAGCTCTCTGTTGGTCACCTGTGTATACCTGTGAGATTTCCACAGGTGGCACCTCATTCCCAGCATAAGGCGCTAGTAGATTCAGGCGCAGCTGGGAATTTTGTTGATCGGGAATTTTGTTATAAGTTAGGAATTCCCCTTCGGCCGGTAGAAGCCCCCTTTCCTGTTCATGCCCTAGACAGCCGGCCGCTGGGGTCGGGGTTGATCAGAGAAGTCACAGCACCACTTAAGATGACGACGCAGGGGGGTCATGAGGAGATCATTCCGTTTTATCTGATCGACTCTCCTGCGTATCCCGTGGTGCTGGGGCTTCCCTGGTTAAGCGCCCATGATCCTACTATTGCGTGGCAACAGAGGGCTCTTATGGAGTGGTCTGCCCAGTGTGTAGGGAGATGTCTAGGTGTTTCCTTAGGGGCGACCTCGGTGGAGAGTCCGAACCAAGTGCCCGCAATGCGCATTCCCCCTGAATATGAGGATTTAACACTTGTGTTCAGCAAAGCTAGGGCAACACGGCTACCACCTCATAGACAGGGGGATTGTGCGATAGATCTCCAAACAGCAGCGGCACTTCCGCGGAGCCGTGTGTATCCCCTGTCTCAAGAGGAGACAGCGGCTATGGAGATTTACATAGCCGAGTCCTTGGCACAGGGATACATACGGTCCTCCACTTCCCCGGTTTCCTCAAGTTTCTTCTTTGTGAAGAAGAAGGACGGGGGTTTGCGCCCGTGTATTGATTACCGTAGTCTCAATCAGATCACGGTTAAGTACAGTTACCCTCTTCCTCTGATTGCGACTATGAGGGAGTCATTACGCGGAGCGCGGTTCTTCACAAAGTTGGATCTCAGGAGCGCGTACAATCTGGTGCGCATTAGGGAGGGGGATGAATGGAAAACAGCATTTAGCACCACCTCGGGTCATTACGAGTATCTCGTCATGCCATACGGGTTAATAAATGCTCCTTCAGTCTTCCAATCCTTTGTTGACGAGATTTTCCGGGACATGCATGGGCAGGGTGTGGTAATATACATCGACGACATCCTAGTGTACTCTTCTACACGAGCCGAGCATGTAGCCCTGGTGCGCCGAGTGTTGAGGAGGCTGTTGGAGCATGACTTGTATGTCAAGGCAGAGAAATGCTTGTTCTTCCAGGAGTCCGTCTCCTTTTTGGGTTATCGGTTGTCCGCGTCTGGTGTGAAGATAGAGGTTGACCGTGTGTCGGCCGTGCGTAATTGGCAAACTCCAACCACTGTATGGGCGGCAGGTAGCTTAGTGGGTAAGAGCGTTGTGCCAGTAACCGAAAGGTCGCTGGTTCTAATCCCCGAGCCGACTATGTGAAAAATCTGTCGATGTGCCCTTAAGCAAGGCACTTAACCCTAATTGCTCCTGTAAGTCGCTCTGGATAAGAGCGTCTGCTAAATGACTAAAATGTAAATGTAAAAGAGGTGCAGCAGTTTTTGGGTTTTGCTAATTACTACCGGAGGTTTATCCGGGGCTTTGGACAGGTGGCAGCTCCCATTACGTCCCTGCTAAAGGGGGATCCGGTGCGTTTGCAGTGGTCAGCTGAGGCGGACAGGGCATCTGTTAAACTAAAGAACCTGTTCACTTCGGCCCCGGTGCTGGCGCATCCGGACCCCGCTTTACCATTCCAAGTTGAGGTAGACGCGTCCGAGGCTGGTATTGGGGCAGTCCTGTCGCAACGGTCCGGCACGCCACCTAAACTCCGCCCCTGTGCGTTCTATTCTAAGAAGCTCAGCTCGGCGGAGCGTAATTATGACGTAGGGGACAGGGAGCTGTTAGCTGTAGTCCAGGCCCTAAAGGTGTGGAGGCATTGGCTTGAGGGGGCTCAACACCCTTTCCTCATTCTGACTGACCACCGTAACCTGGAGTACATCCGGGCAGCTAGGAGATTGAACCCTCGTCAGGCTAGGTGGAACATGTTCCTGACCCGGTTTGTTTTTAAGATCACATACATCCCAGGGTCCCAGAACGGTAAGGCAGACGCCCTGTCTCGGCGGTATGAGACACAGAGGAGAGGTCCATTGAGCCTACTCCCATACTGCCGGAGTCTTGTCTGGTGGCTCCGGTGGTGTGGGAGGTCGATGCGGAGATCGAGCGGGCACTGCGTACCGACCCTACTCCCCCAGAGTGTCCGGTGGGGCGGACGTACGTTCCGCTCGATGTTCGTGACCGCCTAATTTAAGTTCACCTCCAGAGTCTGGGGGGCGTTCATGGAACGCTTGGGGGTCTCGGTGAGCCTTACCTCGGGTTACCACCCAGAGAGCAATGGGCAGGTAGAACGAGTCAACCAGGATGTGGGTAGGTTTCTGAGGTCCTATTGCCAGGGCCGGCCGGAGGAGTGGTCAAGATATATCCCCTGGGCAGAGATGGCACAGAACTCTCTCCGCCACTCCTCCACTAATCTAACCCCTTTCCAGTGTGTGTTGGGGTATCAGCCGGTTCTGGCACCATGGCACGAGAGCCAGATCGAGGCCCCTGCGGTGGACGAATGGATTCGGCGCTCGGAGGAGACGTGGAACGCTGCTCATTTCCATCTGCAGCGGGCCATCCGTCGACAGAAGGCGAGCGCCGATCGCCACCGCAGTGAGGGTCCGGTGTACGCACCGGGAGATCGAGTCTGGCTCTCGACTCGAAACCTGCCCCTCCGCCTGCCCTGCCGGAAGCTGGGTCGGCGGTTTGTGGGGCCTTTTAAAGTCCTGAGGAGATTGAACGAGGTGTGTTACAGGTTACAACTGCCTATTGATTATAAGAATATTAACCCCTCGTTCCATGTGTCTCTTTTCAGGCTGGTGGTAGCTGGTCCACTCCAGGAAAGTGAGATAGGAGAGACCCCTCCGCCCCCTCTGGACATCGAGGGAGCTCCGGCGTACACGGTCAGGACCATCTTGGACTCGAGACGTCGGACGGGGGGTCTCCAGTATCTCGTGGAGTGGGAGGGGTACGGTCCGGAGGAACGGTGCTGGGTGCCTAGGACGGATATCCCAGATCCATCTCTCCTGACCGAGTTCCACCGGGGTCATCCCACGCGCCCGGCTCCGCGTCCTCCTGGTCGTCCCCGAGGCCAGGGTCGGCGCACGGCTGGAGCCGCGCGTCAAGGGGGGGGTACTGTCACGGATTCTGCCGAGGCTGCTCCTCCTCCTTGCTCGGGCAGGCTTCGGCGTTCGCCGTCCCCGGAGTACTAGCTGCCACCGTTAGATGTTTCGTTGGTTGATTGCTTTTGTCTGTCTATTGCACCTGTGTCCGTTTGTGTCTGATGATGTGTCCTATAAGTTGCCTGTCTTGTGTTGGTTAGTTTGTGTGTTGTTATTCACCTGTCTGTTAGTGCTGCGTGTTTGCTCTGTTTGTTGTTTTGAGGTTTAAGCACAGTTTGCGTAATCGCTCGCCTGTTTTTGTTGAGGCCGTGTATTGTATTTTTGCCTTGTGTTGCACAAGTAAACTTTGTTGGACTAAGCTTCGGTGTCCTGCGCCTGACTCCCACACCACACTTACCTCAGCCCTTGACAGTAGATGATTTCTGCCATTCTAGAGACCCGCTAGAACAGACATCATCAACTGGATTCAGCAGCTAGACAATTTTTTCTTGAGCATATGGTCAGGGGTCCGGAACACAATTACAAATAATTGTTAGACTGCAAATTGACCGCAAGAAGCCCAAACATATCTAATATTTGACTAAAACATAATCATTTCAAACCTTGCTTACATTTCTATATGATCCCATATACTGTGTCTCTCTATTATGCGTAGGAATTCTTCAGAACAGATTTCCAAAATTAATCCAACAATAAAATAAAATACATGAAAAAAATTGTTCAGAAAACTTGGGAGGGACAAATCAAATCACCCACGGGCCAAATTCAGCCAGCGGGCCGCCAGTTGGGGAACCCTGCGCTAGAAACTCTGCTCTCCTGCATCCTGTAGTCAGGCAGCAGCCTGGTAGCAACCTTTGGATAGTCATTACCCTGGGCGGGACCCAGCCATTCAGCCTACCCAACCTACCTCTGAGACAGAACAGGAGTGTTATGACATGAACACACCTGGCACACGGCTAGTCACTCCATGAAACTAGACACACATGCATGCACACACACACACACACACACACACACACACACACACACACACACACACACACACACACACACACACACACCAATTTCTACAGAACAGCCCCACAAGTATAACTAGCTGGTACACAACACTGTGTATTTTCACTGTTCTCTCTCTCTCTCTCTCTCCCTCTCTTTCCGTTCACCTTCCCTCTTCAGGGCTTTCCTATTTTTAGGCTGAAGGTGGCCCTGTTCTCCTACACATTTTGCCATGGGGCGTAGAGAAAATGTTGCAGTTTTAAAGCAAGTTTGCAGCAATTCTACACATTTTTCCATTTGGCAGAGAGAAGATTTAGAAATGTTCTAACTAATTACATGAAATTCTACTCATTATGCAATGGGGCGGAGAGAAAAATGAGCAGTTTTACAGCTAATGTCCTGCAATTCTATTAACTTTGCCATAGGGTGGGGAGATATAATAGCCCTATTTAATATGAAATCTGAGTGAGAGGGAATAACAATATCAATGGGGGCCCCCGGTTGATAATTCGACCATGATTACTATAAGTTTAGATGGCTAGACTAACTTACCAATCAAAAATTTTTTGGCTGACATGGGCTTATTGAGTGACTGTCAGTGACTGACATAACAAGAGAACAACTGCTGAAGCACAACCAAATTTCTACTTTTCTAGCTCTCAACATTAAGTTGAGACCCCGTCTAAAATAAATAAAAATAACACATTTGTCAATTGATCCGCGGTCCTACAAAAGAGGGGCTGTGCGGACCACCAGTTTCCCATCTCTGATTTAGAGAACAAAGCAGCCCAGGGGTAGAGACTGAGTGGCCAGTTGAACATGTAGCCTACCATTCTGCAAGGTTCAACTAACTTATGACTGAAAAGTAAACCAGAACGAAAATTATTATTTTTATTAAAGCACTTCTCTCAGACAATTTACTAAAAATAGAATACATTATGAAATAACATAATTTCCCTCTTTTAGCTGTGTTTCATTTTAATCAAATCTTCATAAAAAATATACTGAACGTTCACTCAATTCACAGATAAAATACACACAACCAAACACAGTGATGTCAGTTCATTTGTGAAATTTAATAAAACATACATTTGAGATAACACTTGTTCTATTTTCGGTCTAGGAGTGTTGTTCTGAACCTGAGGTCCTCACGCGGATCATGACATCACAGGGTTTGAGTTGAAGAATGACGTCATAGCATGGTGAGGACTAGAGAGAAGGTTGGGTTGTCTTTCCTCCTGAGGGAGATCTGTTCAGTCGTAGAGGTCCTTGAACCCCAGGCTCCTGTCACCACACACACACACACACACACACATACACACACACACACACACATGGTGAGATGTAGAAATATATGTGTGTTGTATTCAATGTGAGGTGTTCAGGGAGGGGCCCCACCTCTCTGGGGATCTCTCTCTGGACAGGTGGTCTGGGGTGGACCACAGGGGCCTGCTGGGGCTGAGGGAGCGACGCTGGTGAGGGGAGGAGGGATGCAGACCAGAGGACGATGATGACAGACCCTGACGACGCAGCTCCTGCACTGCCCTCTCCCTACGAGAGAGAGAGAGAGAGAGAGAGAGAGAGGAGAGAGAGAGAGAGAGAGAGTAAAGCACAAGCCAAGCCTTTACGACAAGCAACTAGAGACAGACAGACAGGCAAACAGACCTCTCAAACCGCTCAGTGGATAGCTTTCTCTTGGTCATGTCCAGTTCAGCCTCTAGCTGTGCCGAACGAGTACTCAATGTAGCCACCTCCCTACTCTGAGAGCTCCTGAGAGAGAGAGAGAGAGAGAGAGAGAGAGAGAGAGAGAGAGAGAGAGAGAGAGAGAGAGAGAGAGAGAGAGAGAGAGAGAGAGAGAGAGAGAGAGAGAGAGAGAGAAATTGGAAATTGAGTTGGAGATGGATAGATGAAAGAGAAAGAGGGAGAGAAACAAAGAGGGAAGCTGTCAAAACAGACAAACAAATCAGAAACCCTTCCAACAGCGACCAAGTGTCTGCTTACGCCTTGCTGTCGGCCGCGGTGAGTTTGTCCCTGAGCAGCTGGATCTCAGTGTGTCTCTCCTGGGAGCTGAGCTGTCGGTGTAGCTCCTTCTCCCTGGTGGCCACCAGCATGGACTCCAGGCTCTTCATGCTCAGACGCTCACTGGACAGCTGCTTCCTGAGCAGCTCCAACTCCGAGCGGTACGCATCCAGCTCACACTGCACCTACAAGCACACACACACAGTGTACTGTTAACATACACACACACAAACATAAACATCCTGACATATGCGCACACACACCATCCCCTCCATGACTCACAGCCTCCTTGCTGGCGTCCAGTTTGACACAGAGCTCCCTGGTCTTCTCCAGGTCAGTCTGAGTGGCGGTGTGTTCCCCCTGGGCCTGTCTCAGCTCCTCCTCAGTGTGCAGCAGACTCCTGTTGAGCTGGGACACCTGGCTGCTGCAGCTCCGCTCTGCAGACAACGCCTAGGATACACACAACTATAGGGGTCCAGGGTCGTGTTCATTACGCACAACATGTTAACATGTTGCGAAACCTTTTACACATAAAACTAAAATGAGCTTTTGTTATTGGCCAACTTCAGGTTGTCCCACCCTGTTTCAGTCCGTTTGGTGCCTAATGAATAAGACCCAGTGTGTGCCCAGTGATAATCCCTAATGATAGAGACAGTGAGGGTGGACCGACCTCCTGCAGACTGGCCTCCAGAGCCTCCACCTTCTCCCTGAGTCTGCGTCTCTCCGTGTCCGAGGTCATCAGCTCCAGCCTCAGCTCGCTGATGCTCCCCTCCGCCTGCCGCGCCTGCCCCTCCCAGCTCTCGGCCTGGGCCGAGCCACGCCGCCGAGCCTCCTGGTGCTCCCTGCACTCCCGCTCCTGGTGGACATACACACACACACACACACACACATTTGAATTATTTATTTAGCTCCACAATGAAACAGTACAAGTTAAAAGGTCTTGACTATCAATCCCTACCCAACTCCAGTCTGAAAACGTTGATTGCCGCTTATAGTAAGCACAAGGAGGAAAGAAAAAAATAAAGATTTTCAAATAGGAATCGATCTGAAACTCAAAGGCTGCGTTTACACAGGCAGCCCTATTCTGATTATTTTTTCACTAATAGGTATTTTGACCAATCAGATCAGCTTTTTTGCCAATATTTGGGCTAAATATCAGAATTGGGCTGCCTGTGTAAACGCAGCCATAGCTGTTCTGGATGAGTGATTGTTTGTTCGACAAGACATAACTAACAGATCACAGATAGAAATATCATCCATTCACAGTGCCAGCAGAGGTTACCTTGGTGGACAGCAGGTTCTCGATGCGGGAGACGTCAGACACATAGTCCTGTACCTTCCTCTGCAGCTCCTGCACCTCCTGGGCAGAGTCCTCAGACTTCAGCTCCAGGGCCTGGACAGCAAAACAAACTAGATTGTACAAAGTGTTTGTGAGATTCTAAAGAGATAATGGCCATGCGGTTTGGTATATCATGAATAATATGTGTGTTTTCTACTACTGTTTGCCCTAGCCAATCACCTGGGATGAAAAACTATTCTGGACCATGAGCCAATGCCATCTAGTCTGGGTACCAGTCTTTTTAGCTAACATTCCACTCCTTGCCACTCCTGTCATTTGGCAAATGACACGGAGTACAAGGAGTGGAATGTAATAGCTGAACAGAGACAGCAACCAGGCTACATACCATCCTCCCTAAATATTAAGAATCCTAAAAGGTTGATAATTTCAAAGTTTAAAAATGATAATCCTGACCCTGGTTTGGTCAGAGAGTGCTGTATCTGACCTGGTTGTTGAGACGGCTCTTGTCCAGTTCCTCTCGGAGCTGAGCATTCTCCCTTAGGGTGGCATCCTTCACCTTGGCCAAAGCCCCCAGCTCCTCCCCCGCATCCCCCAGCCTCCTCCTCAAAGCCTCCAGCTCCCGCTCCCGCCCTGCCAGCGCCTCACGAACACTCCTGGGGAACAGAGAGGTCACAGCCAGGGGTCAGAGTTTAGAGGTTAACTTATACAGGTGGTGCAATCCATATGTGTCTCTGAGTGAACCTTGGTAGGGTGACTTGGCATCTGATGCTGCTGTGTGAAGCTTTGTGGTACTGGACAACTCAGACTCACTCTGCTGATGTCTCCAGATCCTCAATGGTCAACCTCAGATTCCTGATGGTTTTCTCCTGAAGAAAAAACATGGCAACAAAGAGACCATCACTCAATAACTGATATTAGACTAATGTGTCACATCTCATGAGGTGATATCCAAGTGGACATTTCAACTTCCTAAACATAGTGGCTGGTAGGTATGCTGGCAGGTATTCTGGTACAATTGGCTGTGTGTGTTGTTAGTGTTCAGTTGATTACTTTGTCGTCCAGCTGGTTGTGGGCTGAATTGAGGAGGTCAGTCTTGTTCTCCAGCTGCTCCTGCAGGGAGTCTCTCCTCTGGTCCAGGTCAGTGATGGTGGACTGTAGACCGCTCACCTCCTCTCTTAGACCAGACACCTGCCTCAGTAGAGAGTCTGACACAACAGATAAGGCTCAGTGTGGTAAGGTTATCTGGAATAGCGTTATTACACACACACACAAGAATGGATGAGCGCACACACACACACACACACACACACACACACACAAGAATGGATGAACGCACACACACACACACACACAGACCTTGTCTCCTCACCGTTCTTCTCGTCCAGCAGTTTGTTCCTCTCCTGGGAGTTCTGTAGTTCTCCGATGCGGGAGGTCAGTCTGCGCTGGCTGTCACTCAGGGCGTTCTGTGTCTCACCGTTGGACAGTCTGAACACACACACACGTGCGCGCACACACTTCAAATGATGCTATAAAAGGGATTAAATGGACGCTATAGAAGTAACAGTTCCCACACATGCCAAGTATGTGGCTGATGCAGGAAGTGACTCCCCAACCACATGACTTCATACATCAGTGCTGGTTCCTGGCTTACCTCAGCATGACACACTCGTTCCTGGTCCTGCTGTGTTCGTCCTCAGCAGCGGTCAGCTTCCTGCCCAGGGTGTGGACCTCCTCCTCAAGCCCCATCATGGACTCCCTCATCAGGGCAAGACGGCTCTTCTGGTCCCCTCGCTCATGCTCCAGCTACAGCAAGGAGCATCGCCATGAATTGCAATTAGCAGCATGAACATTCCATTTCAAACGGAGGACATTTAAAGACTGTGTCTGTTCTAGTCATTGTGGTTTTCTCCTCCTCCTCACAGTGAGAATGGCTGTCTGCAGGTCCTCCACCCTCTGCTCCAGATGAGCCCTCTCACTGATGGCTGTCTCCTGAGAGATCTGACAACACGCAACACACATATAGACACTTTCTCTCAGCAGGACACACACACACACTTTCATTGGTAGTCAATAGATGGCCATGCTGGAACACTCAGAAGTAGATTATTATCCAATCTGGTTAACACGCTGACCTTGAGTCTCTCCCTCAGACTGTCCCTCTCTGTGCTCATTCGGTGGAGGTCGACCGTGGCCACGTCTCTCTCCGCCTCCACGCGCTTCAGGATGCTCTGAGCTGACACGGTGACACTGCTCTTAGCTGCGCGCGACGACTTGGATTTCAGCACCTCGCGACGCAGCGACGCTATCTCCTGCTGGGCCTAATGAGGAATGGGATTGTTACCCGCAAAATGATTTCCCATTCATTTGGAACTGAGCTAAGAAAACGTCTGACAAAATGTGTTTTGTTGGCGTTATTTTTTCCTTTAAGAATGGCACTAGCCTGCTGGTAGTGCATGCTGGTCTTGTCTCTGTCGGCAGTCAGAACTTTCACGTTGGCCTGGATCTCTGACAGGTGGCGCTCATACTTATCAAGCATGTTCTGCATCTCGTCCCGCTCTCTCAAGACCCTCATCAGCTCAGAGTCATAGCTGCCCCCCTGCCCAACATAAGAGAACAAGACATGATGTCAGATTTCAAAAGAGTACATCAGCTGTTACATTAGTATCATGACAAAGGGCTAGCAGTCCAGGAGACATTGGTCAGAAATTCATTTTTTTTTTATTAATCCGGAAAAAGTCGTATTTGAAGAGTTTATTTCCAAAACGCTATATCCACCAATATTTCATATTTGTATTTTTTCATCAGAAATGATTGATTATGGGTACCTTCATGTATGTGTAAAATATTACTGATCTCAGTTGTTTAATTCATAGATTTTAGATGTGTATGAAAATGTTTGTTTTTTTGCTAAACGTTATATTGTTTAGCTGGAATGGAATGTTCGTATCCTGTATTTTTGACTGTGATATGTGGTTGTCTCACCTAGCTATCTTAAGATGAATGCACTTACTGTAATTCACTCTGGATAAGAGCATATGCTAAATGACTAAAATGTCAAATGTAAATGTTTTATATACAGATCTCATATTACTGAATTACATTATTATTTTTTATATTTGTTTTATATTGATGTCACAAATGTATCATTTCTACAGTTCTTTATTCAAAATGTAGTTATTTATTACATTTGACTGTTTAAAACCTAGCAGTACTACTTATGTCTCTGAGAGTGAGCTGGATATATAGCATTTCGCAAAAAAACATTATTTGTCTCTCTGAAATGAAACCATCAAGTAATAGATTTTAAACAAATACATGTATGTCATTGAACAACCCCATGCCATGATTAGAGAGTGAAAAAACACACCAAACATTTCTTTAAACAATAAAAGCTCATTTACCAACATTTCTGAAAATGGATATATAGCGTTTTGGGAGGAAACGCTTCACTTATACATTTAGAACACTGAAGATGGAGGAACAAATGCCTAATTAGATTTCAAGTTAATATTAGACAGACATTCCTTTACCTTGACAGGGGGCTGACGGGTGGGGCTGCGGCTCTGGAGGTGCCCCCGACAGGGGCTACAGGAGCACCTGCCCCTCAGCATCCTCCTCAGGCTGTCTGCTTCCTGTCTGTAGTAGTCCCTCTCCTCCTCCACGCTCCGCAAGAAGCTGTCCAGACGAGAGCCACGCTTCCCCCTGCCGCTTGGCTCTGTGTACAGGACCTGCTCTCTCTCTGTAGAACAGCCAACAATGTTCAATCACATTCTGGCATCACATTCTCCACTACCCTCTAATATTAACTTGAAATGTAATTAGGCATTTGTTCCACCATCTTCAGTGTTCTAAATGTATAAGTGAAGCGTTTCCTCCCAAAACGCTATACATTCACTCAGTCCAGCCCCAGAGTAACTCACCTGTAAGGCTGAGCTTCTGCACCAGTCTGTTCAGACTGTCTCTCTCCTGGTGCAACTGGTCCAGTAAGGCCTGCAGGTCCTGGTCCTGATTCTGCTCTACTGTGGGGTTCAGCTGGGTCTCAAGTTCTATTGGTTCAGTGTCTGCCGACTCGCTATCCTGATACATAGCCCAGAACCCAGAAGCCAGGTTGGATGGTAAATGTAGGCTATTGATTATACTATTTTCTTTAGGCCTGTTGAATTAGTACGCAATTTAGTGGTTTCAGTCGTGGTCTTACAGGTGTCACTTTGGTGATAGCGCCCTCTAGTGAAGTGATCTTCCTCTGCAGGTTTTCGATGATGCTCTACAAAACCAGACCCAAAAAATCTTGCATTGATTCATTCATACATTCACTCATCCATTGTGTTCAGAATTCACATCGCATCCCCTCTTTGGCATACAGTATGGTCTCAAGCCTACCTCTGCCTGCTGTGTGTGGTCCTTTGTTGTCTCCAGTGTAGGGCCCTGCTGGTCCTCCTCTTCCTGCAGCTGAGCTGGTGTATTGATATGGTCTGGCTCCTGCTGGTTCCCCAAAGACAGCTCCTCCACCTCCTCCTCCCCCCCTCTCCTCTCCTCCCCTCACCCCCTGCTGAAGCTGCACCTCCTCAGCCTGCACACCAGCCACACTAACCTCTGCAGCCTGACACAGGAAGGGCAATGGGGATTAGGTGAAAATGAATCAAATAAGATAATGTGTCTGTATCAAGCTGATAGACAAAAAACGAACAACAGTGTCTGATTTATGGCCACTGTTCTAAACAGTAAACGTTGTCATGGTAACCAGGCCTTTTCCAAACTTGACCTTGGTCCTTGCTAACCAAAACATTGCATTAAAGTTCCTTATTTGACGAACAGGTGATTTTAATCTAGCTACTGATTTATTCATGTAATATAAACAGCACTGCATTGCATTTCAAAAGGTAGCTAGTTTGCAAAGTAGTGTCTTCCAAATCACAGCAACCTTGCTAACGCGCTAGCCTTGAATTGTCGAAAGCTAGACTGATTTTATTATGGCTAGATTGCTCGCTAAACATTTAAATAGAATTTGGCTAAAGCTTCTGCTTGTCTAAGTAACACATCAGATGTAAACAAAAACAAAACATGGTTGAGAGCGAGATCTTCGACTTACTTTTATGGGTGTAATAGTTATAGCTTTAGCGAGCAAGCAGTTACGTGTGGTAATCTGGATAAATCACTGGGGTTTGCAGTTGTAAAGCCAGAATGGCTCCTAAACCGCTTTTCATATGAGATAAACGTTCTGACCAATCAGATGTTAGGATTTGATCGGAATTCGAGATGCAAGCCAATCAGCAAAGGCCCTTTCTTCATGGTGTGCGTCCATTACCTTGACAACGCAGCGTACCCGGTACTTCACCACACACTGACAACACGTGCTGATAATGTTAGCAAAAGATAATGTTAGCCTAGTGTAAATCCAATTCTAAATGCAAAAGTAGTAGGCATCAGAATTGTTGATTTGACTGCATTGCTCATTGCACTGTCAATCTGTTTTGTGGGAGCCTACCTTTTGTCCCTCTGCAGTACATTATACTTCCATATAGTGAGCCTTTTGTGGCTGCTTTTGCAGAGGGGCAAGTGTTAGCCTGTGAGTTTGTTGATTTTTGCAAGATCAGCCAAAAATAATATTTTAAAACCAACCCTGCCCCTCAGGACCTAGTAAATCCTATTTGACTCAAAATACCAAATTATACCGCTGGGTGGCGATGTAAGACCGGCATCTAAAATCACTTGAGCAATAGAGGAGTGGATATCACTCCAGCACAGCAGGTGTCAGTGTTACAACAAGGGTAAATTAATTGTGCCGTCAAGAAAATACGAGGAAAAACAGCGGAAGTGTGTGTGGACAAACTCATTGGATCTGAAAACGTTTCCATTCATTTATTTGAAAAGTTTAATTGCACAAAAGTGATTAACTTTTCAGATGCACAGAAGAAACGACAGATAGAGGCGCGATGATTTTAAGGACATTCTCGAATTTGTGCGCAAAATCCCAAGCCTGTTTTCGATGGGCTCGAGACAAGAGCACATTGTCAGCTGTCATTGACGAGACTGGTAAGTCAGGACTGATCCTCAAATCTTTGTCAACAGACATATTTGAAAACTTAGCATTAGAGGACTGGATACACGATCATGTTGATCTCCAAAACCGGAGTATACTATTGTTATGGAGTAATGCCCCAGTGGTGGTGATAGGGAGACATCAGAACCCGTGGCAAGAGTGCAACCTTCAGGTCATGAGACAGAAAGGGATACCGCTCGCCAGGCGACGCAGTGGGGGCGGGACTGTATTCCACGATTTAGGAAATGTCAATTTGACTTTCTTCACGTCTAAGAAAAACTATGACCGTCACAGGAATCTCCAAGTCGTGACAAGTGCTTTGAAAGGACTCAGGCCAGACCTGGATGTACGTGCAACAGAGAGGTTTGACATCTTGCTGAATGGCCACCACAAGATTTCAGGAACCGCTGCTAAATTGGGAAGGACAGCAGCTTACCACCACTGCACTCTGCTGTGTTCGGTCGACAGGGCACTGCTGTCCGCGGTGCTGAAACCGACCTGCCAGGGTATCAAGAGCAATGCAACGCAAAGCGTGCCATCCCCTGTGAAAAACCTGCTGGATGAGGACCCGACGTTGGACTGTGACACTATCATGGATTCAGTGGCATCCCAGTACAACACAGAGTTTGGTTTCAGCAGCCCTGTAACACTTGTGGACCCAAGTGATGAGCTGTCCTTGCCTGGTATCCAAAGAATGGCCCATGAACTGCTGGCATGGGAGTGGACATTTGGAAGAACTCCTAAGTTCAGTATCTGTACGACTTTTAAGTTGAAAGATGACATGTCTATCTGCAATGCAACTCTAAACATGGACATCAAGAATGGCATTATAGAATCTTGTGACATTGAGGTTCCATCGGACTGGCTACCTGTGGAGTTGTCTCGAGAGTTCTCCTTACACCTGATAGGTGGGAAATTATGTCCCTACGAGACGTCAGTACTCGCAGCAGAATTGCTGAGGACAATCCCACAAAATAAAGAACTTGAAAGGAAGATGTATAATCTGTGCCGAAGAGTTATCTTCATGATGTGAATAAAGCACTGCTCCATGACATGTATTGTTGTCCAGCGTTTTATTATTGGGATAGTTTCATCACCAATATCTCTGGTCCGAGGGAAGGGGTGCTCTCTGTATAGCAGTTTTAGAAAATGATCTGTAGACCCTGACTTTACATGCACACAAAGTATTTACAATGCATAAATTGTGTATAAACATCTACCTATGATAGTTAAAACTGAACTGGACCATCGTCCTTTAATAAACATGTTATAAACATGATTATGAACCGGGAGTCTTGAATGCTGATTGGCTGAAAGCTGTGGTATAGCAGACCGTATACCACGGGTATGACCAGAATTTTTTTTTTTACTATTCTAATTATGCTGGTAAACAGTTTATAATAGCAATAAGGCACCTCGGGGGTTTGTGATAAATGGCCAATATACCACGGCTAAGGGCTGTATCCAGGCACTCAGCGCTGCATCGTGCTTAAGAACAGCCCTTAGCTGTGGTATATTGGCCATATACCATACCCCCTCTGGCCATATTTCTTAAATATACCCTTTAGAAAATAGGTTACATCCTTTCCCCCACAATAAAAGCTCCCTCTGTAATGGGGGTCAGTGTGCTGCTAACAACTTAGCTTCCTCCACTGTCCGAGTTCCCCATACTGGGCCTGAACCAGTGATCCTCTGCTTCGAAACACACGTGATGAGAGGAAGCCCAGTGGCCTGCAGTGGGGGAAGATGGAGCGAGATGGATTTTGGCTGACATTCTGCACATTTTCTCATTGATGAAACATTTGATCTCAATACAGTTTTCTGTTCCCAAAAGAAAAATATGTTATGAACAGAGTGGACTAAGTTTTGTCAACTTTACCCTTTGCCAAAGTAAAAAAATAAAAATAGCTTTGTTTAGAAGGAGTGCAAGGGCGAAATGAGAATTGAGTAATTGCACACACGCACTTCACGGAGTAGGCGTTCCCTAACGGAAATATGCAAATACATGCTAGAACGGGCCAATAGGATCTCATTAGCTCGTGCTTGGCTCTGCCCACCTCCTTGCTTGTTCTGCTCAGTGCCCACTATGATTAATTTGCTCTCATTGTAAACAACATGCTGTGGTCTATCTTGGGTTAATTATACAAATCTTTGGCCTAGTGGTTAGAGTGTTGGACCAGTAACTGAAAGGTCATTAGTTTGAATACCTTAGCCGACAAGATGAAAAATATGTCGATGTGCCCTTGAGCAAGGCACTTAACCCTGATTTGCTCCAGGGACGCCGTACTACTATGGTTGACCCTGTAAAACAACACATTTCTATGCACCTATCCGGTGTATGTGACAATAATGTTTTACTCCATTATACCTGCGCAGTTTGCGCAGTGAAGATGCCCTTCACTTCAGCACAGACAACAGAAAACGCTCTGCAACTGCGCAGGATGTGTGACCAACACTCATTGGACCAACCATATGTGCTGTATCGGCGAACAACGAGGCTGAACATTGTGGATAAAAAAAGCAAGGAGAATGGGGAAGAAACAGAAAAAGTCAGGCGAAGACAGGTAAATGATAGTGTGGCCCGTGTGTCATGAGATTTGAATAAGTTGCGATGTATGCAACAGACTTCTATGAATATAGCTAGCTAGCTAGTCGTACAGGCTGAGCTCGCTAGCATTAGCATGATACTGGAGCCATGAGTTTCATGTGGCGGCAGATTGCTTTGGCTAGGCCTCCTGTCTTGAGCTTATTAATAAGCTAACGTTATCGTCGCGCACTTGTTTTATACCTTTCATATTGACAATGAATTAATCAATTTATATCTCGTATAAACCTGCTTGATTTGGCCCAACAGAGACACTAAACCTATTATTCTCGCTATTAGTTAGCATATGTTATGCAGCTACATTGGCACCCTACTACCAGATAGCTACTATAGCTGATTATGCTAGCTAGCCAGGCTCAATGCAGACAGTCAGTCACATTCTAAAGTTCATTTCCATTAGCTCGTGATCTATCTCTTAGCTAGCTTGCTCATTAACTAATAGGAAAACGCAGATAACTAGCTATCTAGGATGCAATTCTAAGAGGACATTGTCAGCGAACTATTACTGAATCTTTGAGTCACTGATAACATGAGTGAGGACCTCCAGCCTGGCTATGCCCCATGCCTGCAACATCATCCCTTTTCATTGTGCTGTCAGAAAGGGCCCTCATTCATTGTCCCCACTGTCGCCTCTATGGCTTGAGTATCCATCCAATGGCTGTGTCCCCATGTAAGTCAACGGGGTCACTTGCGATTGATACACCAGTTAGATTTGTTGTTGCCCCCCTCAGTTTGGGGAGCTTCAGAATAAAGCAGTATGCTCATAGTAATGGTGATCTCAATGTCTAGAATATATATATTTTCCATTGCCAAGTTTTAGGTATTACTACTAAAAGTCTTAACCAATGTTGTTCATAAATGGATGATACATTCCTGAATAGATGTCAACTGACACTGACATGTCTCATTAAGGCATAGGCCTACAATGGATGCTTGTCTGCCAAGTGCACTAATCTACACTGACTACTAGTAGTAGGCACTCAAATCCACCCTTTGTAAGGCATGACCAGGTGTCTGCTTTTGTCTGTGGGAATGAGCCTTGACAGATAATAGACAGAGACAGTAGGCCTTAGTGCCGTGCTGGCTTGGCGGCGGAAGCTGCCATTTAAGTTGATTATTGAGGGATATATATTGACTGACCTGCTGTGATGGTGAGCTCTCACCCCTTGTACTGTATACTACTGATCTGCTGCCTGCTCCAGTCAACGCTGCAGTAAGGTCAAGATGATACCAGGCCAGGGCTAAAGATGGCGCAGAACGCCAATGGCGGAAGGATATTCAAGCTTGATTAACTATGGTCCTCTCTGTTCCCCGTAACCAACGACTATTACAGGTCTGGTCCAGAAACAACCCCTAGCCCCTAACCCTAAAGGCACTTGTATATAAGCAATATTCATAGTAGTTATTACGGGTAAATAAGTGAAAGGAATAACATTGATAGACAGGATGTTGATAGTTATCCTGTTCTATCAGCTGCTTCTTCATGATTTCATTACCCAGAGGCTAGGGTGTGTGCACTGTGCACCCTGTGTATTATACCCGGGGTTGGGCCCTGTCCATTCAAACATAGAGGTGCTTTCCACTGCTGATGCAACAGGCATGCAAGGACGCTAGCCTCTCCGTCTGTATAAAGGCTGAGGATGAGCAGACGTAGGGCTTTTAGCCTCAAAGATCCATGTCCTGCTTCAGGTAAGGTTGTTGTGGTTGGATTGTGGGTGGTTAGTAGTTGAGATGGTGGTTATCAGTAGGTTCATAATGGTCATTACAGGTTAGGGACTGAAGTTGTTTGGCTTTCATGTTTGGTCTTCATCTTCAACCGTCGGACATAAGACTGAAGGTCTAGAATTAGATATTGCATTTTTTGGACAGTAGGTTTAACAGTGTGCAGCAGGTGTTGTTGTTGGATGCACACTTCCCACAGTCAGGGTTGATTTGTGGCCACTTGTGAGTCATTTTAGGACTGTACAGTCGTGGTCAAAAGTTTTGAGAATGAAACAAGTATTGGTCTTCTCAAAGTTTGCTGCTTCAGTGTTTTTAGATATTTTTGTCAGATGTTACTATGGTATACTGAAGTATAATTACAAGCATTCCATAAGTGTCAAAGGCTTTTATTGACAATTACATTAAGTTTATGCAAAGAGTCAATATTTGCAGTGTTGACCCTTCTTTTTCAAGACCTCTGCAATCCGCCCTGGCATGCTGTCAATTAACTTCTGGGCCACATCCTGACTGATGGCAGCCCATTCTTGCATAATCAATGCTTGGAGTTTGTCAGAATTTGTGGGTTTTTGTTTGTCCACCCGCCTCTTGAGGATTGACCACAAGTTCTCAATGGGATTAAGGTCTGGGGAGTTTCCTGGCCATGGACCCAAAATTTCGATGTTTTGTTCCCCGAGCCACTTAGTTATCACTTTTGCCTTATGGCAAGGTGCTCCAGCATGCTGGAAAAAGCATTGTTAGTCACCAAACTGTTCTTGGATGGTTGGGAGAAGTTGCTCTCGGAGCATGTGTTGGTACCATTCTTTATTCATGGATTTGTTCTTAGGCAAAATTGGGAGTGAGCCCACTCCCTTGGCTGAGAAGCAACCCCACACATGAATGGTCTCAGGATGCTTTACTGTTGGCATGACACAGGACTGATGGTAGCGCTCACCTTGTCTTCTCCGGACAAGCTTTTTTCCGGATGCCCCAAAAAATCGGAAAGGGGATTCATCAGAGAAAATGACTTTACCCCAGTCCTCAGCAGTCCAATCCCTGTACCTTTTGCAGAATATCAGTCTGTCCCTGATGTTTTTCCCGGAGAGAAGTGGCTTCCTCGCTGCCCTTCTTGACACCAGGCCATCCTCCAAAACTCTTCGCCTCACTGTGCGTGCAGATGCACTCACACCTGCCTGCTGCCATTCCTGAGCAAGCTCTGCACTGGTGGTGCCCCGATCCCGCAGCTGAATCAACTTTAGGAGACGGTCCTGGCGCTTGCTGGACTTTCTTGGGCGCCCTGAAGCCTTCTTCACAACAATTGAACCTCTCTCCTTGAAGTTCTTGATGATCCGATAAATGGTTGATTTAGGTGCAATCTTACTAGCAGCAATATCCTTGCCTGTGAAGCCCTTTTTGTGCAAAGCAATGATGACGGCACGTGTTTCCTTGCAGGTAACCATGGTTAACAGAGGAAGAACAATGATTTCATGCACCACCCTCCTTTTAAAGCTTCCAGTCTGTTATTCTAACTCAATCAGCATGACAGAATGATCTCCACCCTTGTCCTCATCAACACTCTCACCTGTGTTAACGAGAGAATCACTGACTTGATGTCAGCTGGTCCTTTTGTGGCAGGGCTGAAATGCAGTGGAAATGTTTTTTGGGGATTAAGTTCATTTTCTTTGCAATTAATTGCAATTCATCTGATCACTCTTCATACCATTCTGGAGTATATGCAAATTGCCATCATAAAAACTGAGGCAGCAGACTTTGTGAAAATTAATATTTGTATCATTCTCAACTTTTGACCACGACTGTAGTAAAGCCTTCAAAGCTGTCGACATTTTCTGTTGACAACCTTTTTAGTGTCCTGTGACTGACTCACTGTCTGTGTCTGTCTGGGTCGGACTGACTGTGTCTGTCTGGGTCGGACTGACTGTGTCTGTCTGGGTCGGACTGACTGTGTCTGTCTGGGTCGGACTGACTGTGTCTGTCTGGGTCGGACTGACTGTGGTCAGACTGACTGTGTCTGTCTGGGTCGGACTGACTGTGTCTGTCTGGGTCGGACTGACTGTGTCTGTCTGGGTCGGACTGACTGTGTCGGACTGTCTGGGTCGGACTGACTGTGTCTGTCTGGGTCGGACTGACTGTGTCTGTCTGGGTCGGACTGACTGTGTCTGTCTGGGTCGGACTGACTGTGTCTGTCTGGGTCGGACTGACTGTGTCTGTCTGGGTCGGACTGACTGTGTCTGTCTGGGTCGGACTGACTGTGTCGGACTGTCTGGGTCGGACTGTCTGGGTCGGACTGTCTGGGTCGGACTGTCTGGGTCGGACTGTCTGGGTCGGACTGTCTGGGTCGGACTGACTGGGTCGGACTGACTGTGTCTGCCTGGGTCGGACTGACTGTGTCTGCCTGGGTCGGACTGACTGACTGTGACTGACTCTGTACCCTCCTTGTCAGCCTGGATATGAAAATCATATTTGCGTGAAATGTGCTAATTTGATCAAGGCTGCAAATATTTTTAATACCACACATGCCTTACTAGTTTGTATAATTTTGCTGCTAAGGCTGTATTTTTTGTTACATAGCATATGGCAGAAATCTGCACTGAGAAGCATGTGGTTCCCAACTACAGTGCCTTGCAAAAGTATTCATCCCCCTTGGCGTTTTTCCTATTTTGTTGCATTACAACCTGTAATTTAAATTGATTTTTATTTGGATTTCATGTAATGGACATACACAAAATAGTCCAAATTGGTGAAGTGAAATAAATAAAAAAACTTGTTTCAAGAAATTATAAAAAATAAATACCGGAAAACTGGTGCGTGCATATGTATTCACCCCCTTTGCAATGAAGCCCCTAAATAAGATCTGGTGCAACCAATTACCTTCAGAAGTCACAATTAGTTAAATAAAGTCCACCTGTGTGCAATCTGTGTCACATGATCTCAGTATATATACACCTGTTCTGAAAGGCCCCAGAGTCTGCAACACCACTAAGCAAGGGGCACCACCAAGCAAGCGGCACCATGAAGACCAAGGAGCTCTCCAAACAGGTCAGGGACAAAGTTGTGGAGAAGTAGCTCCTGTAAGTCGCTCTGGATAAGAGCGTCTGCTAAATGACTAAAATGTAAATGTAAGTACAGATCAGGGTTGGGTTATAAAAAAATATCCTGAACTTTTAACATCCCACGGAGCACCATTAAATCCATTATTAAAAAATGGAAAAAATATGGCACCACAACGAACCTGCCAAGAGAGGGCCGCCCACCAGAATTCACGGACCAGGCAAGGAGGGCATTCATCAGAGAGGCAACAAAGAGATCAAAGATAACCCTGAAGGAGCTGCAAAGCTCCACAGCAGAGATTTGAGTATCTGTCCATAGGACCACTTTAAGCCGTACACTCCACAGAGCTGGGCTTTACGGAAGAGTGGCCAGAAAAATGCCATTGCTTAAAGAAAAAAGTAAGCAAACACTTTTGGTGTTCGCCAAAAGCCATGTGGGAGACTCCCCAAACATATGGAAGAAGGTACTCTGGTCAGATGAGACTAAAATTGAGCTTTTTGGCCATCAAGTAAAACTCTTTGTCTGGCGCAAACCCATCACCTCTCATCACCCCGAGAACACCATCCATGTTTTTCATCGGCAGGGACTGGGAAACTGGTCAGAATTGAAGGAATGATGGATGGCGCTAAATACAGGGACATTCTTGAGGGAAACCTGTTTCAGTCTTCCAGAGATTTGAGACTGGGACGGAGGTTCACCTTCCAGCAGGACAATGACCCTTAGCATACTGCTAAAGCAACCCTCGTGGTTTAAGGGGAAACATTTAAATGTCTTGGAATGGCCTAGTCAAAGCCCAGACCTCAATCCAATCCAAAGAATGGGCAAAAATCCCAGTGGCTAGATGTGCCAAGCTTATAGAGACATACCCCAAGAGACTTGCAGCTGTAATTGCTGCAAAAGGTGGCTCTACAAAGTATTGACTTTGGGGGGTGAATAGTTATGCACGCTCAAGTTTTCACAAGAAAAAATATTTTGCATCTTCAAAGTGGTAGGCATGTTGTGTAAATCAAATGATACATACCCCCCAAAAATCCATTTTAATTCCAGGTTGTAAGTCAACAAAATAGGAAAAATGCCAAGGGGGGTGAATACTTTCGTATGCCACTGTATGTATATATATTTTATTTATTTATTATTATGATAATTTTTTAGGGGGTAGATCAGCTTTAATATTGCCGATAGATTGTAGCTTCCATTAATGTAATTGTCTGCATCATTTCCAATCCCCCATATATATTTTTTGTAAATATATTTATATACAGTACCAGTCAAAAGTTTGGACACACTCATTCCAGGGTTTTTCTTAATTTTTACTATTTTCTACATTGTAGAATAATAGTTAAGACATCAAAACTATGAAATAACACACATGGAATCATGTAGTAACCAAAAAAGTGTTAAACAAATCAAAATATATTTTATATTTGAGATTCTTCAAAGTAGCCACCCTTTACCTTGATGACAGCTTTGCACACTCTTGGCATTCTCTCAACCAGCTTCATGAGGTAGTCACCTGGAATGCATTTCAATTAACAGGTGTGCCTTGTTAAAAGTTAATTTGTGTAATTACTTTCCTTAATGTGTTTGAACCAATCATTTGTGTTAAAATTACATTTTTGGAAAGCAAATATTATTTTAGCAAACAATTATTGTGATTCATCCTATATTGGCCCTAACATCTTTACTCCCTAGCAACAGTTGTGGGATACATACATACACACACAAACACTCATACACACTCAACCCCTTTCCCCCACAAACAACCATAAACTCAGATGCTCAACAGTTGTTCCATCCCAGAGCCCAACTCAAGAAAGGAATTGATTTACGAATGCATATACAGTTCCCAACTATGTTTGACGATGCTGTCTATTGCCAAGTGTAATGCGCATCATATGTGATTTGCGTGACTTTATTTCAGTGCCAAAGACGATGGCATCGACCTTGACGCCCTAGCAGCAGAAATCGAAGGCGCGGGAGCCTCCAAGGAACAAGGTAAAGGAAAAGCCAAGAAGAAGAAAGACAAAAAGAAAGAGGAATTTGAGTAAGTATTTTATTTCCTGTCTTCGACAGTAATGAACGCTCCATTTCAAATCATTATGGAAATAACAACCAACTGTTGGACGGAAATATTTTCTATACTTGCCTTGGACTTTGCAGTCTACTGTGTACTGATCATAATGATTTGATCTTTGACAGTGAAGATGACATCCTGAAAGAGCTGGAGGAACTGTCTCTTGAAACCACGGGCGCTAAAGGCAGCAAGGTAAAGTATAGCCATATGCTAATCTGCATATGTAATGACCCTATACCAGGTTATAGCCCAATGCTAATATGACTATATAATGACCCTATACCAGGTTATAGCCCAATGCTAATATGACTATATAATGACCCTATACCAGGTTATAGCCCAATGCTAATATGACTATATAATGACCCTATACCAGGTTATAGCCCAATGCTAATATGACTATATAATGACCCTATACCAGGCTATAACAGGGTTTCCGTTAGCCGGTAATAGCCGGCTTCAAAAAAATGTATAAAATAGAAAAGCCGATCAATTAAATTGGCACCGGCCAATTGTCCGGGAGAAGGAAAGAAATCCCATTGCGAAATAATGCTTTTTAGCGTATTCATTGACGGAAATACCAGTTGATGTAAATACATTTGACCGGTCATGCTTATCAGTCTATGGGTTAATTTGCATAATTTAGTGGAATTATTCATGATGTATCTTATTTATCACACGTGCACAGCATACAGATACAGAGCCTTTGAGCGGAAAATCTGTCAGACAGTGCTTTTGCGCAACAATTCTAAATGCAATCATGGGTTAACCATTTTTTGGCCACTATTAAAAATGCCTACAATTTTTATTTCTCAAATGGTAATTGAAGTGAGCGTCCCATTCGCCATTCAAATGCATAGGCAATGGAAGGCAGGCTTTATCAGCGCTTCACACACCACTTTGCAATGAGCTGGAAGCCGTATGCATTTTGAAAACATACAGCTACTTAATTGTTTGGAACCTGAACGTTTTACTACATATTATGAGGCATGTTTTACCTTGCTTCAAAGTAGACTAGGCAAAATCCGACCATATCCATGGAGGCAATTATTTTATAAAGACTTCCATAAGCCATTTAAACCAGTAGCCTATTTAACAAAGAGAGCATGCAGACGAAGCCAACAAGCACGATTCTCTGTTCCTGGATCTGAATCAACTCGTCCCCAAAATAGCAAAATAAGCAAGAAAGGGACTGATCATGACCAATCCATAAACCGGATAAACAGTGGAATTAATTTTGAAAGATGGAAAAGTGAGGCCGAAATGGCCACCGTTCTCATGGACTGGTAACTTTAGTGCCGACAACCCCCACAGACTTGTCCCTCCATCTCCTGAGTGGCGCAGTGGTCTAAGGCACTGCATCGCAGTGCTAGCTGTGCCACTAGAGATCCTGGTTTGAATCCAGGCTCGGGGAGACCCATGGGGCGGCGCACAATTGGCCAAGCGTCGTCCAGGGTAGGGGAGGGAATGGCCGGCAGGGATGTAGCTCAGTTGGTAGAGCCTGGCGTTTGCAACGCCAGGGTTGTGGGTTCGATTCCCACGGGGGGCCAGTATGAAAAATAAAAAAATTATGTATGCACTCACTAACTGTAAGTCGCTCTGGATAAGAGCGTCTGCTAAATGACTAAAATGTAAAAATGAAAAGACTAATCTGTCTTTTACTTATCAAAGTTCTCAACTTAATTGAGCAAACAACAGTAGGCCTACAGCCTGTCTTATTGGCATCAGTGGAGAGCATCGGCCATGTCCCCGGTGAGTGAGCACTGCGCATATTCACTCTTTATCATTGTCGGGTCAGTGCCACTTAAAAGTTAGTTTTTGGACAATAATTTCCTCTTCCAGTTTAGATGGATGTCATGTGCATGTTCTGTTAAGATTAATTACCAAAATCTAAACGCGATTACTGTTATTCTGAGCACCGTGGGTGGACGCCCTAGTCAGGTTACGCACCCAGTGCATAGGCCTATGGGTCCAGTAATTTATTTTCAAATGACCGGTAAATTAAAATGTTGCTGGTCAAATGTCCGGCACCGGCACCACGTTTTCATACAGAAACCCTGGGCTATAGCCCAATGCTAATCTGCATATGTAACGACACTATACGAGGCTATAGCCCAATGCTAATCTGCATATGTAATGACCCTATACGAGGCTATAGCCCAATGCTAATCTGCATATGTAATGACCCTATATGAGGCTATAGCCCAATGCTAATCTGCATATGTAACGACGCTATACGAGGATATAGCCCAATGCTAATCTGCATATGTAATGACCCTATACGAGGCTATAGCCCAATGCTAATCTGCATATGTAATGACCCTATACGAGGCTATAACCCAATGCTAATCTGCATATGTAACGACGCTATACGAGGCTATAGCCCAATGCTAATCTGCATATGTAATGACCCTATACGAGGCTATAGCCCAATGCTAATCTGCATATGTAATGACCCTGTACCAGGCTAGCAAAGCACATGCTCCTATGGAGTACTCATCACTTCCACAATCCACAGAAACCAGACGCCACAGACGAGCCGGAGAGTGCCGCCGAGCCGCCGCCGCCCACCAAAGCAGAGAAGAAGAAGACGCGGAAGGGCAAGCGAGCCAGCCTGGAGGATGACGACGGGGAAGACGAAGAGGTTTCGGGTACGGGTCACGTGGGAAAGGAGGACAAGCAGAAGGACAAGACGACGTCTGCTGCCCCCGCTGCTGCTGCTGCTGCTGGCTCAGACTCAGAGGACGAGGCCTCACGGACCCGGAGGAAACCTAAGGCAGGGAAGAAAGGAGGCCGCAAGGAGGCCTCGGACGAGGAAGAGGAGGATGAGGATGGAGGTGCGAGGAAAGGGGGGGGAGGAGGGGAGGATGATTCAGACGATGACGGCTCGGTGGACGCGTCGCAGGCCGGAAAGAAAGGCAAGAAGAAAGGTAAAGCCAAGGCAGACGATGAAGAGGAGGAAGAGGAGGAGGGAACCTTCAAGATGAAGACGGCCGCTCAGAAGAAAGCAGAGAAGAAGGAGAGAGACCGCAAGAAGAAAGAGGAGGACAGGGCTAAGCTGAAGAAGCAGAAAGAGAAGGAGGAGGAGAAAGAGGGGAGTACTGAGGTGGCAGCAGTGCCTAAGAAAGAGAAAGAGGGAGTGAAGAAGAGTGAGCCAGCGGCCCCAGCTCCAGCAGCAGAGACGGAGGCAGCAGCAGAGATTGAAGATCAGGAAGGGGCTGATCCTCAAGGAGAGGGTGAGATTTATAATTGGTTAATATTGTATCCATTCCACAGCCTAAATGGCAACACTTTACAATGAGTTGCCCCTATACCATGTAGGAACTACTTTGGTTTTAAGAATGTAAATGTTTATCTGTACCCATTAGCTGCCGATGAGGTGCTTGAAACAATTAATGGTAAGGGAAGGAAACTAACAGATTTCTGTTTTAAGGTAGCTTGTTACATGCCTTAATTAATTAATTAATTTTGCTTGACCCCAGGAAGAGTAGCTGCTGCCTTGGCAGGAACTAATGGGGGTCCATAATAAATACAAATACATGTGGTGTTAATGTGTAGTTCCATGCAGCCACAGTAGTAGAAGTCCTGTAGGATCTACTTTGGTAGTATTGTAATTACTCATCTTAATTCTACCCATTAGCAGCTGATGCAGTGGTTGAAACAATGAATTAACCCAATGGTAATGTTTTCAAAGTAGTTAAAAGTGGCGTTACTGTGACGCTACATGTAATTAGTCCAAGATGTAGAAATGGCTTGATGTTGCAGTTTCATGGTTACGGTGTGGCTGTTTAGGTTAGTGTGCTATGACTGATTTCTGTTGGGGTTTTTGTGTTGCTTCAGAAGAGGAAGGGGGAGACAAGAAGGGCAAGAAAGACAAGAAGAAGAAGAAGGGGGACAAGGAGAAAGAGGAGAAGAAGAAGGGACCCAGCAAGGCCACAGTGAAGGCCATGCAGGAGGCTCTGGCTCGCATGAAGGAGGAAGAGGAGCGCGCCCAGAAGGAGGAAGAGGAGAACCTGCGTCGCCTGGAAGAGCAGGAGGCTCAGAGACTGGAGCAGGTTAGACACACACACACACATTTACATTTACATTTTAGTCATTTAGCAGACGCTCTTATCCAGAGCGACTTACATGAGCAATTAGGGTTTAAGTGCCTTGCTTAAGGGCACATCGACAGATTTTTCACCTAGTCGGCTCGGGGATTAGAACCAGAGACCTTTCAGTTACTGGCACAACGCTCTTACCCACTAAGCTACCTGCCGCCCCACACTGTACACATACACACACACACACACACTGTGTACATACACACACACACACACACACACTGTGTACACATACACACACACACACACACACTGACCTCTTACCAACTGACCTCTTCAATGTGACACCTACAGGAGCGCCTGGAACAGGAGCGCAAGGAGAAGAAGAAACAGAAGGAGAAGGAGAGGAAGGAGAGGCTGAAGAAGGAGGGCAAACTGCTGACCAAAGCCCAGAAAGAGGCCCGGGCCAGGGCTGAGGCCACACTTGAACTACTGAAGGCCCAGGGTATTGAAGTGCCATCCAAAGACGACTCGGTGCCAAAGAAGAAGCCAGTGTACGGAGACAAGAGAAAAAAGAAACCCCAGCAAGCACAGACCCCTGAAGGTAACAGCCTCTTCCAATCCACGTCAAATACCTTTCCAACTGCAAAATCATTGATCTATTCATTCGTTTGTGCCTCATCCCTCATTCCTCCTCTTCCCTGGTCAGAGACCTCAGAGGTCATGTCACCCACGTCGGAGACTGCAGAGCCAATCATCTCACCGATGGCGGTGGAAGCTCCCAAAGTAGAAGCAGGTAAAATGGACCATTTATCTTGGAGACTGAGCCTGCCTTTATGTCCTCAGCTTGTTGTCCAGATCTTGGTGTAACGCCAGACAACTTTCATTGCCTCAGTCACATTTCGTATCACGTCTTCCTCTCCCTCCCTCCCTCCCCCCAGAGGTAGAGCAGAAAGCTGAGTCTGCAGTTGATGACTGGGAGGCTATCGCTGAGACTATCGATCAGGACAAAGGTAGGACAGGACAGACTTCAGGTTTTAGCAATATGGCACTCTCCCAAAGGCTTGTGGGAATTTTCTCCATGCTTACACCTCATAACGTCTGTTCTCCCTCTACAGAGCTGAAGAAGGTCCACATTGAGGTGAAGCCAGAGACGCCAAAGCAGCCCCAACAGAAACCCTCGTCACAGCCGGAGGAAGAGGAGGACGATGAGGACGAGGAGGAAGAGGATGATGAGGAGGAGGAGGAGAGTGAGGAGGAGGAGGAGAAGGAGAGTCAGCCTCACGCACCGCAGCAGGCCCCAGCCACAAAGAGGAAGGGAGGGAAGGAGAGCTCAGAGTCCAGTAGTGACAGCGACTCAGACGATGATCTCACTAAAGAGGAGCGGATCTACGACAAGGCCAAGAAGCGTATTGAGGTAGTCTCATACATACACACTCCTATCAACATTGTTGAACGATAGAGAAGTGTGATGTGGTTCCGTCTGTGCTTCTCCTGTGTAGAAACGTCGAGCAGAGAACATAAAGAACATCAACCTGGACAAGCTCCGCTCCCCCGTGGTCTGTGTACTGGGCCACGTAGACACAGGCAAGACCAAGATCCTGGACAAGTTGAGGCATACTCACGTACAGGACGGAGAGGCAGGAGGGATCACCCAACAGATCGGAGCCACTAACGTACCTCTGGAGGCCATCGTAGAGCAGACCAAGATGGTGAAGAACGTGAGTACCGCTGCGCCTCTCCCTTCTGCTCAGACACAGTCATACACTGAACCGTGAACGTACACTGAGTGTAGAAAACATTAGCAACAGCTTCCTAATGTTGAGCTGCAACCCCTTTGGCCCTCAGAACAGCCTCAATTTGTCGGAGCATGGACTCTACAAGGTGTCGAAAGCTTTCTACAGGGATGCTGGCCCATGTTGAATCCAATGCTTCCCACAGTTCTGTCAAGTTAGCTGGATGTCCTTTGGGTAGTGGACAATTCTTGATACACGGGAAACTGTTGAGGGTGAAAAACCCAGCAGCGTTGCAGTTCTTGACACACTCAAACGGGTACGCCTGGTACCTATTACCATACCCCGTTCAAAGGCACTTAAATATTTTGTCTTGCCCATTCACTCTCTGAATGGCACACATACACAATCCAAGTCTCAATTGTCTCAAGGCTTAAAATTCCTTCTTTAACCTGTCTCCTCCCCTTCATCTCACTGATTTGAAGTGGATTTAACAGGTGACATCAATAAGGGACCATAGCTTTCACCTGGTCAGTCTGTCATGGAAAGAGCAGGTGTTCCTAATGTTTTGTACACTCAGTGTATGTATGGCATTGGATTTGAATAGATAGTTGGTGTTTAATGGTTCTTTAATCATTTCATTGTTTCCTCTTCAGTTCAACAACGAGGCCATTAAAATCCCAGGAATGCTTATCATCGACACCCCAGGCCACGAGTCTTTCAGGTAAGCCCTCATTCAGAAAAGTGTGTGTGGCCACTGCCTGCGTGTGTGTATCTGACAGCATCTCACACCATCTCTCTCTATGTCCAGTAACCTGAGGAACCGGGGCAGCTCTCTGTGTGACATAGCCATCCTGGTGGTGGACATCATGCACGGTCTGGAGCCTCAGACCCTGGAGTCCATCAACCTGCTCAAGGAGAAGAAGTGTCCCTTCATCGTAGCACTTAACAAGGTCAGTCTCTGTCTGATCACCTCCCAGACATGCTCATAGCTTATCTCTGGGGATGGGATGGATTATATGTCTGGTAGAGGACTTGCATGCATTAAAGGCACTCAATGGCCCACAATTGACTGGGAATAAAGCTACCGGGTTACAATAGCTTGCAGTAGTTAATTGGTTGCACATCCATGTGACATGATGTGTCTTGTTGTCCCTTCTATTCGTTCCATTTCTATGTCTACTCCAGATTGACCGTCTGTATGACTGGAAGAAGAGTCCGGACACAGACGTGGTGGCCACACTGAAGAAGCAGAAGAAGAACACCAAGGATGAGTTTGACGAGAGGGCCAAAGCTGTCATCGTGGAGTTCGCACAGCAGGTCACTAACTATATGGACAAAGGAGGGAATAGAGTTTCGGAGTTGACAGCACTTTTCACTATTGCGATGCACCGATTGTGTGAACCCTGAGTGACCCTGCACCTTAGAGGCTGCTGCCCTATGTACATAGTCATTGAACACTGGTCACTTGAATGTTTACATACTGTTTTACCCACTTCATATGTGTATATACTATATTCTATTCAAGGCTCATCCTATACAGCTACTGCTGTACACACCTTTTCTATTCATATAATGTCCATACTGTCTATACACACCATTATATATGTGTGTGTGTGTATATTTATATATTTATATTCCAGTCTCTGACATTGCTCGTTCTGATATTTCTTAATTTCATTTATTATTATATTTATGTGTATGTTGTTATTGTGTTGCTAGATATTACTGCACTGGTAGAGCTAGAAACATGAGCATTACACTGCACCTGCAATAACATCTACAAATCTGTGTATGCGACCAATACACTTTTATTTAATCTCTCTTGTGTATTCGTACAGGGTCTGAACGCAGCCCTCTTCCATGAGAACAAGGACCCTAGGACCTTTGTGTCTCTGGTGCCCACGTCGGCCCACTCCGGGGACGGCATGGGCAACCTGATCGCTCTGCTGGTGGAGCTCACCCAGACCATGCTAGCACGCCGCCTGGCTCACTGCGACGAGCTCAGGGCTCAGGTCATGGAGGTGAGGGAGAACTACTACATTACTGTCACAGCTTATTGAGATGAGGAAGAAGAATCCTCCCTGTTGTTGTTACGGTTAGATTGGTGTTATTTTAGGGGCATTTCTGTTACGTCGGTGTCATTACCGTAGCGTCGGTGTCATTACCGTAGCGTCGGTGTCATTACCGTTGCGTCGGTGTCATTGCCGTTCCATCATCTAACACTTATTATTAATGTTGTATTAAACTCAACATGTGTCCCTGTCAATCCTCAGGTGAAAGCCCTGCCTGGTATGGGCACCACGATAGATGTGATCCTGATCAATGGGGTTCTCCGGGAGGGAATGACCATCATCGTCCCGGGGGTGGAGGGACCCATCGTCACCCAGATCAGGGGGCTGCTGCTGCCTCCACCCATGAAGGAGCTCCGGGTCAAGGTATGAAGGAAATGCTTATGTTGGGCCTTTCTTTATTAAAGAGCACTTGTAGGTGCAGCAAACAGTTATGACCTGATTTCAACAGGAATGTCATGCTGTCCATGACTTGGCTAGGGGTTAATCTTAACTTCCACTTCCAAGTCTCATTTTCACTAAGTAATTCACTGATGTCAATGGCAGACTAAGCGATAATTTGACGGTGGAAGTTAGAATTGGCGGCAGGTTGCCTAGCAGTTAGCGCATTGGGCCAGTAACCGAAAAGTTGCTGGTTCGAATACCCGAGCCGACAAGGTGTAAAATCTGTTGATGTGCCTTTGAACAAGGGGTGCTGTACTACAATGGCTGACCCTGTAAAACAACACATTTCACTGCAACTATCCGGTGTATGTGACAATAATAAAACTATTTTTTTAAAGAATTGGCCCCATAATGATGATCTGTGTGCAGTATTAATGAATGATCTGACCCCCGGTCCTCTTTAGAACCAATATATAGTATTAATGAATGATCTGTCCTCTTGCCCATTTAGAACCAGTATGAGAAACATAAGGAGGTGTCTACAGCCCAGGGAGTGAAGATCCTGGGGAAAGACCTGGAGAAGACCCTGGCAGGGCTCCCCCTGCTGGTGGCCCACAAGGAGGACGAGGTGGCCGTGCTCAGGGTAAGACTGGCACATTGTACTGTATATCAGGATTTCTTTTAAAAAATCAGCTCGAGACCCAAATGAGAAATTGACCGTCCTCCAACGACCCAAATTAAGAATGAATAGTGTGTGATTTATAGATGTATTCTCATAATTCGCAAACCCACCTCTCACATGTTCAGGGCCCACTTTGAAACCCGACCCATAGTTTAAGAAACGCTGCTGTATATGAGAACAGGGCTGTGTCTCAATAGTGTTAGACAGGAACCCTCTGCCACCTACGGCTACATGTCAATAGTTATGAATGGCTCCCTGCTTCCTGTCCTTGTATTTTTTTCCTTCTCTGAGTGAGTTACTAGTACACACACACACGGTGTATTGAGATCCTCTGCGTTGTGATTCCCCTGCAGGATGAGTTGGTGCGGGAGCTGAAACAGACGCTGAACTCCATCAAGCTGGAGGAGAAGGGTGTGTACGTCCAGGCCTCCACCCTCGGATCCCTGGAAGCCTTGCTCGAGTTCCTACGAGTGTCCAAAGTGCCTGTGAGTATCACCCACATATGCTTACCGCTCATACACACACACACACACACACACACCGTATCAAACTACAATATAGTATTGAGATAATGTGCTGTAATGTTCATGTTTTTCCGTCTCCTCCAACAGTACGCTGGCATCAACATCGGTCCAGTTCACAAGAAAGACGTGATGAAAGCTTCCACTATGCTGGAGCATGACCCACAGTACGTGACCTTTTTCTTCCTGTTTCCCCTCCTGTTATACATTTGTTTGTTTGGTTACTGTCTCAGCATGATTAACCCTTTCCGTGTAAACTGGACAATAACACAAATGAAATGCTATTCTATTCTAGGTATGCAACGATCCTGGCGTTTGATGTGAAGGTGGAGAGGGACTCCCAGGAGATGGCTGACAGTCTGGGGGTGAGGGTGTTCAGTGCTGAGATCATCTACCACCTGTTTGATGCCTTCACCAAGTACAGAGAGGACTACAAGAAGGCCAAGCAGGACGAGTTCAAGTATGTGAACACACACACCCTTTACATGATACCAACCATGACTTTGTTTTGCTGTCATAGGCCATGGCACAAGTGATACACACTGAGCCCATTGGAAGGCTTCCACCTGTCCTGCCTGGGCTTGGTTTCCAGACAGGACAGTAGGTGTGTGGTATTACTGGGCTAGGTTTCCAGACAGGACAGTAGGTGTGTGGTATGCCTGGGCTAGGTTTCCAGACAGGACAGTAGGTGTGTGGTATGATTGGGATAGGTTTCCAGACAGGACAGTAGGTGTGTGGTATGACTGGGATAGATTTCCAGACAGGACAGTAGGTGTGTGGTATGACTGGGATAGGTTTCCAGACAGGACAGTAGGTGTGTGGTATGACTGGGATAGGTTTCCAGACAGGACAGTAGGTGTGTGGTATGACTGGGATAGGTTTCCAGACAGGACAGTAGGTGTGTGGTATGACTGGGATAGGTTTCCAGACAGGACAGTAGGTGTGTGGTATGACTGGGATAGGTTTCCAGACAGGACAGTAGGTGTGTGGTGTAGTAACAGTCGTTTTCTCTGTGTTTCTCAACAGACACATTGCGGTGTTCCCCACTAAGCTGAAGATCCTGCCTCAGTTCATCTTCAACTCTAGAGACCCCATCGTCATGGGAGTCAACGTGGAGGCTGGGGTCCTCAGACAGGGAACCCCACTCTGTGTGCCCAGCAAGGGGGTGAGTGTGTGCGTGCGTGCACCGGTCTGTGTGTGTGTGTGTGTGAGATCTGTTTAATCTCAGTGGGGTTTCTATCTTGGTAGAAACGGGTATAATAAAATGATCTCACTCTGATTTATTACCTGTCAGTTTGTGGACATTGGCATCGTGACCAGCATTGAGATCAACCACAAGATGGTGGACAGTGCCAAGAAGGGCCAGGAGATCTGTATAAAGATCGAACCGATCCCTGGAGAGGCACCCAAGATGTTCGGCCGACACTTTGAGGCCACCGACATCCTCGTCAGCAAGGTACGGTCACAAACAATGTGGTGGGTTTTTCAGGTCAGTACAGTGTATCAAGTGTTGTAAGTACTCACTGTTCCACTGTACTGACAGCAGCTCCCCAAACCCTAACAGCATTGGGTTCTGTACCAAAAGTAGTGGACTATAAACAGAACAGGGAGAATTAGGAGTCCTGAATGTGGTCATTCGTTTTGTTCTCCAGATCACCAGAGCGTCCATCGATGCCCTGAAGAACTGGTTCAGAGACGAGATGGGCAAATCTGACTGGCAGCTTATCATGGAGCTTAAGAAGACTTTTGAAATCATCTGAACGGAAGAACGGACACACACCTTCATGTCTTCAGGAGGCCGCAGCACATTTACACACAAACACACACCACTGATCACGTGACACCTGATCAAAGACACACACACACACTTATTCATCACACCCACGTATGCATACATCCATAAACGGTGAGAGCAGTGCAGTGTCGCACTTTTCCCCTCTCCCCCATCCCCTCTCCTCTTTGGTGGAGGGAGTGTATTGTTAGAGGGAAAGAAAGTGTTTTTCTGTGAGAAACCAAACTATTTCCCGCTGTTAACAGTGACAGTTTAGACAGCGTCGACACACACACTATTCCAACGTGCCTGTTGTTTGGAATCATCTTGAGTTGTATTTTTCATTTCGCCTCTCTCTCGCTCTCCCCATCCGGCTGCTCGAGCCCTGTCCCCTGTAATCACTCTGCTGTTCAGGCTGGGGTGAGTGGGAGTGAAGAGAGCTGGGTCGGGCGTTACCTGCGCCACAGATCTACAGAATTCAGCAAACTGGGTTTGACAAGTTTCCGTGGGTGCCATGTTGGCACCGGAAGTCCCAAGACAATGACATTCCACTGAGAATGCAAATGACAGCCTTATTGTTATGACATGTTGGGTGCCAACATGGAAGCTAGTTTGCTGAACTCTTTATATCTATCATGGCTCAGGGGGAGATGTGAGCCAAAGGCCTGAGCGAATTAGAGGAGGGGGGGCAGCATTCTTACCATACGTTTTAGACTTCTGAATAATATTACCTTGTCAGTGTTTTCTATTTTCTTGAATGCAGTTATTTTATGGTCCTTTTAAAAAGCCCCTCCCTCTCTGACATCACCACCACCCATCACCAGCCCCCCTGCCAATGCAGCTCGACTGGTGCCTACGGACGTTTCTTTACAATGAATGAACTAGATGACAAAATAGGCAAGCCCTCTCTACTTGAGTTCGATATGTGAAAGATAATACAATTCTACATCAATAAAGAAATGTCATATTTATAAAAGTCGCAAACCCTGCCCCCTCTGCCTTGTATATTTTCGATAATGTTATGAATGGAATATGCATTGAATTCAATTCTATGAAAAATAAAGCTTAAGTGCTACTTCCCCTGGTTTTATATGCTGTTATTAGTGATCGTCGAGTTCCCCTGTTCCTGGTTTTCTTTTTTCAATATCGTTTTAATATACTGTTAAATCGTGAAATTGCATATTTAATTAATTTCTGCAGAATGGGTGGATGGCTGTGTTTTGTTACCCTGTGAAATTTGTTTTACTTTGTTAATGTGAATCTATACATTTTATAGTGCACATATGAATGTGGTGTACAAATGGCAACAATTGCTATTTATTTGATCGAAAGAATAATGTAATCACCCTCAAGGTAGTGGAGATTTTATATTTCTGCAGGCAGGGGGCGCTACAGTTCATTCTGACGTGGGATTCGGGAGTCCTATAAATAATAAAGGGTATTTTCTGCAAAGCTGTATATTTGTACACATTTACATTTAAGTCATTTAGCAGATGCTCTTATCCAGACGTTAACACAACAATACCGATTGAATAAGTAAATACAATAATTTGATAATTAAAATGCTGTAGCCCACTCTGAAATCTAATATCATGGATTGTATTATACGGAGCTATTTTTACAGCAACCTTTAATAGTTGATGTAGGCCCAGCTACCTCATGCAAACTCATGCAAATAATTAAGAGTAAAATATTAAACCGCCAACAGGGGGACAGTCTCTAAAAGCAGTTATAGTTTTACATATTTGTGATGTCATTCTCTGTTGGAGCATTTCGCGGCAGCAGCAGGCGACACGGGTTGGGTGAATAACAAGAGATGGGGGGGCAGTTGACAGTTTACCAGGCGTAAAAGACGGGAAAACGAAGCCAATTGACTAGCTACAACCTCCAGGAAGAAAGCAGCTGTGCGTCAACTTCTCCAAAACGCACTCATGTTATCCTTAGCCATTAGGATATGTTTTTATTCTGAATAGGCTATTATTCTCCAATCACATCGTTCTCTTCTCCCAAAACAGCCCAGGATAGGATAGAGTGGATGTTATTGTAATAATAGCAATGAATTCGGCGGAACAGACGGTAACGTGGCTGATAACGTTGGGGGTCTTGGAGTCACCGAAAAAGACCATTTCGGACCCTGAAGGATTCCTGCAGTGTTCTCTCAAAGATGGGGTTGTCCTGTGCAAGCTGGTGGAGCGATTGCGCCCTGGGTCTGTTGAGAAAGTAAGGTCATATCTTATTGCCTGGATGTCCCACCTCTGCCTTAGACAACTATTATGTGGAACTTGAAGAATTAAACATTGTGTTAGTATTTATTTTTTGTTGTAGATGTTCTCAAACCGATCCTAGTTTAGATCATTAACAGAGGGGTTATTGTACGAAATACAGTGGAATTTCCGGACAGATGTCCGTGAGTCTCTCTCACACTTCAGCACTGGTTTACATTGACAATGAGATACCTATTCCATTCATTTATTCCAATATAACCTATTCTTAAGTGTGTAATAACGCAATTGTTTTCACATAGGCTACACATGGCATTAAAGTCCCATGTTTTTTTTCTAGATTGAAAACAGACGCTTAAAAAAAAAAACATGTTTGATTGTCGGCGTAAGTATGCACATTTGGCCACTGCATTTATTTATATTCCCCCCAAAAATGATGTTGCTATAATAAACGGGTGTTTTTGGTTCGGAACAACTGCTATTAATTAGGGGTACACTACAGATAGATTCACATGAGTGGGCCGCCATTGACTGCAAAGGAAGACCACTCCCCCTTTAAAGGAACAGTGTGTTTTAACACAATATTGCCATCAGAGTAGACTACTTATATAGGCTTACATTGTAACACTGGGAAACGCATTTAGCCTACTGATGGAACTCAATTATTCAATGAAACTCTCATTTAAGGGTTATGGAAACACCATTGTATTAGGGACAATGGGCATTACTTGTTTGTATTTTTTTATTGTAAAGCAATTCAAAATATACAATATATAATGGAGTATACAAAGAACAGTCAGGGGAATACAGACAATACATTATATAAAGACAGTGATGGCAAAAGTACCCAATTTTCATACTTGAGTAAAAGTAAAGTTACGTTAATAGAAAATGACTCAAGTAAAAGTGAATGTTACCCAGTAAAAGTCTAAAAGTATTTGGTTTTAAATATACTTAAGTATCAAAAGTAAATGTAATTGCTAAAATATACATAAGTATCAAAAGTAAAAGCATAAATTATTTTAAATTCCTTATATTAAGCAAACAAGACATCACGATTTTCTTGTTTTTTATTTTATTTACAGATAGTCAGGGGCACACTCCAACACATAATTTACAAACGAAGCAGATCAGATGCAGTAGGGATGACCAGGGATTTTCTCTTGATAAGTGTGTGAATAAGACAAGTTTCCTGTCCTGCTAAGCACTCAAAAAGTACTTTTGGGTGTCAGGGAAATGTATGGAGTAAAATGTACATTATTTTCTTTAGGAATATAGTGGAGTAAAAGTAAAAGTTGTCCAAAATATAAATAGTAAAGTAAAGTACAGATACCCTAAAAACGACTTAAGTAGTACTTTAAAGTATTTTTACTTAAGTAATTTACACCACTTTATAAAGACTAATTAATTACAAACATTAAACGTTTTGATTGCTTTTTTGTTATGAGAAAAATAAATCGTCTTTATTTATTGACCTGACATTTTAACTGAGGGGGAAAAAAACGTTATTTCTGTCACACTCCCACATAGCAAGAATTTACTTTCCCTTGCACACTTGCAATTTATGCACAATTGGAAAAAGTTAACAGCATAACTACAACAACAACAACAGGGTCAGGGACTTCTAAATAATAGCCAATTGACTATGGGCCTAATAATGAGAGAAATTGCTAGGTTATTAAGGTTATGAAGCATGTGATTGCCACTATTGATATCTGTTTGCACAGGTAGGCACCAAAAGGTGTAGCCACAGGGCTCTGGTTTTCACCCTGGAATATACACAACACGTCATTTCCTCTCCTACTAATCCAATTTCCCGATGGGAGATTGAGAGGCCTTTTAGAAACACCGATTGGAGATTTTAGTTTCACACTGAAATCGTGGAACTGTACAATCTCTTGCAAAACCGAGAACGAAACGGGTTACCTACCGACGGCCGTATGCGTGCACGTACGGCTCAGGATTTGCTTCATAAAACGTTTTCCACCCCTTCACACAGATCTTCCAAGAACCAAGGAATGATAGCGAGTTCCAGAGCAATATCAAGGAGTTTCTGAAAGGCTGCGGTTCCTTCCGAGTGGAGGTGAGTCATGTAACCTGCCTGCTGCTCTGTAACTTTGTTGCAAATATCGACAATACAATGCGCTCTAAACATGACTGAAAACACTGTATCAACATTTCATTTGATCAACACATGAGCATTCCCCATGGAGTGTTAGCACAGCCTAGTTGTTTTACCAGCCTACAAGTAGAAATACTACAGTTGCATCCGTCGCCATTTGGATACTAGTCTAGGCTATCATTTACAGTCATTTGGTATTTCTAACATAGTGTAACAATATTCCAAAATAATACTAGGCTACTCAGTGTGTAAGGTTAAGGTAGAAGGATTTGGTCATCATGATTTGGCCGTTTAAAGGAGAAGTTCACTCTTTTACAACTTGATGGTGGGTGGTTCCTCACCCTGAAAATAATCTATGGCCGGGAGAAACTGGTTCAGTTTTCTTTACAAGCCATTACAAACTTCGGCTAACATTAGCCACCGTTAGCTAAAAAAGCAAAGGAAGTGATGGGGTATGTGAGCATGTAACAAAAAAAAAGTGTCCAACTCCATATTTGGTTTGATGTTACTTTAAAGGTGATTTAGCCCAAAACATTATTTCTTTTTAAATACATGCTCACAAGTTAGCTGAAGTTTGTAATGGCTGTGTAAAGAACTGAACCATGGATTATAGTTTCTCCTGGACCATAGACTATTTCCATCTAACACGAAGTTGAAAAATAGTGAACTTCTCCTTTAATTCAACAACTAATTATTATTCTGCATATTGAGCTGTAAAGAGGTCAATATGCAGAACAAGGGAATTTAACTGTGGGCACATCTACTGTCATGAGGAGCCAAGGCTGAGGGCCATATTTAAATCAGTCAATACCATGAACCCTATTTCAACATTACAAAACACTTTCAAATGAATAATTATTATATTTCAACTGTGTGAAACCTGAGTTGTTGGAATTCCGTTTAAAGCACAAACTTCATCTATTGGAATACTGTACATCTATCACACCATTTTTCTCTTTGTCATAGAAACAAGATTTGCCTCAAACTTCTGAGATATTGTGTGATATGGCAGGTGCCAGGTAGACATGTAAACAAAGGTGTGATATGAACAGCCTCCTGATTTCAAATCTGTCTGGGAACTTACAGTCCACTACTCCCGAAAATATTAATTTGTACACCTTGTAGTAAACTACTTACCTTACCAAGGCCTAGTCTCACCTCAACCCTGTCACTGACTGCTTCAAGACCAGGCCTTATGAAAAGACTGTGACAGCTCTGTTGCAGTGTTCACATGGTACCACTGAGAATGAAGCAGTGTATTGGCATGCATCCAAGTGCTATGCTAGTGTGGATATTGGCCTATGACTCATACCCACCAGGAGTGAGAGCTGCTGGACAGTTATATCTCATGGCTGCTCACTGCAGTATTGAGGCTGGGCTGGGAAAGGCAGCAGCAATAGTAACTAGCATGGCCTTTAGCGCCTAACTCAGGGCTCTGGTGTCTGTCCTGTCTGTGTCTGTCTGTGTCTCTGTCTGTCTGTGGTCAGTCATGCCTAACTGAATCAATCAATACAGTTTATACAAGAGGTGGTACTGGGGGGGAGGGGGGAAGTTGATGAGAATGTCAACCAACCAATGGATTTTCCAACGAGGTCGATTAGGTCGGAAGGCTAAATTCCAAAATGACCAGACATGGGCATACACTGTAGTGTGAAGGACCAATAAGATGTCATGGCCATGATTGATTATTGTCCCAAAACAACCCCTACCCTATAGACATTAATTCATGATAGATCTCTCCACTCTAGAGGCCACATTGAGCCCATCCACCATATTGCTTAATACATCCATTTAGTTCTCTGTCAGATCAGGAAGAGGTCATGTAGAAGTGTGTGTATAGGATTAGGGAGTAAGGGGTAGTTAGGAAGAGGTTGGGGGGTGTTAGTTAGAGAACATGATGTTGGGGGGTGTTAGTTAGAGAACATGATGTGGCAGAGATTAGAGAGATGGCTCAGACTGCTGGTAATCCCCCAGACTGGCCCTGGGTGGTTAAAGGGTAGGATTGAGGGTGTGTGTGTGTGTGTGTGTGGTGTGTGTCCAGACTCAGGGGGCAGGGCAGGGGGGTAGACGGTGGGACTGTGTGTGTGGATGCTTAGCCAGAGTGCTGGACCAGACTGGGTGAAAACGGCAAAGCCCTCAGAGCAGAGGCAGCATGTAGGGATGAGGAAACCAATGACACCCTACTGAATACCATTTCAGATACTGAAAGACTATACTCTTCAGGGTAAGTTAGACCGGGGCTAGTTGGTCTCTGGTTGTGCAACTAGAGTTGATGACCCCCCCCCCGCTTCTCCTTTACACAAATTCAGACAGCTGATGTTCTGAAAGAGCTGAAAAATCGGGAACCCTACAAATCAGCTGGGCTAGACAATCTGGACCCTTTCTTTCTAAAATTAGCCGCCGGAATTGTCGCAACCCCTATTTCTAGCCTGTTCAACCTCTCTTTTGTAACGTTTGAGATCCCCAGAGATTGGAAAGCTGCCGCGGTCATCCCCCTCTTCAAAGGGGGAGACACTCTAGATCCAAACTGTTACAGACCTATATCCATCCTGCCCTGCCTTTCGAAAGTTTTTGAAAGCCAAGTTAACAAACAGATCACCGACCATTTCGAATCCCACCGTACCTTCTCCGCTATGCAATCTGGTTTCCGAGCTGGTCATGGGTGCACGTCAGCCACGCTCAAGGTCCTAAACGATATTATAACTGCGATCGATTAAAAGACAGTACTGCGCAGCCGTCTTCATCGACCTGGCCAAGGCTTTCGACTCTGTCAACCACCGCATTCTTATTGGCAGACTAAATAGCCTTGGTTTCTCAAATGACTGCCTCACCTGGTTCACCAACTACTTCTCAGATATACTTCAATGTGTCAAATCGGAGGGCCTGTTGTCTGGACCTCTGGCAGTCTATGGGGATGGGAGAACAGGGTTCAATTCTCGGGCCGACTCTATTCTCTGTGTATATCAATGATGTCGCTCTTGCTGCTCGTGACGCTCGGATCCACCTCTATGCGGACGACACCATTTTGTATACATCTGGCCCTTCATTGGACACTGTGTTAACAAACCTCCAAACGAGCTTCAACGCCATACAACACTCCTTCCGTAGCCTCCAACTGCTCTTAAACACTAGTAAAACTAAATGCATGCTCTTCAACCGAACGCTGCTTGCACCCGCCCACCCGACTAGAATCACTACTCTCGGCGGGTCTGACCTAGAGTATGTGGACAACTACAAATAGACTGTAAACTCTCCTTCCAGACTCACATTAAGCATCTCCAATCAAAAGTTAGATCTAGAATTGGCTTCCTATTTCGCAACAATGCCTCCTTCACTCATGCTGCTAAACATGCCCTCGTAAAACTGACTATCCTACCGATCCTTGACTTCGGCGATGTCATTTACAAAATAGCCTCCAACACTCTACTCAGCAAATTGGATGTAGTCTATCACAGTGCCATCCATTTTGTCACCAAAGCCCCATATACTACCCACCATTGTGACCTGTACGCTCTTGTTGGCTGGCCCTCACTACATATTCCTTGCCAAACCCACTGGCTCCAGGTCATCTATAAATCACTGCTAGGCAAATCCCCGTCTTATCTTAGCTCACTGGTCACCATAGCAACACCCACCCGTAGTCTGCGCTCCAGCAGGTATATCTCACTGGTCATCCCCAAAGCCAACACCTCCTTTGGCCGCCATTCCTTCCAGTTCTCTGCTGCCAATGACTGGAACGAACTGCACAAATCTCTGAAGCTGGAGACTCTTATCTCCCTCACTAACTTTAAGCATCAGTTGTCAGAGCAGCTTACCGATCACTGCACCTGCACACAGCCATTCTGAAATTAGCCCATCCAACTACCTCATCCCCATATTGTTATTTATTTTGCTCATTTGCACCCCAGTATCTCTATTTGCACATCATCTTTTGCACATCATTCATTCCACTGTTAATACGAAATTGTAACTATTTTGCACTATGGCCTATTTATTGCCTTACCTCCATAATTTACTACATTCGCACACACTGTATATATATTTTCTGTTGTATTTTTGACTTTATGTTTTGTTTACCCCATATGTAACTCTGTGTTGTTGTTTTTATCGCACTGCTTTGCTTTATCTTGGCCAGGTCGCAGTTGTAAATGAGAACTTGTTCTCAACTGGCTTACCTGGTTAAATAAAGGTGAAAAAAATAAAAAATATAAAATGAAATCCTGTGTTTGTACTCCAGTGTTAGGTAATTATCTGATAAATACAGTCACACCATATCCTACCAGGCCAGGGTACTCATAGCGTTTCATTTTGGTTGTGTTTGTCTAATGGTAATTTAATGAACTCTGACAATAACATATAGTTTAAAGAGACACCGCAGGCCAAATGAGACGTAAAACTTGGAGGAACACAATGAATAGGGTCAGATGTGTGCTGCCAGACTTAGGTGTTTGCACTCCTGTACTAAAGGTCAAAGTTCAAATAATAAACGCCCAACATTGCAGGTAGCAATTATTTTGAGAATAATACAGCATGAAGTGTCATGAGTGTATTAGTGGTTTGTCCCCACTTAGACAGAGGGAGCATTTCAACATGACAGTCACATTCCTGACCTGTCTGGACTGAGAACAAAGAGGGTGTAGGGAGAGAGCAGGATGTTCCTAGCCCTGGGGCTTCCTTCCTGTTGTTGTCTGTGGTACTATGCACTGCGCTGTCGAAATCCCAGCGTCTGTACAACGTCTCAGTGATGCTTGGGTAGATTATGGCTGAGTTCTGCTGCCTGTGTCTATCAGTAGCTGTTTTAACTCTGTGATGTTCTCCAGGCCTCAGACCTAGGCCTCCTTACTGTGAGAAATATCTTTACAGGTCACTACAGTATGGGAACACAGCTATGTCTGGAAGTTAATGTGTCAGGTTATTATCACTAGAACCAGATGAAATATGCACATGAGGTCTTTTGACAAGACCTTTACGCCGTTGCAATGTTATGAAACAGTGTTTGGTTTGATTTCAATCAGTTACACAGATGTGTGTTTTTTTTCAACAAGTATCTCTCCTCTCCCTCCTCTTCTCAGCCATTTGAGGTCAATGACCTTCTCCAGGGACTGAACTTCACCAAGGTGCTCAACTCTCTGGTGGCACTGGCCAAAGCCACCGAGGGTAAGTGGACTAAAACAGAAGCGGGTCTGTGGTGATTCATGGAAGGTTTCCTGTTTTCTATGCAAATTCATACCTGTGAAGTCCCACATGTAACCTCTAGTCTAGATATCAGAGAGGGTGTTGTGTGTCATTAGGCCTGTGTTTCTGTGTAGAATGATGGCTGCATGTTGCAGCATGTTGAGTTGTGTTCTTGACTCACATTAATGTGTGTAACCGAAAGTAGCAGGCGTAAAATAAACAGCCTGGAACTAGATCCCCCATATTCTGGTCTTGATGAGAATTTAAAAAAGCTGTTGGCGGTGGTTCTCGTCTGCGCTGTTCAACCAATCCAGTAAATGTGGAGGAGGAGTTAAGATGGAGTGTCGCCATGTTAACGTCTGAAAGCGGAATTCACGTCACAGGCTCTCTTCTATTTCCCATGAAAACCGGAACATACGGTTGTTGACGACCCCGCTGAGGCTAATGTGTGTGTGTGTTTATGTCTGTACTCATACCTCTCTCTCCTCCACAGACAAAGTGGCGACTCTGTGGTCCTATTAACCTTCTCCTCCACGAGGGCAGTGACTCTGTGTGTGTCTCTGTCTATGTACTCATACCTCTCTCTCCTCCACAGACATAGGAGTGGGCAGTGACTCTGTGTGTGTCTCTGTCTATGTACTCATACCTCTCTCTCTCCTCCACAGACATAGGAGTGGGTCAGTGACTCTGTGTGTGTCTCCGTCTATGTACTCATACCTCTCTCTCTCCTCCACAGACATAGGAGTGGGCAGTGACTCTGTGTGTCTCTGTCTATGTACTCATACCTCTCTCTCTCCTCCACAGACATAGGAGTGGGCAGTGACTCTGTGTGTGTCTCTGTCTATGTACTCATACCTCTCTCTCCTCCACAGACATAGGAGTGGGCAGTGACTCTGTGTGTGTCTCTGTCTATGTACTCATACCTCTCTCTCTCCTCCACAGACATAGGAGTGGGCAGTGACTCTGTGTGTGCGCGTCACTCGTCCTCGTTACGGATCAAGTCGTTTGACTCTCTGAACACTCAGTCTCCCCGCGGACGCTCCTCCAAACTCCTCCACAACCAGTACCGCAGCCTGGTGAGTCACACAACTACATAGAACCCAACAGAACCAGAGAACCCAACAGAACCAGAAGGAACCATTTTGCCCTTGAGGTGGTTCTCACCTGCAGCTTGGGGTTGTTTTTGGTCCATCCTCACTTCCTCCCATTTCTCTCTTCTCTCATGCTCCTTTGCTCTTTCCCTCCCTCCGTCTCCCTCTTTCCTCTCCACTAGGACATGTCCGAGAGCGGTGGGCAGCGGGTACTGGTGAAGGCCAAGTTCACCTTCCAGCAGACCAATGAGGATGAGCTGTCCTTCAACAAGGGTGACATCATCAGTGTGTCGCGCCAGGAAGATGGCGGCTGGTGGGAGGGCTCGTTCAACGGCAACAAGGGCTGGTTCCCTAGCAACTACGTCAAGGAGGTCAAAGGCAGCGGTGGGGGTCAGTGATTGGGCGGCTTTGATTTAATATTAAGTAGGGATCATAGTTTGTATTGGCGAGTATAAACATTAGGCATATGCATCTCTATAACAACTTTATAATCATCTATAACAGCTCTATTACAACTGTATATTACCCAGAATAATATATCCTGTGTTGAAGATGATATCTGATAGTGGCGCCCCCTATAGCTGACTGTACCACTGAATCATGCAGCTAAACCAGTCTGAGATTTACACCACGTATTTAATGTGGGTCTCAAGGGAATATCTGCTGTTTTTAATGGCTATACATCAAAAACACATTTCAGGCAGTCAGCATTTCCCCCGGCTGCTAGAGCTGTAATGTGTAATCCATTCTTTTTTTATTTTACCAGGTAAGTTGACTGAGAACACATTCGCATTTACAGCAAAGACCTGGGGAATAGTTACAGAGGAGAGTTGAATGAGCCAATTGGAAGCTGGGGATGATTAGGTGGCCATGATGGTATGAGGGCCAGATTGAGAATTTAGCCAGGAAACCGGGGTTAACACCCCTACTCTTACGATAAGTGCCATGGGATCTTTAGTGGACCACAGAGAGTCAGGACACCCTTTTAACGTCTCATCCGAAAGACGGCACCCTACACAGGGCGTTGTACCCAATCACTGCCCTGGGGCATTGGGCTATCTCTTTTTAGACCTGAGGAAAGAGTGCTTCCTACTGGCTGTCCAGCACCACTTCCAGCAGCATCTGGTCTCCCATTCAGTGACTGACCAGGACCAACCCTTCTTAGTGTCTGAGGCAAGCCAGCAGTGGGATACAGGGTGGTATGCTGCTGGCCAATGAGGATGATCATGAAGAGAATGATTTAAAGCTGCAATATTTAACTTTTTGGGCGACCAGACCAAATTCACATAGAAATGTGTTCTCACTGAAAGCAAGTCTAACAAGTGGGAGATCTGTTCTATGTGTGCTATTTCTATGCTACTTGTTCTTAAGTTTAGTTTTTGCGTCTTCTACTTTAGTTTTTGTACACCAGCTTCAAAGAGCTGAAAATACAATATTTTGTAGTTTAGATGGTACAATGATTCTCTACACTGTACTGGCTTGTTTTGTCACAAACTGAAATTAGGAGAAATATTAGAATTTTAGCAACCAGGAAATAGCGGCGCAATTTTGCATAGTGCACCTTTTTAAAAGAGGAATTACAGAGTGAAGGAACATGTTGCCAATAGTAAACTCACCAGGATATGGCTCTACACCTGCTTATTCAATGGACCGCAATGTGCAAAGCATTACAGATAGAAATAGAATGTATAGAAGGTGATGCAGATTAGAGCTCTGTTTGTTCTCTACACTACTTTTCTATCTGCAACACTTTAAGTGTTCTATCAGATCATATACAGAAATGTCCAGTAGATGTATAAACTGTCTATTTGTGCACGGTGATTGTGCACTTTTAATGTAGCTATTGTGCACTGTAACTGAAAGGAAGGAAACTGCATGGTCAAACAAAGACAGGACGCTCCTTAGCTTAGCCTGTGGATGGGACTTCCCCAAACACACCAAACAGCTCACAGTGCTACCCTCTGTTGGTTTACTACCTACTTACACATTATGAACTATGTATCACACTGCCATAGCTTGGAATCAAAGTGCCATTTCTCTATAAGCTCACAGTGGTAACCCACCCCCTTTCTGTATCCAATCAGTCACAAATGAACATGCCCTCTGTCTCTGGCTGCAGAGAGAGAGAGAGAGGGAGAGCTACAGCTTTTTTCTTTGCTGTGTGTCATGTTCACTCTCCATTCAGTATTCTATCTCTGCCCCAAGGGTTAACTACTAAAACACAGCAACATGAATGTGTCCCCATTTCTCTGTAGTGCATAGAAAGCCTCTGGTCTGGTCGTTAGCTAAATGAAGCCAGCATCTTTCCCTGGACCCTGCCGGATAACATTGCTATAAACTCTGTTACAAAATGAATGACTTCATGTTTCAGGGCTCGTCTGGCCTACTTCTACTGTCCCCTGCTTCTCCTCCTCTTTCTCTTCTAATCTCTCTCTCCTTTCTTCTCCTCTCTCTACCACACAGACAAACCAGTGTCTCCTAAGTCTGGCACCCTCCAAAACCCTGGGAAAGGCTTCGACACACCAGCCGTCAGCAAGACCTACTATAACCTGGTGAGAAGCTACACGACCTATTGTCACTGAGATCTGAAATGCCAGGAGGGTGTTTAGACCTTAGGCTTTTGCCAGCCGTGTGTGTGTGTTGTAATGTAGGTTGTTTCTTCCGTCTGACTGGCTGCTGTGCCAGCTGTGCCTCAGGGCCCTGTGACTGGCTGCTCTGTTTCTGTCTAGTGGTAGCACTCTGTCACTATGCTGTGTGTGTATCTGGGTCAGTGATAGTTCACAGGGACTGTGTGTCCTGCTGCCGTGACGGTGATAGGAGCACATTGCAAAGCATCCTGGGAGGCGCACTGTTTGTTTTGGTGCTGAGAGAAGAGAAGCCCAGGGAGGGAGATATCAACTATTCAGGACAAGACACAGAAACTGTCAGGAGAGTAGATTAGAGTAGATCAGAGTAGAGGAGAGGAGATCAGAGGAGAGGAGAGTAGATCAGAGGAGAGGAGAGTAGATCAGAGGAGAGGAGAGTAGATCAGAGGAGAGGAGAGTAGATCAGAGGAGAGGAGAGTAGATCAGAGGAGAGGAGAGTAGATCAGAGGAGAGGAGAGTAGATCAGAGGAGAGGAGAGGCGATCAGAGGAGAGGAGAGGCGATCAGAGGAGAGGAGAGGCGATCAGAGGAGAGGCGATCAGAGGAGAGGCGATCAGAGGAGAGGCGATCAGAGGAGAGGCGATCAGAGGAGAGGAGATCAGAGGAGAGGGGATCAGAGTAGATCTGAGGAGAGGAGAGGAGAGTAGATCAGAGGAGAGGAGATCAGAGGAGAGGAGATCAGAGGAGAGGAGATCAGAGGAGAGGAGATCTGAGGAGAGGAGAGTATCTGTATTGTCCCAATGGACAAGAATACATTAAGATCCACATGGAGCAATCTCATACAAATCAATACATTATGATATGGGGAAAGAAGTCAATAGTTCAGTACTAGTCTTTATGAAGTGCTTCAAAGTAACCTCATCACAGTGTTAGGTTATCCTGTGTTACAAGATCCAAATGAGTCGAGAGTTGAAATATGAGCCCTGACAACATCAGGAGATAATAACTACCTGTCTGTCTGCCATTTAGTGGATGCTAGAAGAGTTAAAGCCAACTTAAACCCTCCACCCTCTCCATCTCTGCATCCTGCCTAAAGCCTACTCTGAACCTAGCCAGTAATGACATGGACTAAATAGGTCAGTATTTGATGAGAAAAGGATAGCACAGTTTATTTCTGTCCTCTGGTTTCTCCCTCTAATTGTCTCCTCATATGAAACTTAAAAAGACAACAGAAAATAAAGTACTTCAAAAAATGACGTAAAGAAGACCGGATTCAGGAAGCAGAATGGAAGGACTCCCTGGCCCCATTCTGTCAGCGAGGGGGAGGTTAGGAGGAGAGAGGGTGGGTTTCCTCAGTGGGTGTGTGTGAGTTCAGTATCTGTCTGGCTGTCTGTCCGCCTGCCTGTCTGTGTCCATCCGTCAACATCCTCTCCTAACCCCCCTGTTCCGTCTCTCTCCATCCAGGTGCTCCAGAACATTCTAGAGACCGAGACCGAGTATTCCAAGGAGCTCCAAAGCCTTCTGGCCTCTTACCTGCACTCACTGCAACCTACAGACAAGTGAGTGTGTTTGTGTTCACATGACTGTGAGTGTGTCTGGTGTGTGTATTTGTCAGGGGGGTTGTGTGTGTGTGTGTGTGGGGGACACACGTGTGAGTGTCTGATTTGAACATACTATGAACCTTACTGGACCCCCCCCCTCTTTTAGTCAACCATATCGCTCCACCTTTCCCCACCCCGTCTCCCTCTGTGTCCAGGTTGAGCAGTGCAGACATCAGTCACATCCTGGGGAATCTGGAGGACATCTCTACCTTCCAGCTGATGTTGGTTCAGTCATACGAGGAATGTACCAAGTGAGTCCCCGAACCCACACACACACACACACACACACACACACACCATATGATCCGTCCAGCATTGACCAAATGTATCTCATCAGTACATGGATGTACCAAATGAGTGCCCATAATCTTCATGCAAGTTGAAAATATGAATCAACTCTGAAATAGACTCTGTCCTGTCTGACAATAGGATCTAAAGGCACACCTTAAAACACACTGTGTGGGAGGGTGCACTGTTCCTCACATAGTACATCAACATGCCGTTTATACAGGTCACACTGACACATACTGGCCGTTTTCGGTAGTGCTGTGGTGGTGAGCACAATCTAACAAAGTGAATGCAATCCTCCCTGTGTGTGTGTGTGTGTGCAGGCTTCCAGAGAGCCAGCAGAGAGTAGGGGGCTTCTTCCTCAACCTGCTGCCCCAGATGAAGGGTCTCTATGTGGCCTACTGCTCCAACCACCCCTCGGCTGTCAACGTCCTCACAGAACACAGGTAACAGTGTGTGTACGTCAGCTGGGGGAGGTTAGTATGTTACTGTGTGGAGCTGGGGGAGTTTAGTATGTTACTGTGTGTTTCAGTGAGGAGCTGGGGGAGGTTAGTATGTTACTGTGTGTTTCAGTGAGGAGCTGGGGGAGTTTAGTATGTTACTGTGTGTTTCAGTGAGGAGCTGGGGGAGGTTAGTATGTTACTGTGTGTTTCAGTGAGGAGCTGGGGGAGGTTAGTATGTTACTGTGTGTTTCAGTGAGGAACTGGGGGAGGTTAGTATGTTACTGTGTGTTTCAGTGAGGAGCTGGGGGAGTTTAGTATGTTACTGTGTGTTTCAGTGAGGAGCTGGGGGAGGTTAGTATGTTACTGTGTGTTTCAGTGAGGAGCTGGGGGAGGTTAGTATGTTACTGTGTGTTTCAGTGAGGAGCTGGGGGAGGTTAGTATGTTACTGTGTGTTTCAGTGAGGAGCTGGGGGAGGTTAGTATGTTACTGTGTGTTTCAGTGAGGAGCTGGGGGAGGTTAGTATGTTACTGTGTGTTTCAGTGAGGAGCTGGGGGAGGTTAGTATGTTACTGTGTGTTTCAGTGAGGAGCTGGGGGAGTTGAGTATGTTACTGTGTGTTTCAGTGAGGAGCTGGGGGAGGTTAGTATGTTACTGTGTGTTTCAGTGAGGAGCTGGGGGAGTTTATGGAGGGGAAGGGAGCCAGTAGTCCAGGTATCCTGACCCTCACCACCAGCCTCAGTAAACCCTTCATGAGGCTGGACAAATACCCCACACTACTGAAGGAACTGGAGAGACACATGGAGGTGAGAGGGAGACGGTCTGTGTTTATATATATATATATATATATATATATATATATATATATATATATATATATATATATATATATATATATATATATATATATATATATATATATAGTACCAGTCAAACGTTTGGACACACCTACTCATTCCAGGGTTTTTCTTAATTTTTATTATTTTCTACTACATTGCAGAATAATAGTTAAGACATCAAAACTATGAAATAACACATATGGAATCATGTGGTAAACACAAAAGTGTTAAATCAAAATATATTTAATATTTTAGTTTCTTCAAAGTAGCCTCCCTTTGCCTTGATGACGGCTTTGCACACTCTTGGCATTCTCTCAAGCAGCTTCATGAGGAAGTCACCTGGAATCCATTTCAATTAACAGGTGTGCCTTGTTAAAAGTTGTGGAATTTCTTTCCTTAATGCGTTTGAGCCAATCAGTTGTGTTGTGACAAGGTAGGCTTGGTATACAGAAGATAGCCCTATTTGGTAAAAGACCAAGTCCATATTATGGCAAGAACAGCTCAAATAAGCAAAGAGAAACAACAGTCCATCATTACTTTAAGACATGAAGGTAAGTAAATCTGGAAAATGTCAAGGACTTTGAAAGCTTCTTCGAGTGCAGTTGCAAAAACCATCAAGCGCTATGATGAAACTGGCTCTCATGAGGACCGCTACAGGAAAGGAAGACCCAGAGTTACCTCTGCTGCAGAGGATAAGTTCATTAGAGTTACCAGCCTCAGAAATCGACAATTAACTGCACCTCAGATTGCAGCCCAAATAAATGCTTCACAAAGTTCAAATAACAGACACATCTCAACATCAACTGTTCAGAGGAGACTTCGTGAATCAGGCCTTCATGGTCGAATTGCTGCAAAGAAACCACTACTAAAGGACACCAATAAGAAGAAGAGACTTGCTTCGGCCAAGAAACACGAGTAATGGACATTAGACCTGTGGAAATCTGTCCTTTGATCTGATGAGTCCAAATTTGAGGTTTTTGGTTCCAACCGCCGTGTCTTTGTGAGACGCAGAGTAGGTGAAATGATGATCTCCGCATGTGTGGTTCCCACCGTGAAGCATGTAGGAGGAGGTGTGATGGTGTGGGGGTGCTTTGCTGGTGACACTGTCTGTGATTTATTTAGAATTCAAGGCACACTTAACCAGCATGGCTACCACAGCATTATGCAGCAATACGCCATCCCATCTGGTTTGAGCTTAGTGGGACTATCATTTGTTTTTCAACAGGACAATGACCCAAAACACACCTCCAGGCTGTGTAAGGGCTATTTGACCAAGAAGGAGAGTGATGGAGTTCTGCATCAGATGACCTGGCCTCCACAATCACCTGACCTCAACCCAATTGAGATTTGGGATGAGTTGGACCGCAAAGTGAAGGAAAAGCAGCCAACAAGTGCCCAACATATGTGGGAACTCCTTCAAGACTGTTGGAAAAGCATTCCAGGTGACTACCTCATGAAGCTGGTTGAGAGAATGCCAAGAGTGTGTAAAGCTGTCATCAAGGCAAAGGGTGGCTACTTTGAAGAATCTAAAATATTAAATATATTTTGATTTGTTTAACACTTTTTTGTTTACCACATGATTCCATATGTGTTATTTCATAGTTTTGATGTCTTCACTATTATTCTGCAATGTAAAAAATTGTAAAAATGTAAAACCCTTGAATGAGTAGGTGTGTCCAAACTTTTGACTGGTCATGTATATAAAAACAAATTGTGGGTAGATTAGCTTTAATATTGCAGATTGTGGCTTCTATCAATGTAATTGTCTGCATCATTTCCAATCCCCCATATATTTTTTGGGTATATATATATATATATATATATATATAGATATCTTCCATTATTTTCCCCTAACCCTACCACCCCTCCTCTAATTGGAGTAAACTAATGGACATCAACACTTATGCTTCTACTTCCAGCTTATACATACTATATACATTTTACAGACACAGTATATTTTACAATAGCTATCTTTTGTTTGTTATTAGTCCCATCGCTCTGTGTTTCTGTCTGTGTAGTATGAATAAAGGTCATTTGCCTGTGAATGGTTGTTTTTTGTTGTGTAGGTGTATTGACTGTGTTAAACCTGTGATCTTCTGATGAATCAAACATCCCTCTTTTCTGTACCAGGAGCATCATCCTGATCGACCAGACATCCAAAAGTGTATGACCACCTTCAAAAGCCTCTCTGTAAGTCGGACATGAGTAGGCCGTATACCGTCCCTGTCTCGGTTTAATGACTTGTGTAGTGTTAAATTGACATGTCTCTGTCTCTTGGTGATGATGTATATGGAATCCAGTGTTGTTAAGGGTTAAATTGACATGTTAAATAGTCTTGTTGATGTATGTATGTATGCAGGCAGTGCAGTGTTGCTAATCCTGGGCTGAGGGAAAAGCTTTAGCCTGGCTCTGAGCTCCACGGCTTGGCTCTGCTGTTCTGTGGCTTGGTGCCCTGGCTAGGGCTTCTATGCAGCCTGGATCTTCCTGGCTTGTGTGTGTGTACATTTGTCTGTTTTTCTCTCTCTGTCTCGCTCTCTCTCACATGGGCTGGGATTCAATACTTTCAAACAACTTCCTTTTATTTATTTGTGTGTGTCTCCATGGCTCCAGGCTCAGTGTCAGGAGGTGAGGAAACGGAAGGAGCTGGAGCTTCAGATTCTATCTGAGACTATCAGACGCTGGGAGGGAGATGACATCAGAACCCTGGGCCCTGTTCTCTACATGTCACACACACTCTGCCACACACACGGATCAGAGGTAAGACACACACACAGATCAGAGGTAAGACACAAACACTCTGCCACACACACGGATCAGAGGTAAGACACACACACACACACACACGGATCAGAGGTAAGACACAAACACTCTGCCACACACACGGATCAGAGGTAAGACACACACACACACACACACGGATCAGAGGTAAGACACAAACACTCTGCCACACACACAGATCAGAGGTAAGACACACACACACACGGATCAGAGGTAAGACACAAACACTCTGCCACACACACAGATCAGAGGTAAGACACAAACACGGATCAGAGCTAAGACACACACACACATCTAAAATCTACACCCATGAACGTCTTAACAGTGTGTGTGTGTGTTTGTGTGTGTGTTCTTTAGGAGAAGAATGAACGCTACCTCCTGCTGTTTCCAAATGTTCTCCTAATGCTGTCTGCCAGCTCCAGAATGAGTGGATTCATCTACCAGGTCAGTATCTCTCTATCTATCCCGTTATCTCTCTCTCTCCATCTATCCCTTTATCTCTCTCTTTCTCTCTCTCTCCATCTATCACTTTCTCTCTCTCTCCATCTATCCCTTTATCTCTCTATCTCTCTGTCCTTTGTTAGTATGTAGGGCCCTGTAAAATCAGCTTTGTGGAGAACATGACGGAATCCTGGAATCCAGACATTCAAACGGAATTAAACAATATTCAAAAATGTATTAAACTTAGTAGGAAATCAACTAAATGTATTGAACTTATTAGAAAAGTCATTAATTTGCCCAAGATTATCATAAGACATGAACAAAATGCATCAGTGATTTGTATTTTCCTTCAACTCTCTGAAGAGACAACTGCACAGGAATGCCCGTCTGTGTGTGCATGTTTGTCTACCACTTATTGTAGCCGTTAGCGATTATGCTAATGTGTTGCCAACTGTCTTCTGGTGGATGGTAAGGCTTTCCCTAAAACCTTTTCAATTAAATGTTAAAGCTGCAATATGTAACTTGTTGGGCGACCCGACTAAATTCACATAGAAATGTGACTAACAGATCTGTAATTCTCATTGAAAACAATTCTAAGAAGCAGTAGATCTGTTCTATGTGCGCTATTTCTATTCTTCCCGTTCTTAAGTTTCGTTTTTGCATCTTTTACTTTCGGTTTTGTACACCAGCTTCAAACAGCTGAAAATACAATATTTTTGGTTATTGAAAATATATTTCACAGCTGTTTTTAAATGATATAAGGAAGGCCCAAAAAATGGTCAAAGACTCCAGTCAACAAAGTCATAGACTGTTCTCTCTAATACCGCACGGCAAGCGGTACCGGAGTGCTAAGTCTAGGTCCAAAAGGCTCCTTAACAGCTTCTACCCCAAGCCATAAGACTGCTGAACAATTATTAAAATGGCCACCCGGACTATTTGCATTGACCCCCCCCCCCCCCCACCCCCAAATAAATGCTTCACAGAGTTCAAATAACAGACACATCTCAACATCAACTGTTCAGAGGAGACTTCGTGAATCAGGCCTTCATGGTCGAATTGCTGCAAAGAAACCACTACTAAAGGACACCAATAAGAAGAAGAGACTTGCTTGGGCCAAGAAACACGAGTAATGGACATTAGACCAGTGGAAATCTTTGATCTGATGAGTCCAAATTTGAGGTTTTTGGTTCCAACCGCCATGTCTTTGTGAGACGCAGAGTAAGTGAAATGATGATCTCCGCAATTGTGGTTCCCACCGTGAAGCATGGAGGAGGAGGTGTGGGGGTGCTTTGCAAACTTTGAGTGGTACAGAAACATCCTAACCAAACAACGGTCTCTGGCTAGTGAGCAGTTAAATTAATGGGTAATTACACCCAAAAATCTAAATTTCTTAGATTTTTCCCAGACCTCAAAAGTGGTCTCCTGATGTGGTTTAAGCATTGTTATGGACTTAGAACATCAAATGTTGTTATTTTTTCTATTTAAAAAAAGTGTGATTTTGAGAGTGAAAAAACGGGGAAGAAATGGAATGAGGTCCAAAAATCGAACTGATTTTATAGTGCCCTAAATATGTAAACACTAAAGGTTTCTGTAATTCTTATTTGTCGTTGATTTGTTTTAAAGGGTAAGCTGCCATTGACAGGAATGCTAATCTCAAGGATAGAAGATTGTGAGATGGTCAAAAACGCTTTTGAAATATCAGGTACGTTTACAGTTTACGTTTATTGGTTGAGTTTAAACAGCTCAAATTAAGGGTAATGTCTGTGTAATTACATGTGTGTTTGTGTGTGGATGTGTTTAACTATACTTGTGGGGACCCGAAGTCCCCACAAGAATAGTAAACAAACAAAATGTGACCAACATTTTTAGTCCCCACAAGGAAAAAGGCTATTTCTAGGGGGTTAGGGGTTAAAGGTTAGGAGTTGGGGTTAAGGTTAGGGGTTAGGCAAAATAGGATTTTGAATGGGAATCAATTGTGTCCCTACAAGGTTAGTTAAACAAGACTATTTGTGTGTGTGTTACAGGCAGTACGTGTGAGCGGATGCAGGTGGTGTGTAACAACCAGCAGGATCTGCAGGAGTGGGTGGAGCATCTGTCGAGACACACCCAGATCAGAAACACCCCCTCCATGATCATGACCACAGCCACCGCCAAGCCCCAGTCTGTCCCGTGCCACACGGTAACACCCCCAACCTCGCCAGTCTGACTGTCAGCTAAATGGATAGTTATCAAAGTTTGTCTGACATTTTTATTGTGTAGATCCAGGTACTGTACATGCATTAGGATATCTGTAGGTTTAAATCCCAAATGAATGGGAAAGATAATGCTGCGTTCATAACATCTCGTAAATTCGTAAATGCGACCATACCACTGGGAAAGATCCATTTGAACGCTCCTCCAACTGGTAATTACCAGTGGGGAAACTCATCTATCATCACTGACTTCTCCCACATGCTGAACTCTGATGTCACATACTAAGGAACAGCATTTTCGGCAGTTAAATGCAACAATAAAACATTATTTATAAAAAGCAATCTATTAATATAGTTTTTGAACACTATAATGTTTTGACAAGCTAGCTAGCTGTACTTTTAGTTTGTTTGAAGCAGCTTGTTTGCACCATCTAATTCCAAGAGATGCTACTTTATATAATTTATGATATACTCTCTCTTTGTTGTACCTGTATCTCTTCTCTTTCCTCCTCTCTTCTCCCTCTCCCCCAGCTCCCGTCCCATCCCCTGACCCCCTCCAGACACTCAGAGAGTAGGGTTGTATCTGGGGGCCCTGCCTACCACACCCTACCCCACCCCTCCTCCCACGGGGCCCCTCACACCTCCCCCATATGGGGACCCCTAGAGCCCCCCAGCACCCCCAAACCCTGGAGCCTCAGCTGCCTCCGCCCCGCGCCCCCACTCAAGCCCTCGGCAGCACTCTGCTATAAAGAGGTATGGTCCTGGGCCTTTGGTCTAAGAGGGAATAGGTTCCAAGCAGTAATAGCCAGCACAGTTTCCAGAGATGATTTTCCACTAGGGTTCCTAAGAGAGCCTCTCTCTTCCTCTCTTTTCCCCCTCCTCTCTCTAGGATCTGAGTAAAAGTCCTAAGAGTATGAAGAAGCTGCTGCCTAAGCGTAAGCCTGAGAGGAAACCTTCAGAAGAGGACTTTGCTACCAGGAAGAGTACTGCAGCTCTGGAGGAGGATGCCCAGATCCTGAAGGTGATCGAGGCCTACTGCACCAGCGCCAAAACACGACAGACACTCAACTCAAGTAAGACTACACCGCAAACACACAACCTGTCAGAGCCTCAGGACTTCAACCAATACCAGCTAGTCTTTGGTGTCATTTGACTTCTCCTCCGAAGCCTGTCTTTCATTTCTGTACTAACATGAACCATGTCCAGATTAGTTATAAGACTTCACTGGTTCTGGATAAATGCTCTTTAGAGTATAGCTCTTTAGATGTTCTATTCACTGTGACAGTGGCTAGTCTAATGCTATTCATAGTTCAGTGTTTCTCCTCTCTCTTTAACTGTGTTCTCTCCTGTTTCTTTTCTTTGCATTCTGTTATTCTCTGTTACTCCTCCTATTGGTTTGTCTATTTTGTTTCCTCTATATTCCCCCCCTTTTTTTAAACAAATATAATCATCCATAACCCCACACATCCCATTCCTCCTCGTTTTAAATACACCTGTATATTATTTATCCTATTATTATGGATCCCTCTCTCCACAAACCTCCTAAACCATTATTTATAATTCCTCCCCACATCGCTTTATTATGGTTTGATCCACTCCCCCCTCCTCGTTCCATATGGTTTGATCCATACCCCCCTCCTCGTTCTGTATGATTTGATCCACTCCCCCTTCCTCGTGCCGTATGGTTTGATCCACACCCCCCTCCTCGTTCCGTATGGTTTGATACACTCCCCCTTCCTCGTTCCGTATGGTTTGATCCACACCCCCCTCCTCGTTCCGTATGGTTTGATCCACTCCCCCTTTCTCGTTCCGTATGGTTTGATCCACTCCCCCTTCCTCGTTCCGTATGATTTGTCCCGTCCCTCAGCGTGGCAGGGTACTGATTTGATGCATAACCACGTGCTGGCCGAGCCAGTTGACCGATCCAGTGTGGACGCTATTGGTTGCCGTAGCAGCCTGTCCAGAGGGACCGAGCCCTGGTCTGACCTATCAGAGGACTCGGATTATGACAGTATTTGGACCGCCAGTAGTTGCAGGACCGCCTCCGTTTCTCGTAAGAGCTACTGTCGCTCCTCCCATATATCCCACTCCCTGCACTCCTTTTTAATATTTTTCTTTATTTAGAAAGACAAATATGAGTTTCTTTCCTCATAGTTTGTTTTGGAATCTCATTCTAACTGCTGCCTTGGCCACGTTCAGTAAGCAAACATTGTAGAACGTTGCAGATAGAAATGCCATGAATAGAACTGACGTGATTCCTTATTCTACATGCCCGAGAGCTATGTTTGTTCAATATAATACATTTCTATCTGAACGTTGGCCAACGTTGTGTCCTGCTGAATGCTACCCTGGTTTTCCTTCAGCCACCTTTTGTAGCGTCTCTCCCCCTCCCTTAGTCATGGTTAGTTGTGTATGGTTTACAGTAGCTCTGTCTGCTGTTTCTGTGAAATGTCTGTCATGCAAACCTCTCAGAAACTGAATATAGGAGGAACCTAACATGAACTCTCTGCCCCGTCTACAAACACACACACACACACACACACACACACACACACACACACACCCTTCTCCCCTCAAAAGACCTCGGTGGACAAAGGGAATAACTGCTCCACAGCTCCCTTCTGTCCTCCTCTGTTCTCAACTACTAACATCTTCAAAGGACCTGGTGTCACGTTACAATCATTAAAATGATGAGTTAATATGCTGCTGTCATGGCTTAGATCTCCCTTGGAGAACAGAGATATTGAATCTCAATGGGATCTCCTGAATGAATAAAGGATAAATGGTAGATGAGAGGGAGACTTGATTTGCCAGATCAAGTTCTCCTCCTCTATCACACCTGTCCTGATCCTTCCACAGGCCCCCTGCCACAGGCCCCCTGCCACAGGCCCCTTCCTCAGGCCCCTTTCACAGCCCCCTCATCTGAATCTGGTTTGGGCTGTGTCCTAATACTCTAAAATGGCCTCCTTTCCTTGTCTTCTTTCCTTCATTGCCGCTGATAAATGAAAGGGCTACTATAAAGGACTGTCATCAGGGAGGACAGGACACAAGGAGAGGAGGCTAGTTTGAACTATTGAGCTACAGCCTTAGTGTGTCAAACCTCTACTGAAAGGTCATCCACACTCAGTCAGCCAATCAGTCAATGGGTCATCCCGTCCATCGACCAATGTGCTCAGCTGACTGTCTTGTTCTACCAATCAGGATCCAGGGAGAAGTCAGGTCTGCACATGCTCTTCCCTGAGGAGGAGAAGATCATCGTGGAGGAGACCAAGAGCAACGGACAGACTGTCATCGAAGAGAAGTAAGAACTACATTCCTCCCAATGCATTAGATTGGGAGAATATGCTTACAGCTTCAAGTCTTCACTTCACACGTTCAGAAGTTTATATGTTCCTTAATGGGGTTTATTGATAATGGTGTGCTGTGGTTGGGTTGGCTAACTAACATGTCTGTCTTAGGACTCTAGTAGACGCAGTGTATGGGCTGAAGGATGAAGTACAGGAGCTGAAACAGGTGAGCGTTCAGGAGCGTTAGCACGGTTAGCATTCACTAAACCGTCACATCAAATAGCATGTCACAGTACAGTCATACAGCACCAGAATCATAATTAATCAATTAGAGGATCTCTATGACAAGAATTCTCTTAAGCATATACAGTGGGGAAAAAAAGTATTTAGTCAGCCACCAATTGTGCAAGTTCTCCCACTTAAAAAGATGAGAGAGGCCTGTAATTTTCATCATAGGTACACGTCAACTATGACAGACAAATTGAGATTTTTTTCTCCAGAAAATCACATTGTAGGATTTTTTATGAATTTATTTGCAAATTATGGTGGAAAATAAGTATTTGGTCACCTACAAACAAGCAAGATTTCTGGCTCTCACAGACCTGTAACTTCTTCTTTAAGAGGCTCCTCTGTCCTCCACTCGTTACCTGTATTAATGGCACCTGTTTGAACTTGTTATCAGTATAAAAGACACCTGTCCACAACCTCAAACAGTCACACTCCAAACTCCACTATGGCCAAGACCAAAGAGCTGTCAAAGGACACCAGAAACAAAATTGTAGACCTGCACCAGGCTGGGAAGACTGAATCTGCAATAGGTAAGCAGCTTGGTTTGAAGAAATCAACTGTGGGAGCAATTATTAGGAAAATGGAAGACATACAAGACCACTGATAATCTCCCTCGATCTGGGGCTCCACGCAAGATTTCACCCCGTGGGGTCAAAACGATCACAAGAACGGTGAGCAAAAATCCCAGAACCACACGGGGGGACCTAGTGAATGACCTGCAGAGAGCTGGGACCAAAGTAACAAAGCCTACCATCAGTAACACACTACGCCGCCAGGGACTCAAATCCTGCAGTGCCAGACGTGTCACCCTGCTTAAGCCAGTACATGTCCAGGCCCGTCTGAAGTTTGCTAGAGTGCATTTGGATGATCCAGAAGAGGATTGGGAGAATGTCATATGGTCAGATGAAACCAAAATATAACTTTTTGGTAAAAACTCAACTCGTCGTGTTTGGAGGAATGCTGAGTTGCATCCAAAGAACACCATACCTACTGTGAAGCATGGGGGTGGAAACATCATGCTTTGGGGCTGTTTTTCTGCAAAGGGACCAGGACGACTGATCCGTGTAAAGGAAATAATGAATGGGGCCATGTATCGTGAGATTTGGAGTGAAAACCTCCTTCCATCAGCAAGGGCATTGAAGATGAAACATGGCTGGGTCTTTCAGCATGACAATGATCCCAAACACACCGCCCGGGCAACGAAGGAGTGGCTTCGTAAGAAGCATTTCAAGGTCCTGGAGTAGCCTAGCCAGTCTCCAGATCTCAACCCCATAGAAAATCTTTGGAGGGAGTTGAAAGTCCGTGTTGCCCAGCGACAGCCCCAAAACATCACTGCTCTAGAGGAGATCTGCATGGAGGAATGGGCCAAAATACCAGCAACAGTGTGTGAAAACCTTGTGAAGACTTACAGAAAACGTTTGACCTGTGTCATTGCCAACAAAGGGTATATAACAAAGTATTGAGAAACTTTTGTTATTGACCAAATACATATTTTCCACCATAATTTGCAAATAAATTCATAAAAAATCCTACAATGTGATTTTCTTGATTTTTTTTCCTCAATATGTCTGTCATAGTTGACGTGTACCTATGATGAAAATTACAGGCCTCTCTCATCTTTTTAAGTGGGAGAACTTGCACAATTGGTGGCTGACTAAATACTTTTTTTCCCCACTGTACATTCCAGAGCGATTTCTGCTCATTCCAGTCATGTGCGATTAGAGCCTTTTCTAAGATCCAGCGGCCATCTTTGTTCCCCCCCAACAGGACAACAAGAAGATGAGGAGGACCCTGGAGGAAGAGCAGAAAGCCAGGAAGGAGCTGGAGAAGATCCTGAGGAGAGTCCTGAAGAACATGAACGACCCCACCTGGGACGAGACCAACCTGTGAGTGCTCAGGTGACATCACATCAACATGGTTGGGTTTGGGTTCCACCGTGACTGGACCAAAATTGTTAACCACAAAGCCATCTGACGTAACGCTGTGAACTGACACACTGTGGAACACTGATCTGTCACTGTTGTAAGAATACTGGGTGTGGTCCAAAGTCAAAACAGCCAATGAAAATGAAACATAGCATCCCTAAATAACTCTGGAAGACCATTGGCTGCAGCATGGACCTCAAACCTCTTCTCTGTGTTGATCTGGGATTGGAAAAAGGCTGGAACAATCACAGTAGTGAAGATACGACTGACGTCACTGATTCTCTGCCTCCTTCTGGGTGATTCTCAAAGAGGGATTCCTCTCTACCTCTCCCCTTCTGCATTGATCTGAAAGCAGGGGAAAACAACATGGGAATTTTCTGTCACTTGTGTAGTACTTTAACATCCGTGATGAGGAAAGGAAGTAAGTTCAGACTATTGAGATCCATCCTCTGCATGTAGAGCAGTAGTCTCAGGGAATAAATACTAGACAGTGGCTGCGTCTCAATAGTGGTTTGCTCTTCTCATCTTTGCTGATCTGCAATGATAGATGCAGTAGGTCCCTAGTGCCTACAAGGGGATTTCCTTTCACCTGTCCAGTTTTATGCAGATGAGAGATGAGGAACGGTAGCCACTGTAGACTATTGAGATGCAACCCAGACGATTTTGACAGATTATGATTTTGTCACTGCCTGCATACCCTGCTGCCAAGCTCCTCTCAACACCCCCACCCTCCTCTTACCCCCCTCTGGAGCATCTACCCACACATTCCTCTGAGCCTTGTAGGAACCTATGGCCAACACACAGAACAGGATAACCTCTAGCTCATTCCGGATGTTTCCATGGAAACCTCAGCAATACAATACTGGAATGTTTTCAGGTGATAAAAAAAAAAAAACTTTTGATTATGATTCTTTGAAGTATTCTTTGGGTATGGATGACCTATTTCTTGTTTGTTGCTTTTATTTTACCTGATAATGGACTCTCTATTTGAATGCTTTCCTGAAAACGATGTATTTCTACTTTTGTCTTCCTACTTTTTTGTCACCTATGATTTGTACAGAAACGAACCGTAGCGTCTCAAATTAATATCATGAAATGTGCCTTGGGGAAATGATTCCATGATATTAGCTTACATTTCTGGAAGGCTCTTCAGTTTAAAATGCTTCAAATATTCCAATGCAATATTGACTCCAATGATGAACACTACTTATCTGTTTCAGATTCTATATTATGTCTGTAATTTATGTATTTAAATGAAATTGACTGATGAGAAATGTATTGTGCATTCCTTAAGTCTATTGTTCACTGAAAACCTCCCTCCCATACCCCTCTCTATATTTATTTCACCTCTTTCTCTCTCTATCACTCTTCACAACTTGTCTCTGTGAATTAAACCAGTAAACTGAATATCTTGTTTATCTGAATACTTGCAATGACTGATATGTTGTTTTACCTACCTTAGATAAAAGACTGACTGTAAGTTGCTCTGCATAAGAGCGTCTGCTAAATGACCAAAATGTAAATGTGATGTATCCTTCGTCCTGCAAAGTGCTGTCACTTTAACTTCAAATGAATCAGACGGTTATCATTGGATACCTGTCAGTGGTAGATTCAGGTGGAAATGTACTATAAACAGGCCAGGATTGGTGTCCGTGACCACGTTTACATGCCCACAGTATTCCAGATAGTAGCTCATATCTCGCTTAAGGTCTTATTCGGGATAAGCTGTTTACATGCACCTTTTGATATCCCGCTCACGAGTATCCCTGCATCCGTGAATAAACAGAATATTCCTAATTTAAGTTATATGGGTTAAATGGAATAGTAACTGAAATCTGGACACTGACTGTAGGCCTATAACCTCTCACATGTAGCCTAATATAATATTAACTCCTGCAGAATTATACATTTCTTGCAATAAAATAATACAACACATTTTCATTTTGTCTCTGGAACAGGAGTGGTATGATTTCTTTCTTTCAGCGTCTCTTGAGAGAATGTGAGTGTAACATGTTATCTTTGACACTGTTATGCAAGCAGACAGTATTTCAACCATATAAAAGTCTTATCGGAAACGTGATTCATTGTTTTCTCAGCTTTTCATTTCCTTAAAACCGGTCAAACTGATAACATTTGAACATTTCGCACAGGAACAGTCTTTCCATTATTTTGGAATTAGTGCATTTTCTCCCGGTCCCTAAACGAAAGACAACTTTACCGGTGTTAACTACAGTGCCTTGCAAAAGTATTCATCCCCCTTGGCGTTTTTCCTATTTTGTTGCATTACGACCTGTAATTTGAATTGATTTTTATTTGAATTTCATGTAATGGACATACACAAAATAGTCCAAATTTGGTGAAGTGAAATGAAAAAAAATTACTTGTTTCAAAAAATTCTAAATAATAAATAACGGAAAAGTGGTGTGTGCATATGTATTCACCCCCTTTGCTATGAAGCCCCTAAATAAGATCTGGTACCTGTAATTTCAATTGATTTTGATTTCATGTAATGGACATACACAAAATAGTCCAAATTTGGTGAAGTGAAATGAAAAAAAATAACTTGTTAAAAAAAATTCTAAATAATAAATAACGGAAAAGTGGTGTGTGCATATGTATTCACCCCCTTTGCTATGAAGCCCCTAAATAAGATCTGGTGCAACCAATTACCTTCAGAAGTCACATAATGAGTTAAAGTCCACTTTATTTAAGTGTCACATGATCTCAGTATATATACACCTGTTCTGAAAGGCCCCAGAGTCTGCAACACCACTAAGCAAGGGGCACCACCAAGCAAGCGGCACCACCAAGACCAAGGAGCTCTCCATACAGGTCAGGGACAAAGTTGTGGAGAAGTACAGATCAGGGTTGGGTTATAAAAAAATATCGGAAACTTTGAACATCCCACGGAGCACCATTAAATCCATTATTAAAAAATGGAAAGAATATGGCACCACAACAAACCTGCCAAGAGAGGGCTGCCCACCAAAACTCATGGACCAGGCAAGGAGGGCATTAATCAGAGAGGCCAAAGATAACCCTGAAGGAGCTGCAAAGCTCCACAGCGGAGATTGGAGTATCTGTCCATAGGACCACTTTAAGCCGTACACTCCACAGAGCTGGGCTTTACGGAAGAGTGGCCAGAAAAAAGCCATTGCTTAAAAAAAAATAAGCAAACATGTTTGGTGTTCGCCAAAAGCCATGTGGGAGACTCCCCAAACATATGGAAGAAGGTACTCTGGTCAGATGAGACTAAAATTTAGCTTTTTGGCCATCAAGGAAAAGGCTATGTCTGGCGCAAACCCAACACCTCTCATCACCCCAAGAACACTATCCCCACAGTGAAGCATGGTGGTGGCAGCATCATGCTATGGGGATGTTTTTCATCGGCAGGGACTGGGAAACTGGTCAGAATTGAAGGAATCATGGATGCCACTAAATACAGGGAAATCCTTGAAGGAAACCTGTTTCAGTCTTCCAGAGATTTGAGACTGGGATGGAGGTTCACCTTCCAGCAGGACAATGACCCTAAGCATACTGCTAAAGCAACACTTGAGTAGTTTAAAGGGAAACATTTAAATGTCTTGGAATGGCCTAGTCAAAGCCCAGACCTCAATCCAATTGAGAATCTGTGGTATGACTTAAAGATTGGTGAAAACCAGCGGAACCCATCCAACTTGAAGGAGTTGGAGCAGTTTTGCCTTGAAGAATGGACAAAAATCCCAGTGGCTAGATGTGCCAAGCTTATAGAGACATACCCCAAGAGACTTGCAGCTATAATTGCTGCAAAAGGTGGCTCTACAAAGTATTGACTTTGGGGGGGGGGTGAATAGCTATGCACGCTCAAGCTTTCTGTTTTTCTGTCTTATTTCTTGTTTGTTTCACCCCAAAATATATTTTGCATCTTCAAAGTGGTAGGCATGTTGTGTAAATCAAATGATACAAACCCCTAAAAAATAAATTTTAATTCCAGGTTGTAAGGCAACAAAATAGGAAAAATGCCAAGGGGGGTGAATACTTTCGCAAGCCACTGTAGATTACTGCATTCATTCTATCTATGTAAGACATTATTCTGGTGAGCACTGCTTTATTTAGTCTTCTGGGGCAACAAGTTATGACAGAAGAGAAGCTGCATGTACCTAACTATAGTTGACAAACAATGGCCTACTAAATGTCAGAAATTATCATCAGAAATGTATCTCAATTAGGGGTGAAAGTAGCCTAAACCAGTAGGCTATAAGGTCCAGTACAGAGTATCAGCAAAACAAATTATTATGGAATTATTATGGTGTATCGAACTGCGCAGGTAGCCTACTTTTTACATTTACATTTACGTCATTTAGCAGACGCTCTTATCTAGAGCGACTTACAAATTGGTGCATTCACCTTATGAAACAGTAAACAGGATAAGATGTTTACATGCTATAGTCTAAGATCAGCATATCCCAGGCTTCTTATCGGGGTTTCTCATAACCGGGATACAAACTTTTTTGTGTTATTGTAAACGGGATATTATGTTTATTTGCGTCAACTCAAAAACAGAATACTTGAGTATCCCGAATAATAATGGCATATTGGTGTGCATGTGAACGTGGTCAGTGACCCTATAACCAATGTTCCCTCTAAACTGCAGCTAGCCCGTGCAGAGAAGAACTTCACTCAACTTTCTAGTTTTCCCCTTTAACACTATCAACGGAATTGTGATCGAATTAACGCAATATTAGCCACTTTCAATGTAACATACCGAAACAAAACAGACTATGCAAGACTATGCAAAACGAACTGTGCAAGAGATTTTCTTGTAGGCAGAGCGCATTGGAGTAGGACTGTATTGCATTGACAGGCAGGACTCAGGCCATACTCTACACAGACCGGTGCAGCATAACCAATCAGAGCTGCAGTAGGCCTATATGCCAATAGCCATTGCCATTATTTGGATATGTGCCATTTACTTTGAACTGGACTGTGTTTACAGCATGAGCGGTGGTGAGTAGATGCGCTTGTTTTGAGATCAAAGCGAGAGCTGCATGTAGCCACCTGTGCATATTTGTTCATATTATTTGCTAGTTAGTGAGTTATTATCCCAGTTATAGCTAATTTCTAGTCAACAATGTGGGAGTGGTTGCTTCCTACAAGAGCACAAAATGTGTGCATTTCTAGCCATCTTTGAAAAGCGAGTCAGGTAGAGCTTTTTTTTGTCTTAAAGGGGCAGTTTGTATTTTTAGACAGTCTTGAATAAGCTAAGTAGCCAATAGGCAGAACATAGCATAATTGGTCTGATTCTCTGTAATAATGGTATGGGAATAATAATGCATTTTATTTTGTAAAGTGGTTTCTTGCATCAAACACATTTTCAGTCACCTCCTTGTCTGAAGGACAAGTGGATAAACAGGTTAATGTCAAGCCCTGCATGTTCTTTTCAAAAGTATCATGGAATGTAGGCCAACATTGAACACCACACTTTGGCTGCTACTGTAGGCTGAATAATAGAACAGCTATTTCCATTTTAAAATGTTATGGGATGCATGTTTCTCCATTGTTTTTGATGGTAGGCCACTCTGGTAGGCCTACATTATGATCAAATAGCCACAGTAGCAGTTGACCACTGTTAAAAGTGTAACCTAAAGCGGGTACAGCCTCAGTGTTCACAGTAAACATGCCGGAATTTGCACTGAATCTTCCCAACGTTCAAGTTTGCACTCAGCAGACCTGAAATTTGCTCAGTGCCCAAAAAAATGAGAGGGAACGTTGCCTATAAACCCTGTCATTGCACCTCTCAATGCAGCTACCAACTGTGTAGGTACAACTGGCCCTGTTGTTCCACAGGTTTCAGCACTGTACCAGCAGGTGAGGTTGTATTCCAGTGTTGCATGCCTTCTGTTGGCAATGTGGCGTATCTGGCATGAGCGAAGCCCGTTCTATTGTG